CCAGATTCGACGACATTGGAGATTGCATATGTGAGTTCCATGGACTTCTGGTCCACTAGTATACATCTCTTCGGGAGTCTCCGGCCAACTATGGATGTATCCCTCAAGCTGCGGATTATCCTTGGCCGATGGCTATGGTATTTGGATTGTAGTTCAAACTCCAGACGAAGGAGTAGCAGGCTTCATATAATCTACAAACTTCCTATTCGTCCCAACTACCCTTCTATTCATTCCTAGTGCCAAAGTTGTTCTTTTACATCCAGCTATACCTTGGGATCTCGATCGCACTTGATTAATGCAACAGCATCTACGCCGCCCATTTCACGATGCTTGAGATCTATTGGATAGAAAGCTCGTAAGTGAGCTGCACGAATAGGACCATTCCTTAGATGTAGAGATGCCTCAATGGAGGTTTGGAGTTCAGAATAAGGTTTATCAAAGGTACGGGAGATATCCGCATGCGGAAGAAACTATACAAACAATGCAATACATAATTCCAAATTGTTTGATGTATGTCATTGTGATTCATATACAATAACTTTAGGCTTCGAAGCTCCAAACAGTTGGCAGCAAGGGGTGTCATCTTCCTCGATTGGCTGAAAAATACTTGCCACTGTCTGTAGCATTGTACCAATATCCCAGCCTAGACGTCTTTGGTAAAATTGGGGATTCTCACAGGCTGTCGTTCTGTCTCTATCTCGGCAGTATAATTTATATATGAGCAGCGGGGAAAATGGCCGACGGGGTAGATGGTAGTTTGAATGATCAAGTCTGAACGGAGATCTGAATAGCATTCGGGTTCGGGAAGTTCGGTTGGGTCAGCAGGCATGTCTCCACCACGTCGGGCTGCCCGATGGGTTGAAAATTGAAAGAGTGTGTCGGATATGGTCTGGTTCATTCACAGTACTGAATGACTGTTCCCATAACTGGCTAGTTAACTAAATGATCGCAAAAGAGACAATCAAGGCATCATCTTCCCCGGAGCTCTTCCTGCACCGGATAGGATCCCTTATCCATCAGCGGAGCTCGCCCTTGCCCCCTGGAGGCAGACATGACGTTATTGACCTGGCTCAAGGCCGAGGGAATGAGGAAGTGCATTGAGGGATTCTGGCGTCGAAGCCTGCTAAACAGGCTGTTGTTGCCATGTACGACTAGTAATTATTTCAGTGTTCGTACCTAAAGAGCCAAGAAGGTCGATAAGGCCTGTATACAAGGCAGGACACCCCTAGTAACCCAGCTCGTGCGCCACTCCTTTTGCAAGTTCGCTAACAGGACTGAAACTATTTCCGAGGCAAACAGGTCGCCAATGCCGTGAAGTTGCAGGCTAACGGTATCGTACCAATGCAAGATTAACATGTTTGAAAGCTAATCATGACCGAAGAAGGCTTGGCAGCGGCCAATTGTCCCAAAGGAGTCTCCCCCCGCTTTAGCGCGCACTTGGCGTGTCTGAGGTTTTTCACATCCCATCTTCTCTGAAAGATCATGTGTGCATGATATTCTACTCAGAACAATTGAAATGAGGAGCATTTTAGGATTCTTGTATCACCACAATGGTAAAACCATCGAGTAGGGCCATCGAGTAGGGCTCATTTAGACCCATGTGGACAAGCGGTACCCGGTCGCAACAGCCTCTGGCCTCCCAGATGAGGACAGTTTGTGAACCAATCAGAAAGTGATTCACTGCTGATTAGATGAAGACCTAAGACAGAAAGGCAAAAGCTTAGGTAATAAGCCATGGGTGGCTGCAGCTAGATAAACGCTATAAAGGACACTAAAACGGCGCCAACAAGCCACTCCCAAGACCGGACAAGCCTAACAAGCACTAACCAGAAGTCTTGTCTTGGGGCCCCGCAGATATTCCCTCAAACATGGAGATTCCCCCGTGGAGGACAACGCAGTTTCTTCAGACCCATGGCACAACTCCGCTATGTCGGTTCGGCGCCTGGCCGCTTTCGGGTAACTGTCTCCCCTTGCAACCATTATCCCTGTTTACGGCGTGGGGAAGGTGGGAAAAAATCCGGCGGCATAAGCTGCTGTAACGTCGGACCTGGACCGCTGCCTACTGGCTCGGGTTGCATCCGCTAATTAATCCACGTATCACATCACGCGCACGCCATGCAGATGCGCAGGTATTAAAAGATATCATATCCCTGTCTTGCCCTTTCTCGTTTTCTTTTTTCCCTCTGGCTTTGTCGCTGTTCTCTTCGCATTGGCACGGTAACATAGCCACCAATCCAAGCAATGTCGTCAGATACCACCGAGGTAGCCGAGGTAAAGGGGGAGTCGAAGGAGGATGGTCAGGTCGACGTTCATCATGCCGAGATCCTGGCCAACAAGGATCTCTTGAACGATGCCTTTGATGGCGAGAACCGCGAGCACGAGATGGGCTTGTGGACGGCTGTCAAGAGCCACCCCTGGGCTTGCCTATGGGCCTTTACCATGTGTTTCACGATTGTGAGTATTTCCTCGAATCGCGGAGATTGGCACCGGGCGCAGTGCTAATGGACAAACAGGTCATGGAGTCGTTTGACATGTTTCTGAATGGTAACTTTGTGGCGCAAAGCGCTTTTCAAAAGAGATACGGAGTGCCAGTGGAGGGAGGTGGTTATGCCATCCCGACGCGGTGGCAGAGTGCCCTCTTCCAGTCCGGTCAATGCGGTGCCTTTGTTGGTGTATTTCTGGCCGGTCCCGTCACCAATCGTCTTGGCTACCGCTGGACTACCATCCTCGCCCTGATCCTGATGAACGCCACCATTTTCATTTCTTTCTTCGTGAGTAGCCTGCTGACAGGACCAAGCCTTCGTCTGAGCTGAGCTGACCGACCACCAGGCCGACTCTCTCGCCCTCCTGACGGTCGGACAAGCGTTGGAAGGTGTCCCGTGGGGTTTCTTCATTGCAAACGCCCCCGCCTACGCCAGTGAGGTCGTCCCTCTCGCCCTTCGCGGTGCCTGCACGGCTACTCTGCAAATGAGTTGGTCGATCGGTTCGATCATTGTCGCCGCCGCCACCTATAGCTACAATAAGCGAGACGATGAGTGGGCTTGGCGCGTGCCTCTTGCCTTGCAGTGGCTCTTCCCTGTGAGTCTTTTTTTTCTCAGGTCTTGTACGGCGGCAGAGCTGACTCGTCTAGACCCCCCTCTTGGTCCTCATCTTCCTCGCCCCCGAATCTCCCTGGTGGTTGATTCGTCGCGGACGCAAGGAGGAGGCGCTTCGCTCCATCGAGCGTCTCGGTACCAAGTCCCCAGAGCACGCCCAACAGTCCCTGGCCATGATTGAGAGAACCGTCAAGATTGAGGAACAGATGGGTGGCACCCCTACCCTCCTCGACCTGTTCAAGGGCACCGATCTGAGACGAACCATTATCACCTGCTTGATGTACGCGTCGCAGAACTTTGCCGGTAACCTGATTGCCAACCAGGCCACTTTCTTCTTCGAGCGTGAGTATCCCCGGTGCCAGCATGGATGACAGAGACTGACCCCCCGCTTAGAGGCCGGTATCTCGCACGACCGTGCTTTCCAGCTCAATCTCATCAATTCATGCCTCCAATTTGTTGCCAACGCCTGCTCATGGCCTCTGACCGGCTGGTTCGGCCGTCGAACCATCTATCTCTGGGGCACCGCCGTGAACGTCACTCTGCTGATGATTCTCGGCATCTGCGCCTCGATCCCTCAGAACCAGTCGACCAACTACGCCCAGGCTTGTCTCGGTATCCTCATCTCCTTCGTCTTCGCCGGTACCCTCGGCCCCATCTCCTACACCATCATTTCCGAGACGTCTTCCGTCCGTCTCCGCGCCCTGAGCACCGGTGTCGGTCGTGCCGCCTACTATGTCGCCGAGATCCCCATGATCTATCTCGCCTCCCGCATGCTCAACTCCACCGGATGGAACTTGGCCGGCAAGTGCGGTTACGTCTGGGGAGGTACTGCCTGCGTCTGCTGGGTGATGGCCTACTTCTTCCTGCCCGAACTCAAGCACCGCTCGTACCGTGAAGCCGACATCCTGTTCAACCGCAAGGTTCCTGCCAGGAAGTTCAAGACGACTGTTATTGATGTTAGGGAGAACGAGTAGGCTGATGAAGGAACATGTCATTTAACGTGTCACGTACTTTCAGGATCAGAAAGCTTCTGACTAATGACCGGGATGTAACCCACGCGGTGTATATTACATGTAATAACTAGCTAGATTTCTGTCTAAACAGCAGTTTGGAATTCTCCTTCCAGGTCCACCCCATTAAATAGCTGAAGTAACAGTTGAGAACTCGATCCCACTCGAGGAACTCTGGAAAGCATCATGCCGCACACTGGCCCGGTGGGATTCCTCCCACCTACAACCACACCATACTGCAGACCTAAGCTTCGACGAGATTAGAGAAGATGTCACAGGATGGCTGTTCTTCGTAAAGGTGGGCTTCGATAGCTCTGTTCGGATTCATATTAACATGAACTAAGAGACCTGGGTTCCTCGCGCCCAAGCTGGCGTCCCTGAGGACGAGGACGACGATTACGAATTTCGCCAGCGACGGACATTAGTCAACCGATGGGCAGCTGCAACGCAGGATGTAGGTCTAGTGTCACTCAGCTAAACCCTCACTGGGACAGACAATCTTGGGGTCTCTGCCTTTTTTCCAAGTTACAAGTTCCTGGCCCTGATGTCGTTCACCGACTGGGTCAGTTCATCGATATATCGTTGGTCACGTTTGATCTGCGTATATCATTAAAACTATCAAATACCTCGCTCACGTTAAATCCAGGTTCAATAATTTAGATTACAATAATATAAGGACGTACAGGATTAATTAGGAAGCAAGTAGGGCTTGTACTTGCTTGCTGTAGATCTCGCTTAGTGAGCTAAAAGCGGCATTGCTTCTGACCGAATCCAGAAATGAAAAGTCAACGGTGCCTCAGGTTGCTGACGCAACACCACCCGCCGATAGTTAATGGCCTTCCTATCGCTCACGTTAAATTTTGGCCTACAGCGACCTCAATGATTCACCACAGAGATGTCCAATAGATCTGCTGCTGGTTCCAATCTTGAGCGCCAAGAGATCGACCGGATCTTACGGGCCAAGAGGCAGCAACGCACATCAAAAGCGTGCTATCCGTGTCGCTCGCGCAAAGTCAAGTGCGACAATGGCCATCCATGCAGAACCTGCCAGAAACGTGGCCACCCCCATATCTGTGTCTATGATTTGGAGGAACCTTCTCCGCGGAAGCGGGCCATGTTAAGTCCTCGGAATAGCAACGCTGATGCCTCTAACGTTGCATTGCCATCAAATGATCAGCATCCAATCAGGTATTCGGCATCTCCTCTGCATACTAGACCTGCATCAGAATCGACCGTTCAAGAGGACCCTTTCAATTACGTCTTCTCTGGAGAGAATACAGTCATCTCCATGCTGGGCTCACACGACACCGATGGATCAATTACCCACAAGGCGAGCTCGGTGTTGGGACTGCAAAACAGCTTCAGCAATTACCCGTTTCTTGATCTTAAAACACCCGTAGATCGCTGGAAGGCTCTCGTGGAGATCCTTCCTCAAAGGGAGGAGATTTTGAAGTATGTTGAGCGACTGACCAGGGGTGCCGGTGCTGATGGACAGTAGGTATTTTCACTTCTACCGCACCTCCGCTCACCCATTCAACCCAATTCTTGTCGATATCGACGGCTTTGAATTGGTCATATGCCAGTTCCTTGCATCCTATGCGTCTGGGGAACTGTGCGATTCCGACAAGGTCTCGGAACGATGGTCGTCGGATCGATCTGTCGGTCAAATCAGTCTCCTCCTGGCCACCTTGGCTTCGGGAGCGCACTACTCGGACCTTGTGAACCCCGAGAGGTCGGAGAAATACCAAAGCTTTGGTAAGAATAAGCCCTCTTCTATCGAGAAATCATGAACTGATGCTGGAACAAGCCCGCCGATCTTTCCAAGCACTAAGGCTGGCAAATTTCCTCTTGCGGCCATCGCTTGAAGTTATCCAATCTCTACTCATTCTGGGAAATACGTTACAGAACAACGGTCAATCTGATGGCGCGTGGGCTCTGCTTGGCACTACTGCCAGATTAGCCCAGACCTTGGGACTACATACCGAGAAGAGCATTTCTCGCTGGCCAGAACCAATGAGACCAAAGGCTAAAGCATTGTGGTAAGTAGCTATCCCCAGATGAAGTTTGCAGCTGACCCCCGAAGGTCTATGACGGTTTGGCAAGACAGCCTTTTGAGTCTGTGCTATGACCGCCCCTCTATGGTGTCCACGAGAGGCTGGCAGCTGGACTCTACTACTCTCGAGTCGAACCTATCATACACTGACATGATGCACTACCTATGCCGGCTAGGTCTGCAAATTAACAATGCAGAAGAGCGAGAGCGCAATTACTTGGACTTTTCCCTCAAGTTATTAGCTGCATTGGACAATGTTTTCAAGCGTGTACAACCCCATCTCCTTTCCCGGGAGCAATGCACTAGCTTGCACCAACACCTGGAACACTTGGCCCTCCGCATCCATGTCTCATTCAGCGTTTCCGTGCTATGTCGGCCAGCCATCAAAAGGCCACCCAGAACCTCTCTCAGCCCACGCCTTCGAGTTCTGCGCAATAGGGCCAAAGACAGTCTGGTTGAGGCTGCAAAGGCCTTCCTCGACTTTGAAACTCTAAGCATCGTCCCATTACGCACCTGGTCTATGGTACACACGGTGCTCAGTTCTGCATTACTCCTTTGTCTGTGGGAGGAGACTCGCCATGACCCGGCATGTCGCGACTTGCAGCAACGAGTCATCGAGGTATTCTCCCGAGTTGGTACTGCCGGGAAGGATGCTAATGGCCAACATGACAATCGCCAATGGTTGTCAACGAGGCATGTCCACGCACTTGTCGCGTTGCGAAATGCTGTGCGTGATACCCCAATGCGTGAAGGAGACGCAAACCCCGAGACGCAGCGAGGATCGCCACGAGGCCAACCCCCTCAACGATTGTCAGATGTCATGTCTGGCCCGGGCATGCGATTCGGTGATGTCCAACCACCTGGCGATTTTCCTGCAAACTTTGACTTTGGGTGAGATTGCTCTATGCTCAGCCCACTACAGATTTACTAATCGGGTCCAGTTTATCGGGAAATTTATTCAGCAGTGATATGGATGTCTCGCCTCTTTCCTACCTTGACTCTATAATGAATGGTACGGACCCTGTTCTGTCTTAGTGTCCTCGCTAATTCACCCAGTACCACTATTCGATTTTCCTGATATAGGCCAGGCCGGCTCGGAATGAGCCGCAAGATTGCGATATTTGGAGCCACTATCGCTGTTATGTTCTTGATAAATAAGGCCCACAGAATACGGCGGAGACAGAAATATTTTGATTAGGCAATCTCCGTAGTTACATGGACAAGTCGATTTATCGCTCCATCTTCCAACCTTCCCACCTCTCAAAATCAGCCGTATCAAGATCAAAGAGATCAAGCATCCGCCCAACGCTTTGGTCAACAATCTCGTCGATGCTAGGAGCCTTGATGTAAAACGCCGGCACGGGAGGGAAAATGACGGCCCCACTCTGCGTGACAGAAAGCATATTGCGAAGATGGATATCGCTAAGCGGAGTTTCGCGCGTGACGAGGACAAGGCGCCTCCGTTCCTTGAGCATGACATCTGCCGTGCGGGAAATCAAATCGTCACAGAAACCCGAGTTGATCGCGGCGAGGGTCTTCATCGAGCAAGGCACGACTAGCATCCCGTCGGTCTTGAACGAGCCACTCGACACCGGTGCGGCCATATCGTTGATGTTGTGCACATAGTCTGCTAATGCGCGGACGTTGCGAGGACTATAATCCGTCTCGTACTTGATCGTGGCCTCGGCCCATTTGCTGATGACCAGATGTGTTTCAACGTTGAGCCGGCGGAGGGCGATGAGTGTTTTGATGCCTAGAATTGCGCCGGTGGCGCCGGTCATTGCGACAACGATCCTTTTACGTCGACCAGTAGCTGGAGACCTGAGGTGCTCATTGTTTGATATTGATGTTTCCTGCGTGAGGCTTGTATGTGTTGCAGAGTGAGAATCAGAGGTATGATCGGGACTGTGGCGGCCAGAGTTGGGAGTATTGGCGCCGGAGGGTAGCAGCGATGCAAACATTGTGAATGGTGTCAATGAACGACTCTGAGAAGACTGGAGAATTGAGAATTGAGAATTGAGGACGTGGGTATAGAGCTTTCGACTGCTTGACTTGTCTTTAAAAGCGACGCGCTGCCAGTACTGTGGCAATTTGCTCATCCATATGATTCAATTCTCATGCCGAAGTCCTGGTCTCGGTGGCTCAGATTTCAAAATGTCGATTTGGAGGTGTAAAATGAGCGCAAATCCGAGCCTCCGAGCCTCCGAGGTGCCGAGTCAACGGATATCGGCATAGGCGAGCCACTGATTTCACTCGGCAACCCGACTCGGACATGCCTTGATGAAATCACTATAGGTAAGCTTTTCAGAAAGACGCCTTCCGAGTATCCGGTCAGCTTCTATAGACTATGTCATCGCCTATTGCCGATCATCCGTTCATGGCGCCACTATATAACGTCTCGTTGGGGACTGATCTCATACATTACTTCACGTCACGTCTTGATACCGCGCTTTTAGTCTTTTCTTGCTGAACATTCCTCAGGAATCTCAATATCACAATGACTACTGTTAACTATACTAACGTGGACCACTCGTTCCGTGCCTTCGTCGAAGCCCTCAAGGCAGACAATGACTTGATCGAGATCAATACGGAGGTCGACCCTTACCTTGAAGCTGCTGCGATTACCCGGCTTGTGTGCGAAACCGACGATAAGGCGCCCTTGTTCAATAACCTGAAGGGAATGGGGAAGAATGGACTTTTCCGTATTCTTGGTGCACCCGGTTCCCTTCGTGCCTCCAGCCGCGATCGCTATGGTCGTCTGGCTCGCCATCTCGCTCTCCCACCCACGGCTAGCATGAGAGAAATACTCGACAAAATGCTGTCTGCTAGCTCCCTGCCTCCCATTGAGCCCAAGATTGTTAAAATCGGTCCCGTGAAGGAGAATTGCCTGACGGGCGATGAGATTGATCTTACTGCCTTGCCTGTTCCTATGATCCACAAATCTGACGGCGGCAAATATATTCAAACGTATGGGATGCACGTCGTTCAGTCTCCTGATGGGACGTGGACGAATTGGTCTATTGCTCGTGCAATGGTCAAAGACAAGAACCATCTTACGGGCTTGGTGATCGAACCGCAGCACATCTGGCAGATCCATCAGATGTGGAAGAAAGAGGGAAAGGACGTGCCATGGGCGCTCTGCTTTGGCGTCCCTCCGGCGGCAATTATGGCGTCGTCCATGCCCATTCCCGACGCCGTCACCGAAGCTGGCTACGTCGGTGCTATGACCGGTCGTCCGCTTGAACTCGTTAAATGTGACACCAACGATCTATACGTTCCTGCCAACGCGGAAATCGTCTTAGAAGGTACCCTATCCATCACCGAAACCGCTGACGAGGGACCGTTTGGCGAAATGCACGGCTATGTCTTCCCCGGCGACAGCCACAAATGCCCTGTCTACACGGTCAACAAGATCACCTACCGCACCGACCCGATCCTCCCCATGTCAGCCTGCGGTCGCCTCACCGACGAGACACACACGATGATCGGTGCCCTGGCCGCTGCCGAAATCCGCAAGGTCTGCCAGCTCGCCGGCCTCCCTATCACGGATGCCTTCTCCCCCTTCGAATCGCAAGTCACCTGGGTGGCGATGAAGGTCGACACTGCCAAGCTTCGCCAGATGAAGCTCACTGCCAAGGAGTTGCAGAAGAAAGTCGGCGATGTTGTTTTCAACCACAAGGCGGGCTACACCATTCACCGCCTTGTTCTCGTCGGCGATGATATCGACGTCTACAATGGAAAGGACGTCATGTGGGCGTTCTCGACCCGTTGCCGCCCTAACGCTGACGAGACTTTCTTCGAGGATGTCCGTGGGTTCCCTCTGGTTCCTTACATGTCTCACGGTACGGGGTCCCCGACGCGCGGCGGAAAGGTTGTGTCTGATGCTCTCATGCCTGCTGAGTATACCACCGGTGCGGACTGGGAGGCGGCTGATTTTGAACACTCCTATCCTGAGGATGTCAAGACCAGGGTCCGGGCAAATTGGGTGGCTATGGGCTTTCGTGAGCGTAACTGAGCGTTTCCTGTACCATTAGATTATGTACCAGAATGTGAATTCAACTTATAGATCATGTAATTACTGTGTATCCTCAAGAACTGGTGACTGATGTCAAGAGCCTCCAAGGGAGCTCATAGCATGATTATATCCCGATAACTGTACGGTGCTCAATCTTCTCCAATTTGTTTTATATACCGATTGACATACCAAGTAGGTTCCATACAAGCCAGATGAAATAAATGTCCTGTCTCTTGCTATTAACTGATGTACGTGTCTTTACCGCTGGAAGGAATGGAGAAATTATTTGCCTCTCAGTTTACGTGTGGGATAATGACTGGCTGGGCGTGGGCTCGGGTACCAACTAGGTTGCATAGACTCCATATTAGTTTGGATATGAAATGGCAGGCCCCAGAATGGTATCCCTGGGGCTGAACTGAAGCGGTATTAACATTGGACAGCTCGGGTACCCTAAACCATCTAAAATTTAGGACCATGTAGTAGCCACCAGGGATATTTGAAACCTCTCCAATTGTGTCGAGCTTGCTACATTTGTTAACATTTGACAGTTCAAGTTATTGCTGGTCGGCCCAGTGGCAGAAATCAAACAAATGGCTTTTACCCAAAGCTAAGGGCAACTCCGCAGTTGCCTGCGTAGACCCAGCCGTCGGAATCCAGCCGCCAATATCATGATGAAGATGGTATAAATTTTCCAAATCAATGCCGGGCTGGAGCATCCTCTGCACCACCGAATCAGTCCGCACGCAGTTCAGCTCGCAACTAACTCCTTCTCCATCTCTACAAAACACAAATCCTCAGGCAACTCCATACCCTTAAACCTCTCAACCGGAAACGGCGTCACCTCCCCCGTCGGCTGATATCCACACCTTAAATACCAATGAATCAATTCCCCACGGATCGAAAGCGCATTCAGCCCCCCCTTACTAACGCCCCATTTCCTCTGACAATACCCCTCCGCGTAAGCAAGGATCTTCCGCCCGATCCCACAACGCTGGTAAGCGTCATCCACAGCAAGCATGAAGAAGCGAGCGAGGTCAGCGTGGGCGGTAAACTTCCTGGAAATGCCGATGCAGGCGATCAGACCGCCGGTGGGGTCTGTGGCGACGAGGAATGCGCTGTTGGGAGTGGTGATCGTGCTTAAGATCTCGGTCGTCTCGATGCTGAAGCTTGAGGCGAGGGTTGTGTCGCCGGTCCAGTTTGCTCTGGGGTCTGAGGTGCGGAAGGCGGATTGCACTAGTTGTTGGATTTGGGGCGCGTCGGATGGGGTTGCGAGGCGGTAGTTGAGGGTGGGGGTTGCCATATTTCAGTATTTGGTTCGTATTTGTTTTGTATGCTGAGTTGATATCGGGTTATTATGTATGGGTTGTTGATTGAAGGAATCATGCAATAGTTATATGAACATTAATAGGAGTATTGCGCTTTCCTGGGGTTGACAGTTGAAAGGTAAGGACTTTGGCGGAGTTTTGCCTGCCGTAGACAGAGCGCTGGCAAACTGATGGTCAAATAAAAGGATTGAGACCTTATACGGCGGCGTCTGGGTAGCTGGGATATTATATAGGATGTACAATCTCTGGCTGCCCAATTGCGGCTTTAGTGCGGTTGTCATGGGCCACGCCCTACGCCCTGCGGGATACACGGAAGCATGTGGTGATAATCACCACATGCAATATTTTGCTTACATCTCTTACCCATCACTTGATATTAGCATCCTGTAAGTAGATATCTGTTCTATGAGGAGTGCCTTACGTCCAGTTTGAGAGCCCATCCTCCTGTCAGCTACGGCGGACACTAATCCATTCAATGGCTCGAATGGCAAGACGGCTTTTTCTTTGATGACGGACCTTGACTCGAATATAGTCCATCTCGCCGAATCACTGGTTTGCTTCCGTGTGACGTGTCTATTATCGATGCACTGAAACAGAATGAAAATAATGCTATTGATGTTGTTTTGCAAGGGTAGGGAAGGCTGGACTTGGTAGAGATCAGTCGTACTAAATAGAATGTTACATCCAACAACCCAGGGTATCCTTCTGAGTATAACTAGATACAACCTCTACCCCTATTTCTTATCTGTTTAGCGTCTTTCTTGTTTGACATGCGGTTCACTTGTTTCGGCTAACTGTTTTAGCAGGCGGGTAGAAGTCCAAGCTTTAGAGACCAGGTCTCGAAGAAGAGCAGGCTTCTTCAGTAGTCTATAAGACGCCACGCTATCTTGAATGGCTTAAATGGATAAGGATAAGCATCCTAGTATACCAAGCTTAGACATGGCGAAGTGCGAGCATATTTCTTGGATTGAATTATCAGAGGGGGGTGGTGCATTGCAGCTCATATATAGGTCCAGGGTGAGTCGGCTTGTTGCTGAACTACCAGACCCTTCAGCCTAGCTGCCCTAAGTGGTCTTTTTCATGGGCCGTCGCTTAAAAGACCAGGCTTTAAGGGAGTTATGCGGAGGTAACTACTAAGATTAACATCGTCATTAGCAATGTGTTAACCTTTGCTTAGATAACCGCATGTTGCACTCCCTGCAGCCTTGATATTCTGCACTGAGTTGTATGACTGTGAAATGCCCTTAAGTAAGTAGAGAATAAGCGTAGGGCTTGCGTCGCCTGGCTTATCCAGGGGATATTCTCTGCTTGGACTGAAGAGAAGTCGCAGCCTTCAGCAGCGTCCGTTTGGAAAACAAATGTGACCTCTGTTCCACGGGTCGTTGGATTGAATGATTACAGCTTCTGGCGCCCAGTCAATGGTCCAGTTGAAGAATGTCCCATTACTGTTTGCGATGGACGTTCTGTTGATACATCGAGGTCAATTGAGGTAGATATCACCCGCGGCCGCTATACAGGCACAGTACAGTATGTACTATGTGACTCGATGAAGCCGTTTCATTGGTACTATATGAGTAGGCAGAGTGACGAGTGACGAAGACGTTCTATTATTTAGGAGTTTTGACTTAAGGGAGGGGAGTGTGAAATGCAAGTGGCCATCAACTATCCACCCTATCCCATCATCCGATCTTGCCGACAAGAAAAAGAAAGAATGGGAACATGGTCTAACAAAGAATACCACATTGCTAGACGTCCCACATATATACTTTCCACTACCAAAGACACTGGCTGGGGTGCGGTCGAGGGAATGTATTAAGGTCCGGGCTCTAGTCTTTTTGTACCCAACAATACAAGGGTCTGTATAATCCCAAAACGCCATGGATTGTACTCTACCTTAAGATTTTATCAACTAGACTTACGCAAGTGCGCCTCGCTCAGGCTCTTAAAAATTACTCATTACAAAGAGGCTAACTGTACAGGAACTGTCCAATTATTAGGATGCGCTGGGCTTCTAACCAGCACTTTGAATCAGTTACATGACTTACATCAGATGATGCTGGCAGTGCTGCTATTATTGATGTTACATCAGGTCCCTTGGCGCCAACCAATAAATTATCGACCATGCCTACCCAATTCATTGCTCGCTAACCAGTACAGAGTCATCGAGTCCCTGATACTGCGACAGAGTGGTCCATTGATCTCTGTCTAGCTGCGCGGCGGTTTAGGTGCGCGAATAGGCCGTATGTATCCAAAGGTGGTAGTGTGATAATGCCGTAGTCATGCCATTATGTCATGTTATGGAATTCTTCCTGGCAAGCACGCATAACTTCGTAATTGCAACGTAGTAGTTTAATAATCTCTCTCGAAGCATGATGAAACAAATCAAATTCTTCCAGTCTTGCCCCCGGAATAAATTACCCAGGGTACAATAGACATTGTGCGTTCGACTTCAGCTCTTTATCTCCCAACAATCCCAGCTATAGCAAATCCTCTGGCGAATCGCTACTCCAGCTCTGCACACTGCTCCCTCTTTGCCTGCAAATAGGCCTCCTGACTCTGCTTCACCAGTTTCCGTCTTTCTGCAGCCTCCTCCTTGCTCAGTTTCGTCGGCAGGATACCCGGCGCTGGATGGAATAGTGTCTCTTCTGTAACCTTTGTACCGTCCACGTCACGGAAGTCCTCCTTTTGAATCATCCGAGCCATCTGCGGGGGCATAGTGTCCAGAATCTGTTTGATCTCCTCGGGGTTGAGGCCCCGCGCATCGAGGACGTCGTAGTCCCCCGAGAGGGTCCGCAGGACACCGTCCTTGCCGAGGTGGGTGCATCCCCTGCCAGTGGGATCGCGCTTCATGTGTTTCACGAAGCTGGGGAGAGTCTGCAAGTCATCGTGTTAGGGTCTGTGTGCCTGGGAAAACTGGGCTTGGCTGTGATAGAAGATGGTTTCTTTCACAAATATCGCTTACCCAGCAACTCATGTTGGAGTGGTATCAGTAGGTTTTGGTGACTGCTGTATCTCAACGAACACCAGTGTCATTAAAATATAGCTAGGTTAAGGTATTAATCCTAACGGCCCGCGCCAAGCGGGGGGGCATGAGCGCCGAGATGCGTAAGTGTTGTTGGGTTCAGATTTTCGGTCCAAAAGGGTGTCGGATCGATCACCGGAGGACTATAAACTTGGTTACATGCATAGATTAACCAACTACCAAACACAAAGGCTGCCTGTTATATTCTATCGTCCAGCGCCACCGAGTATATTAATAATCCAAAAAGCGGCTCCCGAGCTGGCTAATTACGGAAATTGCTCACTTGGCCACGCGTAAGCGTAGACCATTTGGTTCTGTGTGCCCGCCGGCGCAAAAAGTACAGCGCAAGCGAGATACCGAGAGATTAACCAGAGCGAGAGTCACTTCGTACCGAAATTGTGGAGGAAATGTATTGAGTAGGTTATGAGGCATACCCAGTTGCCGATTAACATCATTATCTCAGGTGAAATCAACCCTCTCGGGGGAAAGCGACCCGATTGATCAACAAGGGTAGAAGGCCTAGTAGACTTTGATCATACGATACTGATGATAATAATGATACTCACCAGAGTCACCACCATGAATGGTTCCTTGGCACGTTTCTCAGCGCGTTTAGCGTCATTCTAAGGTCTAACTGTCTGTACCTGTAGTCTAACTGTCTTACTGTCTGGACGGCGGTCGGACGGTGTGGGTAACACCGCCCCAAAGTCTCAATATCCTTAACAAGCATATGGAAGGCATGGTACCAATGTTCGTGTCCTTGTGCTATGACCGATATCATCCAAAGTAAATCGGGACAAGAAAGGCGTGTCTGGAATGTTCAAATTGAGAATTTAGCCGAGAGGGGAGAGTCAAAACCTCGTTACATAGTAGTTTGAAATACATATATATGAGAGATCGTGTCTTGAAAACATAGTCTGTAGTCTCAGACCCATCACGGACAGCATCAGACAGCCGCTTGATGAAGACGGCAGAAACTGCCTCTCCGCGGGCGTACCCGTTGGCATTGGCGGAGAAAGTCTTACAAGATCTGTCAGGCGAAAGAACGCCTTGCTCCGACAAGGCAGCACTCATTCCTGGACACATTATTAGGTTGACCCCGCCTACAACGGCACCTGGCAGTCTCCACGGGAGACCGCCATACACGCTTCGTGGAGGCAACAAGAGCTGCAGAGCAACCAGTACGGATGAACATGCTGTTTGATTAGATTAACAATGCGTAAAGAGTGAACACCCTCTGAACTGACCTGGGCCCCATGAAATCCATTTCAAACGAGACGCGGTTCGCCAGCATAAAATCACCGTAACCAGTCACTCGGTACAGACCGTGCTGCTGTTTATCTTTGGCATACAACTCAGTCCAATCCTCAGCAAAGCTGCCCATGTATCAGCCGATCTGTCGGCCTTTCTAATTGGTTTCGCCGGCAACTTCCATGCACTCCCGGACCACTTCCAGCATTTGCCGCTATTGCGGGTCCGCCCGCTCGACTTCGGCTTTTCTCATGTGGAAGAATGATGTGTTCAATGGCAGAAATATCAATACTCTCATCGAGGAAGTGTCCATCACAGTCGCTTTGAACTGTACTCAGTTTCCGCCTCTCAGAATAATGTGCGGGGGGCGTTGTATTTGGACTTTGGTACAGGGCCACGGGCATCACCCTTGGATATCAAGAAGTCCCAGAGCTCTTGTGGTGAGTGCAAGCCCCCCGGGAGACGTACAGACATGCCACAGATGGCGATAGGAACTTGTGAACCTGCTTCTGTCACATGCTTTCCATTGACAGAAGCACCATTGTTCTCCGTTCCTTCATGAGATCCGTCCAGAGAATTGCCGTTCGATACATGACAACTTGCACCATCGTCCATCGCGGAAAGCAGCACCATTGTCTGAGGATGCCGCCTGGAGCTTTGGTAAGGGTTTTGGAGGGGCTAGGTAGTCCTGAATGGAACAGGAGGTTGAAGACATACTAACAGGTCGATTCAGGGCCGCTTCCATGAAATATAGGTAATTCCATCCTCAAAAATAAACCTTATTTTTGCTGGGTTATATTGCGTGGACAAAAGTGAGTGTTCTGAGCTTGTGATTGGAGCTAGCAGAAAAGGGCTATAGAAGGTTCCTTGCATGTTGTGCTACGTTTCCAAACCTTCGTTGCGCATCCGGTGAAGATCTCCGTAATCCCTTGCTCATCATTGGGCAAAAAAGATAGCCCCCAATATTTTATGCGATCAACCACAGTTTGGAGCCATATCATATCGACTGATCGGGCAGCCCTTGCAGGAAGAGCGGCACCGCTCTCCAATCATTTGGTGAAGAATTGATTCACTCTAGCCATGAATGGTAGATGTTGGCATAGACACGAAAGCGATATATAAGAGATGGATCCACGGCCCTCCCCGTTCATTTTTTTCCATGCGCCAGCGAATACCTGTCGCCACGGATAGCCGGGACTGTATAAAATAAGCCTCATATGCAGCCTCAGAACATATGCGCGAGCATCTCAACTCAGCTGACTGGCCTAACAACGAACCAACTACAAGATTTTGGCTTTATGGTAGTCTCCCTTAATAATATCTTGATCTTTGGGAGTGACGGCACAAAAGAGTGGTTTGTCCTTTGCGACCAGGTTTCGCCGATAGCCACAATGGACTCAGGCCAGCCCATTCGATGGGAGGGCGCACTACAAGGGTTTCGTCTATATCTAGGGGCGGCAGGGTAACAAGTCCCGAGCCTCCAAAGGTCCAATGTACTATGACAATTAACTGGTAATCTGCAGCCTCGGACTTGCTATTTTTCTAAGTAGTCTTGAGCAAAGCATCGTTAGCACATCGTTGGTAACCATAACCAATGACCTCGGAGGTTCAGGGCAAAGCAGTTGGGTTATTACATCCTATCTGCTGACGTTTACAGGTTCTCCTCTTGCTTACATCTGCCGGATATCGTGTGTTCATTGCTGACTTGTGACGCTGTAGGATCTTTGATCATATGGTCTAACTGCGGCACCATATTTGGGGTCAAAGCGGCTCTCCTCACTTCCGTGTTATTGTTCGTGGCATTCTCCGGAGCCTGTGCCGGTGCGCAAGAGCTTAGCCAGCTGTAAGTCTGCCGGAAGACTCGTATTGTCCTCAGACATAGCTGACCACCCGAAATCGCAGCATCATATGTCGGGCATTTCAAGGCCTTGGTGGGGGCGGCATATACTCCTTAGCCCTCTTTTCCTTTGTTCGCATCGTACCCTACAAAAAGTATGACAAAATCAGCTCTGTCGCCGGTGCAATTTTGTCTCTCGGCCTTGTCCTAGGCCCCTTATTTGGAGGTGCTATTGCCAATAGTGGAAGCTGGCGCTGGGTATTCCTGTGCAAGTGTGTCCACTCTGTCCTCTTGGTTTAACTTGCTCTAATATTAGTGCAGTGTTCCCGCGGGTGGTGTGGCTTTGGCCTTGATATCCTGGGCCATGCCAGCTCGTTTCCCACACCATTCCCACACGTCGGCGGATGAGTCCACATCACTTCGAACGTGGCCTAATATTAAGACCTTTCTCTGGCAGCTAGACCTTTTTGGAACATTTCTCATCCTCACTGCATGTTCGTTCATCATTGCTGCTCTCCAGGAGGGTAATTTCGAGTATCCATGGTCCTCAGGCATCGTGATCGGTTTTTTTGTGATTTCAGGCATCTCGTGGATTGCGTTTATCTGGTGGGAGTGGTTTATTTATCGACATGACTCCAAAATCAGCCCAGTGTTTCCATGGCAGCTTACATCCAACAGGGTGTTCATGGGTGACGCTTTGTATGTACCCCCCGGCTTCCCAACCCCGATGACCCACTGACGAACTGCCCGTAGGGGATCCTTCACGACGGGGCCACCCTTGACGGTCTGTGTTATCAACCTCCCGCAACGATTTCAAACCGTAAATGGAAGCTCCCCAATTGGTGCTGGTGTCAAGTTATTGTCATTTGCGCTGAGCTGCCCTCTTGGAATCATGGCTTGCTCGTTTGCGGCAGGGCGTCTTCGAGTTCCCTTCTGTTACATTGCGTTATTTGGTATGATCTGCCAGGTTCTTGGGCTTTTCCTCTTCTCGGGCATTGCTTCTACCACACAACTTTGGGTACCTCAATTCGGATATCTGGTCCTAGCTGGGCTAGGGGTTGGGTTAACTGTGGGAACGTTCACTATGCTTGCGCCACTTGTGGTGGATAAGAAGGACCAATCCATCGCATTGGGGATTGGGCTGCAACTTCGGATGCTTGGCGGTGTTTTGGGAGTCGCCGCTTCGACCGCCATTCTCAATCACTATCTCACGAGCCGATTATCATCCATGATCCGTCCCGAAGAGCTGACCGCTCTTTTAAAAACGACGGAAGCAATCCGTACGTTTTCTCCGGAGATTCAAATTCGCGTTCGCGAGGTTTATGCGATGGCCTATAGCATGCAGGTCAAGCTTTCGGCTTCATTTTCTGTCGCGCAATTGTTGGCCATTGCGATGATATGGAGGAGACAAAATATTCGATACTCAAAGCAGTGATATTCAATGTGACTCCGTCGCACGCACCATAAAAACCTATGGTGCAGCCATGATGCTACATACATGTCTCTGCTGGCATTTACTAAGGTTCGTCATTCGATGCAATTTCTCGGAAGTTGGCGGTGAAGTACGAGTATAGATCATCTGCAATGAAGATCGTCTTAAATCTGATTGATGGAAGTGTTTCTGTTGCATAAAACGGCTTTTCAACTGCATGCATCTGACTTGCATCGAGTGGAGAGTCGCTGGCGAGAGCCTATTGCGCTGGCTGATGGATAGATCATTTCTAAAACTGAAATCGGCATGTTTTTCTGCTTCTATTTATTCAGCGGATTGATCACTGTGGTATATCTTTTGCTAGAATTACGATATCCGGTATTTCCTAGGAATTACTACGGGCAAGTTATGCTATCTGAGCCGTTGACAAACCACCTTGCAGAACATTACCAAAGGTCGTCCCTATTCCAGATCTCGCTGGACTTAGGATGCCTCGGACAACACTCACTACTGATTGTAGACCAACTACGGAGTAGGAACCGATCAAAGGGCCAGCTGCAGAGTAGAGATACGGCGTCAGGCAGAATCGGGGGCGAAGAGACAGAGGCTAGTAGCCCGGGCCCGAACTGGCTCTTCTTAGGATGTTGTATGTGAGTAGGGTCGTGGTAGACCAATTCAGTCGCAAAAGCATAGTTGGGCGCCAATTGCCGGTGCTCTATGGTGGTCGTCATCTCATGACCTGACCTTCTTTGCGCGCAATTTCAGCTGGATCTTTGCGGCTTTTGCGTGCGTAACCGTTGCATTAAGTGCGATGCAGGTAGGGCTTGGGACATAACCCCCTGCGTTTCTTGTTATATACCACTTTGCCCTTAGCTTTCGGATATCATCGTGACCAGTCTTCAATCTCTGGATGACTCTTGGGTTACTCCTAGATCACTCTCGGACCGTACTTGGAAGTGAATTGGTACCGGTTCACTTGTGGACGACGAGTAAAAGAGACTCAAACTTGAAGCACGATGGCCGGGGTTGGCGCCTGACTCAAGTAATAGCTTAACCACTGCTTCATGGCTACTCAGTCCTGCCAATAGCACTGGCGTCTGATTATAGATATCGGTTGACTCTCTCTGCTTCAACGAGGGGTTTATTCGCTGCTCCGTGCCCCTTCACAGCTGTCCCATCTCTCTTCACTTCTGCCCCATGACACCGCCAGACTAGACCTATCCATAAACTTGGGGTTAGCGCCTGCCTTAAGTAGTAGCTGAACCACTCCTTTGTGCCTTTCCGCTGCCAGTAACAGTGGCGTCCGACTATGGATATCCTTTGACTCTAGGTTGGCGCCTGCCTCAAGGAGTAGTTTAACCACTGCTTTGTGGCCATTCCATGCTGCGCGTGACAGCGGTGTATGATCTAAGCCACCCTTTGACTCTAGCTTGGCGCCTGCTTGAAGAAGTAGTTTAACCACTGCCTCATGCCCACTCCCTGCTGCCAATAACAGTGGCGTCCGATTATAGATATCTTTTGACTCAAGGTTGGCGCCTGCCTCGAGCAGTAGCTTAACCACTGCTTCACGCCCATTCCATGCTGCGCATGATAGTGGTGTCTGATTCCCGCTACCCTTAGCCTCTAGGTTGGCTCCTGCTTCAAGGAGTAGCTTAACCGCTGCTTCATGCCCTTTCTCTGCTGCCAAAAAGAGTGGTGTCCAACGCAGGCTACCCTTTGACTCTGGGTCTGCGCCTGCCCTAAGGAATATCTTGACAACTGCTTCACATCCGTTTTCTGCTGCAAAGGAAAGTGATGTCAGGTTTGAGCCGAAGTCGATGTCTACCAAGCTCTTCCGTAGGATAATATCCACCAAATCCGGCATGTCCTTCTCAAGTGCCCTAGAGAGGCCGTTCAGCAGCGTTGGACTCGACGGTTGAAAACTCCCTTGTTGAATAAGGAGCATGGCGATCTCTATCTCATCATAATCTATTGCCATGACTAGGACTCGCCGACCGAATCTCCCTTCCATCTCAACTGCGGCAGGCTCCTTCCGGAGCAAGATTTCAACGACTTCCCTATGGCCATTTTCCACAGCAACATATAATGGAAACTCTCCATATATATTCCGAAAAGTTGCTGACGCGCCGCGCGAAAGAAAAAGATTGACAAGATCTGTTAGCCCATTTTGTGAAGCCAACAGCGTATCCTCGTCACCATGTTCAGCCCCTGCCTCAAGCAATTTGTAGATCACCTCTTCGGCATTGAGTGTTATTGCAGCAGTCAGGGGCGTTTCACCCAATTTATTCTTGGCATTACTGTCCACAAGGTAATACTTTTCCAGTACTCTGGCTCTGGCACCGTTAATGCTCTTCTCAAAGCCTTCGTTTTGTCGAAGCCGCCACTCGATCGACCGATTCAGCAGCGCAAGTGCCATATCCTGCTGACCATATGTGATTGCCAGAAGTAAGGGTGTATTCCCAGTAATATCTCTACCGTCCACTTGTACATTATCCTTCTTCAAGAAGTCGTCAAAAGCACTCTTCGAGCCCAATGCGACCAGAACATGAAGCGCCGTTGCCCCAATTAAAAGCAAGCCTAGATTCTTGCAGAAGTCCGCGGTCGCCAACCATACACTGCTAATTCTCTTCATGTTTGAGGGTCGATCTAATTGAACGAGAGAGAGGAGGTCAGGTTGCGCGATTCCCTGTTCTTCCACTATCTGAATATGGTGGAACAGGAACCGCACAGCGTATGGGACCAGTGGGAACCTTGTCCAGACTTTGGCGGGCCACAGCTGAGCTTCTTCTAGCACATCTTCTAACGTCAAATATCTGAGACAGGACCTCGATATTTGAAAATGGCCAGCTGCGATTGGAGATTGAAGCCTATTCTGGTCATGTTCAACATGGCGGAGGAAATTCTCCAGCAAATACTCAGCAACGGATTGGTGGATCAAATGAGCTTCCTTGTCGGCTTCGTCAGGGTAATATTTGTCACAAATATCGCGTGTTTTGAATTCAATCAGTCCCCCCGAAATGTGTCGGACATGCTTCTCAAACTCAGGCAGAGTGTCGGACCAACTTGGGTGCTTTCTAATTTCAGTATTGCGCTGCGTGTCCTTATCAATAGAAAGTGCATCCCGAAGACCTTGCGCAGACAACGGCCGCGCTGCGAATAAGACCCACTGGAACAACTTGACAGTCTGATGCCTTTCGGTCTCTGGAAGACCACCCAGAATGTCTGAGTATAGTTCATCAAGAGCTTCAGGTATAGCGAGGAGCTTTTCCTGCAGCTTCTCCGCCTTGGTGCCATTGTCGTTCTCCTCAATCACCATGTCGCAAACCAAGACGGCCCATTGAAATCCTCCTTGAGCTTTTAGCAAGATCTCCTTTTCAATTTGCTGGCGCTTTGTGTCTGGTTGCACGTTTTCGAGCTTATCTCGAATGGCCAATCGAATGTCCTGATCATTTCGCTCTTCCACGGAAATACTTGGGAAGATGTCGTGGCCAAGGATAGGATAGTGTCTAGAAGAAACACATATCTTTACCAGTCCTTCCTCGCGCTCAATATCTTTCATCATATCTCTGAAGTACGCCAGCAAGCTTCTCGCAGCATCTTTGCCAGCCTCGTCAAGCGCGTCGACAAAAATGACAACGGGATGGGCCTTCGTCCCTTTTGTAAGAACTCGGAACAAAAGTTCTTGGAGCTCTTTTTCCGTCCAGGTCCATCTACCTTCCTCATAGGACCCAAATCGTTTCTCGCGATCCTCGAACCTGACAGTGAGCTCAGAGAGGTAAGTTGGGAATGATTTGAGCATGCTGTTTAACAGTGCGCGGAAAACACCCAATGGCGTCTTTTGCAAAAGCGTTCCTCGACCGTGTAGGAAGTAGGATATGACAAGCTCTCCATATTTTCTGTGAGCCATTGCTATAGCAGCAAACTTCATGAGGACGGATTTGCCGGCCCCAGGATTCCCTTTGATCCAGAAAAGACCTCGTGGCTTGTTCATCCAATCCTTGTACTGCGCATCATTGAGGAGCCACCCACAAGTGTTTACTGCAGAATGAATATCATCGAGTCTATGGTCTTGTTCTCGAAAAGAAAGTGACCTGAGACACTCTGCGACGAGTCAGCTGCCAGTTGGGCATTCGGTCTCGCACTACATACCTAAGCTTCTTGTTGAATGCGGCACTAATGCTGGAGAAACTCTTAGTATACTACAAGCCAAACAATCACATCTGGTCACACACAGTTATTTCCAGCTTCTGCACTCAATGCATCACGCATGCCTGGTACTTTGCACAGTAGCGGTCGTAGAACTGTCTTAACACGTATATAGAGCCCATCATATTGGTCGCTATATTTCACCATCTCGGAGTGACTGCGGCTGATTGGGTGTTGGTTTTTACTGCCGCATGTCGCGGATGAGACGTCAACCAAGACTTGCGAAGGTCCAGAAAGTTCCCACCGGTCATTTATCTAGAAAAGGTCTAAGCAGTTATAAGGCAAAAGCGTTGAACTGCTCAGTAGCTCACCTTCACTGCGGTAGGCGACTTCTCCGTTTCGTAGAAAGAGATAATACGAATGGGCCTTTCGCTAAATGCATCCCTGAAATCCTGTTCGAGGCGCATGAGAAGCGCTGAATTCTTACCGAGGGACTCGAGCAGGCCACGATTGGGCTGGTCTTTTACCAAGGGGACGAGCGACTCGATAGCCATCCCTTGATGGGGAACGCCGAAGAATAGGAACCCGCAAATGGAATTCAATATTGATGCGCCGGTCTCATCCATTTCCTCTTTCAGCTTGCATATAGCCTGCCAACCGGCTTGTGAGCATACGGCGAACCTTCCTTGATCTATGAGTATTGATGTCGATACAGACCTCTTTAATCACAAGACCTCCGAGACTATGTCCAATGAATAATATGGGACGGGATTGGCTGCATTCCTGGACACTGTATAAGCCATAGGGTGCAAATTTGGGAGATGCGAGGAGCAATTACCCGGATGCCTTTCATATCGATTTGAAGGGCTCTACCCAAGTCTGTCAAGTTCTGGAACGAACTGCTCCGAACGAGTTGAGTATCATAACCGTAGATCAGAACCCTTGCATTAGGGAAATCCAACGGAAACGCATCACGAAGCCACATGAAAGAACCACCCCTTTCTTTGAAGGAACCAAAGGCGTGCCCACCAAGACCGGATATTGCGATCACGCTTAGGACATGTCAAAGCCTTTCGTGACCACAGGTGCTGGGGAGACTTACTCCACATCACAGCTACCTTCTCCAGAATGTTGGAGAGGCGTGAACCCTGAGAAGTGAGTATCCAGTATAAGAGTGTGTCTGGTGTTCACAATGTCTTCGTCTCCGTCCGACGGCAGCGCAAATTTCCACTGATCTTTTGAATCTTTAGACAAAGAGACAGGGAGAGTATGGAAACTAAGAGTGGCGACCTTGCTGTTGCGCCGGACAGGGTCAATGGCAAGAGAATGAACTGCGACGCTTGCACCAGGTCCAATAGAAAGGACGCTCATGATAAGCTCCCGGACATCAGGCCTGGTTTGATATCTAAGTGGAATTCCCCTTAGCCTGAAGTTTTGATAGTGGTCTGTTGCCATAATGCAGAAATACTGCCGATGGTGAACATCTCTGAAGGGTTAACAAAGTGAAGCTGAAGTCAAAGTCGGTAAGGATTTTCAGCAAGTCACGGGCTCAAGGCCAACCAGTCAGTACGCGCCAATGCTCAGCCTTGCTCGATGTCCAATCAGTCTCTGCCTTTCTGGCGCTCTGCTGCGCCTGTGCATTAATGGCTATTACGCCTTGGAGTGATATTACTGGCTCAATCCCTTTGCCCTGGCAATTTCCTAGCCTTACCGCGCCGCGCCCAAACCTCCAGGCAGATCTCTCAACTCCTCAACTCTTCAATATCTTGTTTTTTGTTTCCCTTTTTATTATGAAATAATTCTGGAAAATTGACCCGGATCAAAGGCCAGCGTGTTAAGGATGTTTCTCTCCATTATAAAGCGTTTCATTTTACGTTTCTAGAGTCAATGGGGTTGCGAAGTTGATGGAAGATGGAGTCCACAAGGTGAGAAGGACATAATCGAATTAATCAAAGCAACGGCGAAGAGTTGACAGTCAAATGCACTGTCAGTCCCCCTTTCCAGAAAGAAAATGAACTTCTAAGGGGTCCTGTTTGTCTACCTGTCTACATTCCGCAGAGCACTTCCCCCCTCTATCCCGTGGATGACCTGCGCGCATACCTTGAGCAAGATCTCCGGACACCCCGTCTGGACAAAATCCATCAACATCTCTGGCTCGCAGGTCTTCCTAGGGCTGCACGGCCATTGCATCGACAAAAACTGCTTGATCGCACAATCATAGTCACCGAAGATCCTAACGAGCACCTTGTATGGCATGAGTCTCGTATATTCGTCAAACCGCTTCCGGAATATCTGCTTTCCTATCAGTTTTGGCAGGACCATCTCGAAAAGGAATTTCAAGATGAATCTTTACGCAAAGCTGCTTATGGGTTTCTACTATCCTACAGCTGGCTTATATGCCATAAATCCGACCTTAGCGTAGCGCATTCCAGCGGTCTTTTGCCTAAACCAATCACTTGGGAGAATTGGGTGAACTTTCTGGCCGACTTTCTAAGTCACGTTGATATACACACCCTTAGCAATGTCTCTGTTCGGTATCGATACGGCGAGCTGCGTCTCTCAAGATTGCACCGGATATACAGATTTTTCCCTTCAGTTTTCTCCACAACAAATTTTATCAAGGGATTCAAATCCGAGTCGACGTGGTATAAAGCCTTCTTTGCGAGGAATTTCAGTTGGATCTTTGCGGTTTTTGCGTACATGACCGTTGCATTAAGTGCGATGCAGGTAGGACTCGGGACACAAAAGTTACAAGATGATCACAACTTCCAGCAAGGATCACAACGATTCGCAGTTGCAAGTTTGGTTCTACTCGCTGCAAGCATGGCTCTGATCGTTATCATCTGGGTCTTTCTATTCTGCTTTCATTTCCTATGGGCTATGCAGAGTCTGAAGCATCGGACGCATGAGAAAAACGAGGGATGAAACCTTGAGATACTGGTGATGGTTGGAATCACACGGTCACCACAGCCGCTGCCTGCTTCCCTGGACAGGACATACTTTCTCTATGCTGCCGCCGGATCATGAGCTAGGTATACCTCAGTCGGCGATGAAACGCTTCCTGCTTTGTCTTCGGAGGCGCGGGATGGAAGAGCCATTCATCTGACCTGGCCGAGGGTACTTGATAGACACATCACATCAGATGATGACTCCCACTCGCTGGTCACGGCAACAATTGGTGGCCTCATGTCTGCGAAACGTATCATCACTATCGGAACCAGGTCAGCTGCGTACCGCGGGCAGATGTCGGAGGAGATACTTCAGCAGCTGTCACGGAATCAGAGTCAATTTCCCCTGATGTGAAGGACGAAGTCAAAGTGAGAGGGATGTGTTCCAAATGGACAACTAAAGATTCTGGTCAAGGCTGGGGTCGCATCAGAAGTGAGGGTTGACAGGGAATCCTTCCACTACGATTTGCTGAGTTATTATTATATTTTGTCGAAAAGTAGATTGGGTACTTGGGTACCCTATATTAATCAAGATTATCAATCCAAGTTTTTTGAATGAGCATATTATCAGATTGAGAAATCATGTTATAGGACAGTGAACTTACATGATATACTATAGAATACCCCAGTTTCCATCACATAGATAAACTTTCAAGCCAGCTACGTAGCATTGTTTTAAACTTCTATCGCTTTCAATGCATAATATCCCTATTATTGGTTTCACACTCCCACTCATACAGAGTATGGCAAGCAAAGCTTGCTCCGGAGAACAGAGATAGAGTGAGATGTACCTCTTATAGTGGTGGGAGAACATGTGACAGGATCAGGTAGGATTTGTTTACAATTAATAATAGTAATGTAGAATTCGCCGAGGTCCAGGCACTAGTGCTTTTGCACAGGCACTAACGCGGATCAACTAATGGCCTGCGTGCAGGGGTCAGGAACAAGAACTCAGGATCGTCTAGACTTTGTTATTCATGCTTACTTCCTAGATCATTAAGGTATGTTGACAATTCCCAACAGTGGCAGGGAGTAAGCTGCCTCCGGGTATGTATTTTTAATGTTGCTATCTCAAGACTCTTATAGAGGCAAGGTGAAGACTTAAGCGAGAGATATCGAATGTCTCATATTTGGGACTATACTATAATTAGGAACTCTGAAACGGTGGGGACAGCGGACAGTTACCAGACCCAGGGTTTGAGCCGGATATTTAGCAACCTGAAACTGCCGATGAGGATCAGTCTCAGACCATCCTATACCACAGACCATATTCAAGTCGATAACTCATCTTTCTGCTTCCCCGCAGAGAGGATACAACATGAGGATACAACCTCCTGGAGCAACGAATGTTTCACCATCGAAGGAGGTTCCCATGGAACGGTTCCTGTCTCCACGGACAGCTCCTCCTTCTTCACAAAAGCGTCTCACACTGAGTCACATGGAGGAGAAGCTTCTCATCTGAAGCACTCTGGCATCCTTTACAGGACAGGAGGTGCGCTTAACTGGAGACAAGCTGGAGCAGCTTTTGTCGTTGATACCTCCGTATGTTTCACCAAGACCCTGAACTTTGTCGCTTAGCAGTTGACACCGAATCCAAAGGTCTTCCCTCGAACGATGGAGAACGATAGATGCCTCTCATTTGTCACTCTTTCTGTCGAAAAGCCGGATAGCCAGGATGACAGCCGCTAAGGTGCCATGGAATCGGACGCAGACCCCTGCCCTCCCCTGTATCAAGCTATGTCATGGTGTGCTGCCCCTAAAAAGAAAAATAAAAAAAAAGAGGGGTATCGCACATGGAGTTCTTCACGCTGATGTCCTGGTGGATCATGCTGTCAATGATTCTTAGAGTGATAGGCGGACTTTATATACCGAGTGAGCACACTGCTGTTGATCATCTTGAGTCTAATAATCTACATCATCAACATGGCGACTAATCGAACGGTGGATTACGCCACAGGCCATGCTGGCCTCAACACTCCTCGCGATGTCCTTTTTGTCCAACTTATCTATTCATCCATGTTGGTCTTCGCCGGGATAGTCCTACTAGCACGGGTGGCTCAAATCGGGCATGCATATCTTCGCTACATCGTCTGTTCCGGTGCAACTGAAAAGCAACAATCATTCTGGAGCATCACGGAATCATCGCTCTGGGTTCGAATCAAAAGCCGTCTGCTCTACGCGCCATTGTTCGGCAAGCGCCATAACCGGGAGATCCAGCTCTCGTCAGCCATGAATATGGGCACTGTGCCTTCCCGATTTGACTCACTTCTTATCTTTGGATATATTGTCAGCCAAATCGTCTACTGCTGTGACCTCAACTATCAGAACGAAACGCCCGCCATCATTGCAGAGCTTCGAGGGCGTTCCGGTACATTGGCCACATTAAACATAGTGCCTCTTGTGCTCTTTGCAACCCGCAACAACCCCTTGATCCCTCTCCTACGGATCAGTTTTGACTCATACAACCTTTTTCACCGATGGTTGGGCCGCATCGCCGCCATCGAGAGCATAATTCACATGGCTGCTTGGGCCGTCAACACCGTCCGAGACGCAAACACGGCCGCACTTGCCCAGCATCTTGCTGAAACGCCCTCCTACGCCTGGGGAATGGTTGCAACTGCAGTCATGGGCTTTTTCATTCTTCATTCCCTCTCACCTGTACGGCATGCCTTCTACGAGACCTTTCTCTGCATTCACCAAGTGGGCGCCTTCTTCATCCTCTTAGGCATATACCTACACCTGGACATGCACAGCCTGCCGCAAAAACCATGGATCCAAGGGATCATTCTCATCTGGAGTGCAGAACGGTCCACCCGACTCCTCTGGCTCGTCTTCCTGAATGTGTCCCGGCGACACGGCATGACAAAGCTGCGGGTAGAAGCGCTTCCTGGTGAAGCCTGCCGTCTCACATTCTTCCTCCCCAGACACTACCCCGTCCCCGCGGGCAGCCACTTCTTCGCGTACATCCCCCAAATCTCCTGGTGGATGTCGCACCCTTTCTCCGCCGCATGGGCAGAACCCTCCAGCACCTCCAGCACCTCCCGCCCGAAAAGCATCCGATCCTCTATCACCGACATCAAATCCCTCACTCTCGAAAGCCAATCCTCCACGTTAAATCACACAGCAGTGACACTAGTCGTCGCCGCGCGCCAGGGCATGACCCGCGCCCTGTACACTCGCGCAATGTCCTCCCCAGACGAAACCTTCACAACAACGGGCTTGCTCGAGGGCCCGTACTCCTCCCACGCAGTGAACATGGCCAGCTACGGCACCGCGATCCTCTTCTCCGGCGGCGTGGGCATAACGCACCACCTCCTCTTCATCCGGGATCTCCTTCTCCGCGCCGCAGACGGCCGAGCCGCCACGCGGTCCATCACGCTGGTCTGGGCGGTCCGCAGCATGGACAGCGTGCGCTGGGTGCTGGAGTATATCCAGGAGATTCTGCAGATGCCCAACGCCGAGACAATCCTGACGATCATGCTGTTTGTGTCGAAGCCGAGGAGTCGCGGCGAGATGCGCTCGCCGGGGGGTGTGATTCGGACGTTTGCGGGGCGGTGTAATCCAGCTACTGTGATGGACGAGGTTATGCCCAGGAGGATTGGGGCGACGGTGGTGTCGGTTTGTGGGCCGGGAGCGTTGGGAGATGATGTGAGGGAGGCGACTAGGCGGCAGGTGGATCGGGGGGCTGCAGTTGATTTTGTGGAGGAAGCGTTTACTTGGTAGGTGGCGTTGGGATATTCTGTTCTACTAGTATGTAAATAATGTCTAATACTGTTGCTGTGCAACAATAAAAGTGTATGTTTACCGACGGCTCGCTATAAGGACTTGCGTATTCGCTTTCGGTAACAGAGACAAATTCTTATAAATGACGCGAGTACAAGCAGAAGTAATCCACTACTATGGAGTAGAGCTACTACTAGTCAGTAATGAGATTGTAGTTTTGGTCCAATCAGCGAGCTCGCAATGCGCCGTTCTGGGTATACTTCGTATCGCATAACGTTATGGCGCTGCGAAGTCAATTCGACCTCGGAAAGGATATCGTTCTCGTCTCTTAGATGGCTCAATATCGTTCGATCTGACCAGGACAGTATCTTCTACGATCTTCAATACGATAATCTCCACAATTGTGTTATAATATAACGTTATGCAATGAAGCATACCGCACATATATAAGACCGCAAATGCCTTCTCTCTTTACAAATCCATAACCCTCAGTCAAGTACAGATTACCAATCAAAATGAGCCTTCAAGGAAAAATCGCCATTGTCACCGGCGCCTCGCGCGGAATCGGCGCCGGGATCGCCCTTCATCTCGCAAAGCAGGGTGCAAAGGTACTTCCCCCTTTCTTCACCTCTGCAGTGCTATGGCTAATCCACACAGCTCACCCTGACCTACACCTCCGCGAGCAGCGCGCAGGGAATCGACGAGCTATGCGTCAAAATCCGCTCCCTGAACAACGGCTCCGCAGCAACCAAGGTCCAAGCCGATCTCAGACAGCCAGACGCCCCAGGCCTGATCCTCGCGGCCACGTTTGAGGCATTCCCCGATGCAGATAACAAGATCGACATCCTAGTCAACAACGCAGGGGTTTCGCAATGCAAGAATCTGGTGGAAACAACCCACGACGACATCTCCTCCGTCTTCGACATCAACGTCTTCGGCTTGATGAACATGACCAAAGCCGTAATCCCGCATCTCCGCGCCCCCGGCCGGATCATCAACCTCAGCTCTGTAGCCGCTCGGCGCGGATCACCTGGTTTCTCGGTGTATTCCGCGTCCAAAGCGGCCGTGGAGGGATTCACGAGGTCGTTGGCCTGTGAGCTGGGTCCGGTGGGGTGTACGGTTAATGCTATTGAGCCTGGGGCGGTGGAGTCTGATATGTTGCGCCGGGAGATTCCGGCTGACGTGCTCGCTTATATCCAGCAAAGTACGCCACTGGGGGGTAGAGTCGCTTTGCCGGAGGATATTGCGCGCGTGGTGACTTTCCTAGCGGGGGAGGAAGGGGGATGGGTGACGGGGCAGAGTATTTGTGTTAGTGGGGGGATGCATATGAATTGATTATCAGTCATGTAACATCAACTAGTCTTGAGAGGTTTAGATGAGTGTATTAATGGCAATGGTCCTATTGGTTAAAGCGACGTCCTCCCCTGGTAAACACCCGCATACCCCTCAACCTCCTCGCTCATCTGATGAAAAACAAACTGCGCTAGGCGCGCAGAGGGATACACCCTCAGTCCGGCGGGATTAAGCACCTGCATCAAGGCACCGACTGCCCCGACATATCCACTGTCCATCACACCGGCGGTGAGCAACACACCAGAGCGGAAGAGCGAGCTGCGCACGAAGATCTGGCCCATGAGGTCAAGCGGGACAGAAACTGTCTCGTTGAATTCGACGAGATAGGATCCCTGCGCGAGATCGAGAAAGCGCTCCTCTGGAGAAGCGGTACTTGATGCGGGGAAGGGGATCTCGATAGTTGACGCGGTCTGGCGACGCTGGTTTTCTAGATCGATTGTTCCGGGCGATGTCCAGGTGAGGACTCGTTTGAGGGTCAGGTCCACGCCGCAGGGCTGGACTTGCAGGGCGGGATTCTGGACATTGCGGATGATGGTGCGGGTGAGGAGAGCGCGGCCAGGGATGATCATTCTATCTCGGTGCAGTCTCGTGTAGTCAGTTGAGAGCCGTTAAAGACAAATAGCACAGTGTAATAGCAAATCAAGGTCTCATATAATAGTGGGCTGAGTGTTTCCAATGACTGTAAACATCGATCCATTGACCGGAAGGGTCTAGTATTAGGCCAAGATATACAGGTGGCTGGGACGGAGCGCCAAGAGAAGTGCTCCAACCTAACTAGCAAAATTAAAGAACAGTCTAGGCCCGCTACTCCTTAGGGAGTATGGCGTCGGCGATTTGCGATAGAGATTTTAAGCTTGGCATAGTTAGCTCATGCCTCGAGGTGCATGAATGAAACGAAAACTGCTGCGAGTCTGTCTGAGTCAGAGATGTGTCTCGGCAATCCACAGTATTGGGACCATCTAGAGATACCCATTCCAGTATATATCCACTCCAGACCACAAGTATCTAGCCTCACTTAGCGTACAGATCTGACCACAAGAAACTCTGCCAATCGTATAATGGATCTGCTTGACCAGTGGGACCCAGAATATGAGGATATCGGCACGCTTGATCTGGATGAGATTTATCAAGAACTGAGTCGCCTCGATGCTTTTGAGCAACTCATAAGATCGAAACAAGGGAGGGATGGTCCTGACTATCCCGACAAGGAAGTTGAAGATGATATCAATGCTGAAAAGGATGGCGAGGAGGCTTCCGTGCAGGACAACCTAGAGGAGACCCGAAAGAACATCGTACTCAATGACATCCGCACACGCCGCATCGCTCTTCGAGCTGGGGCAATGGAACTTTCCCGCGCGAAGATCCGACCGATGACGATAGTTGATTTGCCTGCGGATATTCTCCTCCAGATTTTCGGTTACTTCAAGGACGCCAGGATCGGAAAGCAGGCCCAAATTGACTGGAGGTCGCCGCTCAGGGGCTGGGACGAAGATGATGCCCGTAGGGCTGCCCACGAGACCATCCGGCAAATTCGCCTGGTCTGCAGCCTGTTCAACGACCTGGCGTCTCCGCTGTTGTGTCCGATCCTCCGCATAGATCTTGACCAGGACTCGCTGAACGGGGCTGTGGAGTTGCTCAAACGTCCCCGGATAGCACAAGGTGTGCATGCTATTCAAGTCGGACTGCAGTATCGCCCGCAGGAGCTTGTCTCGGACTGTCCGCGATTCAAGGACCACTGCAAGAAGGAATTAGAGAAAATAGCTGATTTGTGTGAATGGTACACTGACACCTGGCTGGAGTTGGGGTTCGATTCGGATGATGAATTGGTCTGTGAGCTACCGAAGAGGGTATATCGCGCATCGACGCGTTATTGCTCTATAATCAGTCGTTCGTGGGACGACTATTTTAACTCTGACGAAAGTGACGAGAATGAAGAGAATGATGATATCACTGAATCCGAGGCGGATGAATACATGGAGATTCTCGTCAACGGCTATAACGAATATCTCAAAAAGCATAACGAGCAACTACAGCTCATCATGACTGGATCGTTCGTCACCACGGTTGCATCTTGTATCTACCAGATACCCAACGTGGTTGCCCTCGGCTTCACCGACGCAGTGAATCTACCATATTATCGGTTTAACCCGCTAATTTTGCCTAGAGATAAGAGTTTTCTCCCCGAATTCTTGAGTGCAGCGCTGGAGTGGAAAGCAATTGAGGATGTGAACGATACCAAACTCACTCCGGGCGATGTCAAACTTACGCCCGCCAGGATCTTGTTCGAATTGCCGATTGCCATACACAAAACCGGAGCCACCCTGAGAGATCTGTATATTGGAGCATTCCCATGCCGAGGCAGCTTTTCTCAGATCTGTCCCGATACTGTGAGCAATCCCACCGATCCTGCAGCATGGTCTGATCTTCGAGCTGCATATAGCAGCCTCCGCAGAGTCAGCTTCGGATCGTATCTCAACCACCGTTCCATCCGGCACGAGCATCTCCAACCAGTAGATAGGTACTATGTCGACCAGTACGTTGGCGCAATACTGTGCGGTGCGGAGCTGCAAGATGTGCGGATGAGCTTCATTTCGTTGGGGCTCAATGATGGCCGGACCACAATGGAGGGCTGGTACGACCTAGGTCCTGTTCTTGCTGCAGTCAAATGGCCGCGGATCAAACGTTTGGCGATCCTCAACGTCTCCTCAAAGCAAGATGATCTACAAAAGTTCTGCTCCGGGATGCGTGACTCAATGATCTCCCTTCAATTGTCCAGCATACAGCTTTTGAACGGTAGCTGGGCAGGGATTCTGGCCATATTGGACGAGAAGGTTGGGTATAGATTCCCCGAACAGAAAGCCACTGGCTATTTGAGTTCTCTGAGAGGGGGAGAGTTTGGAGAAGAGGAGGTCAGGGAAAGGAGCATCTTCGATGGCTTGGATAGTGACTCGGATGAGCCTGAACGACTCCCTCCGGCAGGGCAGCTGTTGAAGCAGCTGCACCCTTCACTGTTCACACCCCGGTAGCTGGTGTCACTGTCATATAGTGTGCGTTAGAGTCCTACAATCGAGGACTAATACCTATGAATTATTATTATCTTCGCCGCCATTTCACATTGACTTTTAGAAACCCGCCTGGGTCAATTTGTTGGGCAGCTGTAGGTTTACCCATTCCATGGTTCATAGCTACACAGCACCACCAATCGACAGAACCAGCAATACAGATGAGCTTATCGATCATATGATTCTTTCTGCATCATCACGGCTATGACATCTATTACCATGAGACTCCCCTCAACACCCGCCTATCTCCACCACCATCTAACCTCCTTCAATACAACAACACAATGTCCAAAGAAAGCGGCGACCCCAACGCCATCGACCTCCTCTCCCGCATAGCAACTCTCCTCGAACAAGTCGCCAGCAACCTCCACCACAACCATTTCGACCGAGCCACCATTCAGACCATCCTCCTCCAGTACTCCTCGCGCGCCAAATCTGACGGCCACCTCATCAACGCCTCAAGACAGGACTCCCAGTGCGTCGAACACGGCGTCTTCCTCTCCCACGTCCACGTCGAGTTACTCTGCTGGCTAACCAAACACAACTACACCCTTCCAGCGTCCTCAGTGAAATGGTATAGCTGGCGCAAGCTGATTTCGCGGAAGTACCGTCTCCCATCACTATTTTCTGTTCGCGCGCACAGGGCGCAATTGGAGGATCTGTTGCGGAATGTGGTGGATAAGGGGGAACTGCTGCATGCGGCTCTGCGAGCTCAGGAGGTTTGTCGTAGGTCCCTGCAGAGAGAGCGTCGCTGATTGGGGTTGTAGGTTGAGGTTCCAGATGTTGCGATTGATTATCGACAGGTGACGCCTCAGGCGCCGCAAGGAACGCCGCCAGAAGGTATGTAGTCTTTTTTTTCTGTTCTGGGGATCGGTCTGATTGCTATAGCTCTTCATAAACTGCTGCACCGCGCGATGCTGGATGAGGTGCTACTTCGGGAGGGAAGGGTATCAAGCTGATCATTATGCTGGGGGTGTTGGCTTTGGCCATTCTATATTTGGTTTCGGAAGCTAGCTTTGAACATTTGATTGCTGCTTTCGTCTGCATCCCAGTATGTACTACCTACAGCAAATAATCATCTATCCGTCTTTTGCTTTCATAATTCCATTACATCCATTATACGATGGAGTGATACTTGCGACGACAACTTACCTGACTAATATCTCGTATCCAGCCTCCAGCTGACAAATGGACTCTCCAGAACAAGGTCTAGCCCCTGCATAAACACATATATCATGAGCATATCCCCACCATCCCGAGAATCAACTTATACAATCAAATTGCAATCAGCAAAGCATCTGACAAAATGTCCCACTCCCACCTCACCCCGCAAACCCCAACCCTAGCCACCACCCCAGGAACAGGCCACATCCCCAGCGCAACCTCACACATCCGCATCGCGCGGCCCTGTCGCAATTTCACCGCCGCAGAGCGCTTCTACGTAACTGGACTAGGCCTCAAAGTCCTTTGGCGCAGTGGGCCCGCGCACGATGTCGAGGGCGGCCATGAACTGCTGATGCTGGGGTGGCCGGGTGCAGCGTGGCATTTGGAGCTGGTCTTGGTGTCTGGTAATGAAGAGAATGCGCCTCGGCCGACTGAGGAGGATCTGTTGGTTATTTATGTGGATGGGGCGATTGAGCCAGCGGTTGTGGAGAGGTTGATTGAGGGTGGGGGAGTGAGGGTGAAGCACTCGAATGAGTATTGGGAGAAGTGGGGAGTTACGGTTAGGGATCCGGATGGGTATTTGTTGGTTTTGTGTCAAAGGGGGTGGACGAATGTTTAGATCTAGGGTTTGGGGGTTTGATCATTCAATGATATGATGTGATATGCAGGCTCGCATGTGATTGAGCATTGGATCCTCTCGAAGGAGCAGTCATAGAAAATGCGCTTCCGCCTTTCGCGGTTGTAGGGTGCGGTCTTCCCATCATAGATGTCAATCTTGCTGCAAGAGAATGTATATTAGAAAAATAAATTCTGGGTCGGCTGCATGCTTCGCTGGTTCGCTGAACAGCGCTAAAATATATATAGCCTTGCACCAACGACATGCCTTGGACTCTGTCCGCCTGTGAAGTACCTTCCTAGGGATACTGCACTGTATGCTTTCCTGACATTGAAGTTGAAGACAATCACTTCTGTTTCCTGGGGACCATATTCTGCGATGCGTTAGGCTGGCTGCTACAGGCTTGTCCGACGCGGAGATGTGACTCGATATTGGCACGTGATGTTTATCCTCCTGGGCTCCGTTGTCGGTGAAAAGCGGCAGAACCGGCGACAAACACATCATCCTTTGTCTATTACTCTAGATAACTCGCATCGTCACTCATCTAATGATGCGACTCCCGGCTCGCTCCAATGCAACTGTTCCCTCCTGAGTTCGGCCCATTTCTCCGTCATGGGCTGCTTCGCCGGTACGGACCGCGCCGCCGCCTTCTCCAGGCCTTGCTGATAAGCTTCGCGCTATGGACCGTCCTAGAAGTCCTACTCATATATCAACGGGTCTCAACAGCGGACGCGATCAAGCCCCGTATGCCACAGAAACCGGAGCGAATATACATTGCGAGCATGCACTGGAACAACGAGGCGATTCTCCGGAGTCACTGGAATGACGTAATCATCCAATTGGCTAAAGCATGGGGTACGGAGAATGTGTTCGTCAGTGTCTATGAGAGCGGAAGTTGGGATAATACAAAGGGTGCGCTTCGTGATCTTGATGCGGAGCTGGATCGCCTCGGCGTGAAACGGAATATCACCCTCTCAGACAGGACTCACGAGGATGAAATTTCCGTTTCTCCCTCGAGTGAAGGCTGGATAGATACTTCTCGCGGTCGGAAGGAACTCCGGCGAATACCTTACCTGGCTCGGCTCCGTAACTTGACTTTGCGTCCTCTGGAGGATCTTGAACGACAAGGCATAGCGTTTGATAAGATCCTCTTCTTGAATGACGTTGTATTCACCGTACGTATCAATCCTACTACAGCATTGTTGAAGAATGACTTCCAACCCTATTCGATGCTCGCGCAGGTGGATGATGTTATTGAACTTCTTAACACAAACGACGGGGTATACGCCGCCGCTTGCTCTATAGACTATTCCCGACCCCCGTTGTATTATGATACTTTTGCTTTGCGGGATAGCGATGGCGATGAGCATGTCATGCAAACGTGGCCTTATTTTCGTTCTACAACATCTCGGCATGCGCTCTACAACATGTCACCTGTCCCCGTCAAGAGTTGCTGGAATGGCATGGGTAAGCTCATCTTTGCATGACCCCATATCATCTCTTTCATTGTAGTGTATCTGTTCTTCCTTTGCTTTGACTCACCCGGCTTGAACAGTCGCGATGCCCATTGAGCCCTTCGTCTCGGCCACGCCGCTGCGATTCCGTGGGATTTCCGATTCTCTAGCACTATTCCATCTTGAGGGCTCTGAATGTTGCTTGATCCATGCGGACAATCCTCTCTCGGGACACCAGGGCGTCTACCTGAATCCCAAGGTCCGTGTTGGTTATAATGGCGAGGCATACGAAAAAGTCCACCCTGCTGGCTCCTGGCTTTCTCCACAATATATTGCCGTAGCTATGTGGGAGAACAGATTGCGACGTTGGGCTACCACGACTCTTTTCAAGAAGTGGGTCGTTCAACGGAGAGTTGCCCAGTGGATGGCTCTCTCTAGCGGTCGACATGAACCCGGCGACTTTTGTTTGATTAACGAGATGCAGGTGCTCGTTGCGAATGGCTGGGCCCATGTGTAGAGCCTCATTGAAAACATAACCTTCGGTTCTATCCTACCCTAAAGTGTGGCCGAAATCGTACTTGATGGATTCTATTACGATGTTTGCCAACCACCGAGTAATTGAGTGTTTCCATAACAATTCTCGGATGGCGGCTGAAACATTGGGACCGCGAGGAAATTTCGCGCCCTATCTCAATTTAGCTTCGTCAGTGAAGTTGTTCACTTAGAACACCAGAAATCCGGCAATAACGGCTGAACATGGTCTGATATTTCTTCCGAGAGGGAGTCGTCTTGCTCATCCAACCTGGCGTCGCATGCGCCGTGCACCGAACTCACGAATGTGGCTACGACATGGTCGTTGAACCAGCACAGGTCAGGCCGGGCGTAGGGTTCTACAGAACAGGCAAATCTTCAAACCTGCTCAAATGGACTATCGCAGATCTGATGAGCCTCTGTTGCCTCGACCGCTGTCCAAGTTTGTTTGACTGTCCGATATACGAATTCCAGTCGATAAGCGATCTTGATGTTGGGACATATATTCTAGTCGCTTAGATCCGGGGGGTCGAGACATTTAGCCACAGTGCAGGATCAAACACAATGGAAACATATAGGACTTGCACTTTTGGTTTTCCAACTAAACCCTATCGGTCTCACATCTGTTTGATTTGTGGTCCGATGCATCGGCGAGTGAGCTATGCTCCTCTACCGCCGATAATCGAGCGCATTTTGAGGACTTAATACTTGGTTTTAGGCTAAATCCGTACATGCGGCTCTCCCTTAGACAATCAATAGCAACATTGTGCCATCTATCTACATCAACGTCAATGCGGCATAATGTATGACATGCGACAATGTGAGTGGTAATCTGTCGATTGCTATGCGTACACATATTCTCACCCACTATAGTTAGACTGATATTAATAGACTTAACTAGAGTACAGTCCACGCAATAGTTATCCCCCCTCGAAATGCGCAGTCACAGATGGCCCTGACCAGCGGAAGAGGCAGGACCAGTGCCAGCCGCACTCGCCGAGGCAACCGTCTGACCCTTGAACTTAGACAGCACATCAGTAGTCGACCCGGAGAGCGTCCCGGAGCTGGAGAACGAGTTGGCGACACAGTCCCGGCCGATATAAGACTTGCAGGTAGACGAGGCGCTCGAGGAACCGAACAGCTCACCCGCGAAGCTGGACGACTCGACGGCAGCAGTGACGTCGGAGAAGAGGTTACCCTCGGCGAGGACATAGGCGCCGGAGCCGATCTCGAAGGCGTGGTTGGAGTTGCCGTTCCAGTAGTTGTTGACGGCGTGCAGATAGGTGTTGCCCTGGACCTTGGGGGCGCGGCCGCTGGTCTTGTAGAAGTAGTTGCCCTTCATGGTGACCTTGTCGCTGGAGCCGTCCAGGTAGACGTTCCAGTAGTGGTGGTTGTCGCAGGTGGCCGAGTAGTCGGACTCGCCGTCGATGTAGTTGTTGGAGAGGGTGACGCGGTTGCTGGCTTCGGTGCCGAGGACGTAGTGTTGGCGGCCGATGCGAGCGGTCTGTCACTTAGGCTCAGTCTTTTCTATTTTCAACTTGTCTGTGTGTGTGTGTGAGGGAAAACGTACAGTCACATGGTCGATCCAGACGAGGTCTGCCTGGTTGATGGTGATGGCGTCGCCTCCCCAGACGTACTTGGGGTTGATGTCAGTGACGGCGATGTTCCTGGCAAGTCAGGTCAGCGTAATCCTTCACTTTTATTTTCTTGTACTGACTGAATGATGATGTTCTTAGCGCCGCTGACGATACGAAGGCCCTTGCCCTTGATGACGCCGGAGGTGCCCTGTCCGATAAGGGACTTGTTGGAGTTGACGGTGATACCAAGTGAGCCAGCATTGTCACTACTTGTGTTAGGATCATGAAACAAAATTCCGATGGAGCACCATACTAGCTGACAGAGACAGAAGGAGCATCCGGCTCGTAGTTGGTGCACCAGTTGTCCTTGTTAATCGCTACCTGGCAGCCAGAAGCAGTACCCCAGGGAGCGCAACCAGTCCCGGTGGTGGTACCCTCTGTGCCAGTGAAGTCAAAGGTCTTGGTGAGCACAATCACACGGGCCTCACTATCACCGAGATACGAGACCAGCTCGTCGGTGGTGGAAGGGTAAACGGCAGTAGCGCTACCACCGCCGGTCACGGACGAGGCGAAACCCTCGGCGGTGCCTTGGACGCCAACCGCAATGGCCCGGGAGACCAGAGCGCCGATGGTGGTAAGGAAAGCAGCGTACTTCATCCTGGAAGTAGGCAAGGAACGAATGACTGAGGTAAATGAAGAGAAGAAAAAGCAAAAGAATGACAAGGTGCGGTGTGCTGAGGAACAAAACATCTGCCATGAGTTGCAGATCACTAGTTTTATATACCGGTTGGCCCTCGACCCCTGGAGGACCACCATAGTACCATCTCAAACAGCATTGTAGAATGGTCTGTCAGAAATTCTCCGTCGAGTGGAGAGGGAGAATTACTCAGTGAACGCCAATCCACCAGTACTCCACCAGTTGGTTGAATCGGCGATGGAAAGGAAAAATGTCTCTACAGGGCGATTCGGATGCCGATCTTCCCCCCATCTATGTAGGTTCCGGTAAGTGATCCGATATCTATGCGAGACAGCTCCACCGCGCGCGGCGTGAATAATGTGTGTTGATTCGTCGGTACAGCTGCTTTGATTCGTGAGTTTCAGGTATATCGTCGTCGTTGATGATGTTGAGGTGGGCAATGCAGAAGAAACACGGTATGACGCGGCCTATCCTGCGATGACGAATTAGGGGAGAAGCTTCTGCAACATTTCGGAAATACGCCGAATATTGCGATCAATGTAATAATACTTTATTTGTATATGAATTGATTAACAGCGTTTAATGGGAAGACCACGCAATGGAATCTCATGCCACCATGGGCTCCTGTTGAGCTCTCCATCCGCGGTCTGAGCCTGGCCCTACAGCATTACGTAGACACTGACGAGTCAAGCGAGACATAATATCTCTTGTCTTTACATTGATCTTATGAGGTATTGGTCAGTAACTGTCACTATTCTCAATCAAGCATCATGGCTGGCTGGGCAGCCCTTCTGCCTGGCCGCTTAATTTAAGCTTAATCTATACTCAGGATCCATGACTCCATATGCTTTCATCATGATCATGCTGATTGATGGGTCCAGTGAGCGGATATCATGATCATTACGGCAAGTGTCGCATTATATCAACACAGAAATTGAGTATAGTTTGAGGTTCATGTAAGCGTCGTGGTGTTGTGGAGCGGATATATATTCGCAGACCGTTAATGAAGTTAAGGGAAGACTAAAAAAAGAACTACAATTACCTATTTCTTTCCAACTCTCAAGATGTGAAATGGTTTCAGGATATGCTGGTCATGCATCATTGACATGATATCAACAAGTATTTATTCATACAGCACCCTCGCAGCAAAAGTGTATCTTTATGTGCATAAACAAGGAATGTACCAGATTCAGGGCTGGAGAAAATTACGGAGGTGTGGAGCAAGCACTTCTTGAACAAGAAAATGACTCTCGAAAATATTACTTCACATGGATTACAGATTATGCATCCTATATCAACAGGGCAAATATAGCCCATAGTACCTTCTGTCAGTCTCAGGGTAGGCAGATCCTAGAGTCATCTGCTGATGCTGAGGATTTGCAGTCCAATGGTGCTGAATTACATCATGATTCCTTCTGGATCGCAACTATCACCAGTAAAATCAACGACAAACAGCGTTGCTGTTTAGCGCGATTACTGTATGTGCCTGCGTTTGGGAGCGGACGAGTTCGCCCGTGCTGGTAGAAATTCGCTCCAGAAAATTCGGAGTTTAGCATCATCGATCACTCCCATGCAAGAGCAGTCCAAATTCCAATAAGGCTGAAGAATGGAATTCGCAAGGAGAAGAGGTGTCAAGGGATGCGAGACCTGTAGCTATATCAATGCGGATGGTAACGTCCGTGAGTTTTCCACAATCAACAATGATAGTCACGCTGGAAGTCCAGGTTGAGGCCAACATGGTTCTCGCAGAGCCCGCATCACTTGAGAAATTGACAAGTTATTCGCCTGTAATATGGGCGAATACATTGATCTACCGCAATTGGTCGTTGTGTCTAGCGGCAAGAGCTCTGTCCTGGAGGGCTTGACAGAGGTGAAGTTTCCTTAAAATAGTGCCCTATGCACCTGGTTTACAACCCAGATCATATTTCAGAGAAATCCAAGCTTAAAGACTAGGAAAGTCTCTGGCTCAATCATCTCACCAACGGACAACGACGAGAGGGACAACGCTACTTGGAGTATATCAGATATTGAGGCACTCAATGAGAGTGAACTTGGGAAAATGATGAGTGAAGTAAATTTGTCCTTTTCCAAATGATGGGTGTAAAATTAACTTGCCTAAGATTCATATAGCCATAGGTTTATCAACTTCGGCAGGAGACGACTCGCCAACATTTTCCTCCGTCATGCAGGTTGAGTCACAATGGATAAAACTGGACACGCGAGGCAAGTATCTCAAGTCAGGCTATTTCTATAAACCTTGTCCTTCCCCCAGTCCTTAGGCCTACACCGCGTTTAGGTGTCAGTACCGGCGGGGCACTGCCAAACGTGGAAGAGGCAATGCATACGGCATCGTACGAGGTTGATGAGCTATTAGACATGGCTGAAGAGGGAAGAACGATTGGCCCTGACGTGGATCCCCAAATAGATACCTATCCATTGCGTAAGAGTTAATATCCGCTGTCGTATCTGAGTCTTCATTTGGGGTATGGAACTGAATTCTACGTTGCGTGGATGGATTAACCCGAGGGCCATGGAGATGGCGTCCATAATCCGGGACTGGCATGAGGCAGAGTATGTCAAGCGATGCTATACTTGGGCCCCACTGCACACGAGTCCATGACAAATGGCTTCATTTGACCAAACCCCTCACTGGAACTGATTCCTCCGCCGAGAAATCCGAATACGCCTACATTCCATGCGTCCTTTTTAGGCCTTGACAGGAGAGAGGAAAGTGTAGAATGCGAGCGGTAGCCTCATCCCATACACCCTCCGTGTCCTCATTCCATGGAATCGCGATGTACCTCCCAATTGAGAAGCCCAAGCCACCAAGGCGGTCGATACAGGAACCTGAACGCAGATGTGAGTGGAAGGTCTTGGCTCCCTTGGCGCTGGGCAGAGGAACAGCTTTTTATAGCAGCCCTGGAACGGCTTGGCAGCAGATAATCAAGATGCCAAGTCCAATACGAGGGACGGAGGAATCGGCCTCTGCAGGCCAAGCGTCATGTTCCACTGGCATGATTCCGCAGGTGAAGAAGATGCTGGGATTCGAATGACGATACGAGGTTGCATCGTATTCAGGTTCGCTTCTCGTCGGCTTCATTTGGGGATGCCGAAATTAGCAATGGAAAATGGCATCGACGAATGCGAAGTTGTCTGCGTGATGAGGATGAACGTTTTGGTCGAGGAGGGCGTCCTGTGAGGGAACAAAAGGTATATAAACCCCTCGACATCCACGAGAATTGAGAGAAATCAACAAGCACCTCACAAGAAGCAAGCAAGCAAGCAAGTAAAGAAAGCATTCGGCAAGTATCACAGCTCCACCATCTTCAATATGAAGTTCATCGTCGTCGTCAACGCCCTCATGGTAGCCCTCTGCGGCCACCTCGCCCTGGCCTCTACCATCGGCCACCCCTCCCTGATGCCCCGCGAGGATGCCTTGAGCGACAACAACAGCACTGTTGCCACTCCCTACGGCAACATCGTGAGCTCCGTCCTCGAAGACGGCAAGAAGAAGATGGAATTCTTCGACGTCGACGGCACCCTCGAAGTCACTGCCATCGAGACCGCTGAAGGAAGTACGTCCTTTGCCCCCTTCACAAGCCCGCAAACACAAACACAAACTAACGGACATAGCTGCGACCTTCTACGATGCCGAGGGCAAGGAAGTCAACCTCGCGGACATGGATGACGACGACGAGGACCTGGAGAAGCGCGTGCCCAAGTGGAAGCTCGCGATCAAGTTCGCCAAGCTGATTGCCAAGTATGGCAAGCGGGCCTGGTCGTACATCTACTGCGTCGGTACTGCTCCGTTCTGGAAGTGCGGTGACGAGGTGAGTTATTCTTTGCCCGAGGGGTAAAGGAAGCGGCTGACGAGATAGTTCCTTGACTGTGCTACTGCTGGCCGCGCTCCATGGAACTGCTACGAGGGAGCTATTTGTGTTGGATGGAGCGTTCACAAGCACTGCAAGTAATTGCGTGTAGGTCACATATTGTCCAGAATGGACATGATTGGTGGCTTGGGTTGCTAAGAGACCAGAGAGATAATTTGGCGGGAGATTAGTTCTGCGGGAATGTGTTATCTGTTTCTGATTTCGGCTTTGTGAATTCAGATGGATGGTAAAGAGACGTATAGAAGTTGAAGTTGATCTTTAAATTGTTATCCCGTGGTCTATGCTTCTTGACCTCCCACAGTAGCAGTATGGCAAGCGGGGGAATGTCGGGGACCATTCCCCCGAGCCATCAACCAGATAAATATCCTCTAAGCCCCAGCTCCGCATCAGATCTTTATACCAGGGATTCAATACAACATGATCTCCCCAGATGAACAAAAGGTACCTCGCCTCTTCTAACCCAACAACCTAATACTAACTGCACAGACCATAAACTCCCTCCAGTCCAACTGGATCTGGGCCCCAAAGTGGATCGATAGCTCCCCGGCCAACACGGCCGGTAAAATCGTCCGATTCAACCGTCACGTATCTCTGTCTTCTCCCGCTACACAAGCGCTAGTCCACTGCTCAGCGGATACACGCTACAAGCTCTATGTCAATGGCATGCGGGCGGCAGTTGGGCCCGCCCGCGGCAGCCCTCTGATCTGGTACTATGACACGGTGGACATTGCACCGCATCTGCGTGTGGGAGACAACGAAATTGTCTTTGTTGTGCTGAGGTATTTCAATGCGTGCAGGGGTGCGATGCCCTTTGAGCGGACCGCCTTTCCAGGGCTAACGGTTGTGGGGATGATCGAGACCGAGACGGAGGCTGTGGATGTGCAGTCAAGGGAAGGGTGGTTGGTGCAGGTGGATGAGAGTGTGCAGTTCCCGATGGGACTGGTTGACGATATGTTTCTGCATGTAGGTATCTGTATCTTCTGCGAGAGAGTGGCGGAGACTAATCGGATAGATTAATGAGCGCCTTACTCCGACTGTGCTGGAGGAGCCGGTTACGCCAATGGCGTACGGGATACGAACGTTGAATGGAGATCTGTCGCCATGGCGTCTACGGCCTCGTCAGATTCCCATGCCTGAGGAGACTCCAGTGGATGTTGGTCTGGTCCGAAAGTCCCAGAGTAGCAACCATATTGACGAGTGGACGGGGTTTCTGAACGCAAAGCAGATACTGACACTCCCGGCCAATTCCTCGCATGTGCTTGAATTCCAGGCAGAGGTTCATTCGACTGCGTTCCTGCGCTGGTCCTTCCGAGCTGCGCAGGCGTCTCGCATAACCCTCAAGATCACCTATTCCGAAGGATACGAGCAAGAGCCGCGGGCGTACCCATTCTTCCGTACAAAGGCCGATCGACTGGACGCGGTGAATGGACGTCTCATTGGGCCGTATGACGAGGTGACCTTCGACTTACCGGCCGGCAAGACGATCGTCTACGAGCCGTTCTGGTTTCGCACGTTTAGACTGATCCGGCTTGAGATCGCCAGTGGACCTGCGCCGGTTGAGCTCCTCTCGTTCGACGCTACCCAGGTCAATTATCCGATGGCAGTCCAGGCTAGCTGGAAGGAAGAGGGGGACGAATACAGCGAGAGGATCTGGGAGGTTTCTATCCGCACAATGCGCAACTGCATGTTCGACGGGTACTCCGACTGTCCGTTCTACGAGCAACTCCAGTAAGACACCACTCAGCAACTAAAGACGTACCTAACATCCTCAGATACTCTGGCGACAGCCGCTCCGTCGGTCTATTCCACTACCTCCTCTCCGGTGACGACCGCCTCATGCGCCAGGCCATCACCAACTTCGCCGTCTCCGTCACACCAGAAGGTCTCACCCAGTCCCGATTCCCGTCGCACGTCCCGCAGATCATCGCTGGGTTCTCCCTCTACTGGATTCTCCAAGTCTGCGACCACCACTTCCACTTCGGTGACACAGCCTACGCCCGCTCCTTCCTCCCCCGCATCGACGGTGTCCTCGAGTTTTTCCACGCCCACACCGACTCCCTCGGTCTAGTCAGCAATCTCCCAGACGACGTCTGGCAATACGTCGATTGGGTGACAACCTGGGACGCAACAGACACCCATTCAGACAAAGGCGTGCCCACGTCGGGCCGCCAGTCAAACCGACACACCTTCTTCAGCCTCCTCTACGCCTACGTCCTCAAACAAGCCGCGCAGCTCCTCCACGCCGTGGGCCGACCCGGCCACGCAGACGAGTACACCGCGCGCGCCGGTGCCGTCCTCGCCGCCATCCGCAAGCACTGCTACGACGGGCGCTTCTTCACGGATTCCACGGCCGATATTGCCGACGCCGGTGCCTATTCGCAGCACTGCCAGGTGTTCGCTGTGCTATCTGGTGTGGTGGCAGAGGATGATCGTGCGCGTCTGCTGACGGAGAGTTTTGCGGAGACAAGGTTCGCAAAGTGCTCGTATGTGATGCAGTTTTATGCGCTGCGGGCCTTCTCGCTGGCGGGCGATGAGGCATATGAGGCGTATTGGGGACGGGTGTGGGATCCGTGGCGGCGGATGCTGGAGTGTAATTTGACGACGTGGGAGGAAGATGATGTGCGGCAGCGCTCGGATTGTCACGCTTGGGGGAGTGTGCCGATCTATGAGTATTGTACGGAGATGGCGGGGGTGAGGATCGATGCGCCTGGGGGCCGGAGGGTGTTGTTCAAGCCGCGGTTGAGGCTGAGTAAGGACATCTCGGCGAAGGTGGCGGTTGGGAGGGACAATGTCGCGATGGTGAGGTGGGAGACGGTGGACGGTGAGACGAGGGTGGAGCTGAGCTTTGAGAGAGCTGTCGACGTGGCTTCTCAGATGCCGGGGGAGCAAACGGTCGAGCATGGAGTGGTGCAGTCGCTGTTGTTCACATGGAAAGACCATTAGGGTTCTTACATATTGCTCAGGAACTAAGAAGACTGTATTCATGCAATCTAAGGATGCACTGTCTAATCGGTATCAGGTGTAAGGCTAGCTACTCAGGTCTAATTCTAAGCGATTGAATAGGCAATTCAGCATGAAAGCACACCACTCCTCAATCTTTACCTACAGATGAATGGCCACAACTTTGGCCGGCTCAATGAGCTTACCCAGGATGGGTGAAAACTGTCCCCCACTCGTTGTGACATAAAGCACTGAACCATCCTTATTGCCAGCAACCGCAGTTGATCCACCAACAGCAATCGTAAACTGATTTCCAGCCACCAACTTGACTCTCCCCTTTGGATCAACCCTCACCAGCCCATTGTCCGGGTTCGTCGAGATGTACGCCGTCCCATTGCTCCCGAGCATAAAATCATCCGGAGTAATCCCACTAGTAAGGACCTCAACAGGACCAGTGGCAGAAGCTCCGCTATTCACCGGGACCCTGCAGAACAACATCTGCGTGGTACTCGTGTAGTAGACATACTTTCCGCGCACATCAATACCATTAACACCAACAGCATACGGCTGGCCCGCAGCAGGAAGCATCGAGGCATCAGACAGTGCCTGCGAGTATACTCCCGACGTCATATCCAGCCGCCAGATCACGCCCTTGGCGGAGTCCGTAATGAGAAGCAGGTTCTGCCCGAACCGCGCAATGCCATTCGGGAACTCAGCTTCGGGGATTCGTGCCAGAATACTCGCTGATGGTGCAGCGCTACCCGAGGCATCAAGTCTCCAGATCGCGTATGAACCGGGGGTGCTCGTGACGGTGGAGATGGAGAAGTTGCCTACAACCACTGCGTAGACGTCTCTGTCGATTTCGGTGATGCCTAGCAGACTGGTGGCATTGGGGAAGGTGTAGAACAAGGAACCAGCTTCCGCGGTGTTGGTGTTGGCTGGGTCGATCAGCCACAGTTCGGGGACGTCAAGGCGCGTCGCAAGGAGGCTTCCGTTAGGTCGGACTGCAAGGTTTTCAAGCCATGTGCCGTTGCGAGTGAACTGGAAGACTGTCGATGTTGACGAAGGGTTGGTTGTTGGAAGCGTAGGCAATGCCAGTGTTGGACTGATCAACGTGGTAATTAGGGCATAGAGCCAAAGGATGTTTGGATGGGAATACATAGTGGATCGAATGTAAGTACGCTCTTTATGTAGAGTAGTAGGAAGCACGAGGGAGTGTTTTGCCATGGATAAATGTCTGTTCCTGCAGCTATTTATACTTGACTTGTCTGCCAGTTTACGGTCTGGGAATGGATTTACAGAACTCTCTGGAATTGCATACGACCATTTTCCTCCGACTCGATTTGCTTCGCTTGCTTCCAGATTCCGCTTTCCTGCCTATGGGTTCTAGAATGAGATAGTTATTAGCTCGGATTGGTTGGCAACTCCCGCCTCATGCAATGTCACTATGGCTAATCTGACATCTGTCTTTCCATATTCTTTGTCAGCTATTGAATGGATACAGATTATGAAGAGATTACCAATGAGAAGTGTTGGTTCTGAATCACTTGTTCTTTCATAATCATTGCTAGCTTATTATGTTATCAGCGCTAATTTCGCACTACTTAATAGTAGTACGCCACTGACGCTATATACAATTCCCCTGCAAGCTATACACATCCACATATCAGCATAATCCCATAAAAGGACCAAGAACATACCTCATGAGCTTGTTCAATCTTTTCAGCTTGGAAGTATCCATACTCAGTCGCGTGCAGGATCACTTGCACCAGATCTTCCTGCCAGAAGTCTGGCCAGCCTCTGGCTGCAAGGCTAGTCTTGAAGGTCTTTTGATAGATAGCCTGAAATCCACATTCAATCCAAGACTTTCATCGACTTCACCATCTCTTCCAAAGTATAATACCACTCGGCAATGTTGAATTGACGCTTTAAAGATCTGTCCGCGCTCAGGAGGATCGACTTGACAAATCCACCAAGGTCAGCGGAGGGACCAAGGAGTGGCATTGCGGCTTTGAGATGAGCTGGCTCTGGAAAGACTAGCTTGTAGGAGGAAGGGTCGCTTAATATAGGGACCAGAGACTCTAAGAAAATAGAATTATAGATGCCAAGATGGTTGATGGTGGGTGAGATTGCAAGGGAATGGATATACTCGTCGACGCGGGCTTTGCTGTTAAAGTGCCCAGCTTGTGGCCAATGACTCAAGGCTGGATGGTGATGTCCGCACTACAAAGACGCGATTGACCGCATGTTCCAGTACTATGATCTAAGAAACTACAGCTATATGGATTCGAGAGGTCCTGGATCAAACACCGAGAAAAGGCCCAGCAGAGACCCTACAGGTCTTGTAGAGCCACGGGAATGTGAGTCAATCCCCCGCGAGAGCTCATTCATTCCCTCAGCGATCGTGCCATCGACTTCTTTCTTGCAGCTCACGTATTCCATGACCGTGGCAGTGCCCGAGGTTAATATGAGTATCTTTCTGTGCTCTGTGAGGAGGTCAGAAATTGGAAACAACCCTCTGTGAGCTTGAGCACTGTCACACTCGCAGTGTACGCTATAGCTTCTAATATACAGCTCTCCTTGAGGAGTCCTAATGCTAATACAGGCGTGCTCTTCACCTTTTTAATGCCGCACTATCCTCACAAGAGGAAATGGCACATGACAGCACAATCATGTTAATACTACTTCTCAGCACATTTGAGACAACTACCTCGGGCAGTCCACAGTCGCTTTCACGATGCGATGCCCATATCAGAGGTGTAATGATGATCATCCACCTGCGAGACCATCGCATGCTTGAGTCCTGTCATGGGCAGAAGCTGTTCCTGCATATCTGCTGGTGTCTCTGCGTCATCGTTTCAGCGGCTGCTCTTTGTTCCAAGTACCGAAAGGCTTGTGACTCTGCTGCCATGCTACATCATCAAAATCCATACACCTTTTGGTAAGGATGGGGTGAGACATGATAACGAAGAAATTGAGGGAATGCAAGAGATGGAAAGATGCACCTATTTACAAACTAACCAGTCAAATTATCAACCCCAGGGGATTTCCAGTTATCCAATCAGAGTGAGACACCCTGCAGGTGATAAAAACAAGCATGCCAACCTGTGAACCTCTTCTCTTTGCTGCCTCTTGCGCTTCTGTACTTTCTCTACTACCACCCGCTTACAATGGAATTATCATTAATCCCCCGCTGCTTCATGCCGGATTTTACTTGGCCAGACCGCGTCTCACCTGTCATTACTGACCAAATACCTGCACCTCCACGCCCAACGCATCCACTGCTACGCCGGTTTTGGGGCATCGTCCACAAATATCTTAGACGATTTTCTGATTATTATTGTAGCTGGGTCGGGGCTACCTACGACAATCAAATTGCTCAGCTTCCGTTTGGGCTGATCCTGAAGTGGTCCGATGGGACTCGGATAGAGGAAGTGTTGACTATGCAGGCCGCTAGAAGAGCGGGTCTACCAGTTCCCAGGGTTATCTGCTATGGGGAGCATCCAGATTGCCCGCATGCACCAGTTTCGATTCTAATGACTCGCGTCCCCGGCGATGAACTTGGCCAAGCATACAAGACGCTGAGCGAGGAGGACCGAAACTCGATCCTACAGCAATTAAAGGGCTACCTGGAGGCGATGCGGAGATGGCAAAACCCCGTGGGCGGTAATAGAATTTGCTCCCTAATAGGCACTGCAGTCAGGAGTGTCCGTATACCTAATCATCTCGCTGGTCCATTTGAGACGGAACAGGAGTTCAACGAGTATCTTCTGAGCCCGTCTTGGGCGGGTGGTTTCCAATCGGAAACTGAATACAAGAATGCACTCGATCGCGCAAAGAAAATGGAGCAGATGTCTCACCGCATTGTTTTTACGCACGGCGACCTAGCGCACCATAATATCATGGTACAGGGCGGACGGATCACTGGATTTCTAGACTGGGAGGCCGCAGGCTGGTACCCTGATTATTGGGATTTCACCACAGCTTTGAGGTTTGCTCCACCTGATTTCTGGTGGTATGGCTTCATGATGGAACTCGGGGGAGAGTCGTACCTGGCGGAGTTGGATTGTGAACGCGCATTGACGTCTTTAACAAGCGAGTCCTACTGCTGGTGATCTATCCAATTCATCCGCGCGGGCTCTCTGAACTGGTGCGCTTCATAACGCCTGTTAGTGGGGAATATTAGCACCTATTCCCAGGTCTATTTATGACAGCCAAGAGCTGTTACTGTGGCGCGATAGGAGAAGCTTTGTATACCCTCTTGGGCAAAATAAAACAGGAATTTGTTACACTTAGCCCTAGTCTATTACGGTATGTCGCTGAAAAAGTAATTTGGACATCCTTTACCACAGCCAGGGAGCGGTCCAGGGGTGTTAAAACACCATATCAACTGTTACTATTGGACACATGAAAGAATCCCCTTGAAAGATATACAAACTGGGATGTTCAAGGCACACTGCAGCTTTTACAGAAAACGTTTCAACTGCACTAACACTCATCCCCAGGTTCTTCCGCCTGTATCCCATCCAGTCCATTTACCGTCCTCTTCTGTCATGTTGTGGAGAATTTGCACAAGGTAATTTTGCTTTTCTGCATGGCGTCTTTGAGACTTGGAATCAACTCGTTTTAGGGAAGTGGCATGGGAGACCTTACTGTCAAACTCTCTGGACGAATTCTCCTTCGTCATCCTCAATAGAAACTGAAATAACTGAGTCCAGTTGGGATAGAGCATGCATCAGACTATCTGGACCTCTAGAGCCATCTACCGTCAGATGGATGTCAAAGATCCGCTCGAGCCTCTCAATATGTGCCGCAGGTGTCTTTGGTGTCCTAGAGAAATTTGAAATCGATTCATGTCGGTCCCCTGCTGCAGACCCATTACTCGCGGCTTGATTAACGAGCACCTCTTCCAGTCGGGTTATCACCCGTACGCGATACCCTGCCTCCATCACATTTAGGAGCAGGGTTTGCAACCCATCAGCTCCGGTCCGATAGCGAATCACCGCCGAGATCTCCATGGTATTATTCCGGTCGAGGTATTGTCGCAGAACATGCATCAGAGTCGGATAGACGAGGACAGCGACGAAGTACAACGCGGTGGAAACGCTCGCTAATCTGAGCAATCCAGCGCCACAGGCAGCCCCAACCGCTGCACTCAGCCAGACGCCAGCGGCAGTAGTAAGCCCTCGGATCTCGTTGCGCTGTTTGAAGATAATTCCTCCGCCTATAAACCCAATCCCGGATACGATCTGGGCTGCGATCCGGCTTGGATCTAGCACGACCAGACCTTTATCCAGGACATCAAAGGACCCTAGTTTCGAGATCAGCATGAACAAGGCAGCGCCTATCCCGACCAGTGTATTCGTGCGCAGCCCTGCGCTTTTGTGCTTCCATTCTCGTTCGATTCCGATGATGGACGACAGTCCCGTGGCGACCAGTAGCTGTCCCACCTGTGTCCATGCCTGCTGGTCGCCTTGATCAAAGGGGTAACGCATATTGGAGCTCTGGTTACAGATCCGTCAACTATTAGTTTCTCCAAGCTAGGAACGACAATTGAAAATTGCATGTGTTACTGACATTATCTTGAGTGAAAGGCAGTGTAGTGTGTTCTTCAAGCTCTCTCCTGTGCCGTTGCTGGGATTGACGTGTGTCCGGACACAACTCCAATATCACCGCAATGTGAAATGGCCACCCTGATGGAACCGCAAGTACTGTTTTCCTCGTCCGCTCAGGCTCTGCCAGGGAAAGCCAGAGGCCTTTAATATATAGTTGTTGAATCTGCAAGGCTTCGTTCAGACTCAGAGCGCATTACGTCAGAATTATATGGTACTCGGGAGCGCACCAGAAAACGAACCACAGCCATTTAAGATTCTCGGTTTGTTCCATATTTGCGCTCGCAACGACGTCATGTGAAAATGCAATGGCCAGATGCAATAAAAAGACAACATAGACCCGGGTACGTGAAGGAGGCGTCCTTGCGGCTTGTTCGTCTTCTCGCAATTTCAGTTCAGTGCCCACAATTTCAAATCCGATCTTATTTCTTGAGGAATCGGCCCAATAAGGGCCTTGGAATCTCAAGCTCTGTTAGCTAGAACCTTTAAAATAAGGTCATTAGGCTTGGGAACCACTAAATAAAGCTCGGAGGCTTGTCTAGAGATCCACTACAAGTGGGACATAGTCGAGCATAGTTAAGAGTTTATTAGCTCTCGGGTGGGTCATGAGTCTCATAACAAATACTGAGACATTAATAGTCTTGTTACAGCCAACAATGAATGCTCCACGGTAACTCCTCATACACGTTAAAGACGGAATTCGTTCGTTGTCGGGGAGTCAAATTGCAAAGACAATGCCTAGCACCCAATCGGTGTACCTGAGTACTGGCCAAAGAAAAATTGTATTATAAGTAATTAGCAGTCAAGAAGAAATATCACTATATAAAGCCTGATCAGTTCAAAGAAACCGACAGTCCGCCTCAAATACTCGTGAGATGACCAGTCGATTTGCGGATATAGTCTCTAACAGTATAAGTCAACAAGTCACCAAGATGTACAAAGGAAGAAGACAGTCACCTAAAGTGCCGTGGCACAGGTATCACCATTCGGAGGCTGAGTGCAACCCAAATAGCAGAAAGTACTTAGTTGCAGGCCGCCGTTGGAGTCTTTGCATTTGAAGAGCGCATCCTCCGGTTTAACAAAGGCATCCAGATTGCCCATGATGATAACTGACTCGAGCTCCTGAATTGAGTATCCTTTCGATTGCAGATTTAGCGAGAGGATCACAGCTAGCCTTCTGATTCAGCAGGCATGTACGTACCATGATACTGCTCCAGAGTTTTGCCACAGTATAGAAGACCTTCCTTGCATGCGTCCGTGAAGGACAGGGCGCCAGGGAGTAAGCTAGCGCAAGCGAGAAGAGAGACGGGCAGCTTCATGGCGCGGTGGATTAAATAGTAGCCTAGGACTTTGATTATCGTACGGAAAACGAGTGAGACATGAAAGCGGGTTTAGTCCACCGGCTCTTATACCACTTAGTCTCGGGGCCTCTGAAACGGTACTGTCCGCAAGGGATACATTCTCGAGCGGAGCCAACAATGTCTTGTTTGCGAACGGGCCAGTGAAGTTACACGGAATGCTCCGGGATATGAGAATGCTACTCCTGTTGACATCCAAAAAGAAACAGCTGGTTGTATTGTGGGGACTGGGGCATATAACGGTCAACTCAAATGATCCAACCACCTGCATGGCTCGCAACTTTTGATCTTATTATATCCCACGATTCACATAGGGGGTCTGAAGTTGTCTCACTGAAAGATGGTGCGTCGTCGAAACAAAGTAATGTCTCAATTCTTCGGACAGCCTTATCATGAAACATTTGGCTGGCTTTCCTGACACCTCCTTGACAGCGACTATTGCGACGTTCAGTCGCGCTCTATCCGCGTAGTGCTTTCAGACAATAGGCAATTCAATCGATTAACCTGGTACCGTATCACGAAATTCCTGCGCCCTTGGACATCCCTTGGGCTGGGCGATGGTGTTCGAAGCATCTAGCCCACGCGGTTATCTCAATCGGGCAGCCAGACTCACGAGAAGAAATCACAAGATTGAATGCCTCCGTGTAAACGTAGATAAACTCTTGAGCGGAGGTCATCTGATTCCTCAACGGGTACAAATGGAAGGCTCTCATTAATAGATAGGAAATGTAGCGAACTCTGCACCAATACTACCAAGTCAGACGCAACTCTTAGCTCCTTTTTCACTTATCCACAATGAGAGCACTACAAATCATATCCAGAACGCTAATTAAAGAAGGGGGTTGATGGTAGGAGCGCAAGAATGAGACACAGAATACATATTAGGATTCCTCAACATACTCTATCAGGCGATCCCGGTAGCCTTATTTTTCTACATTATTCTGTCATAACGCTCTCGGAACCACTAAAGATGGATAGCATATATGCAACTGAAGTTGCGATGGACTTCTTGGTTGCATATCTAAACTGCCTCACGGCTTCCAGGGCAAACCCCGACATACCAAGTTGAGCCTTATTACCGGGTTCGATTAGATATTTCAGCCTCGATAGACTGGATTTTATGTTAATACTCCAGGAATGTCTAACGATATCCCTTCTTTCGTGTCTAACAAGCAAAGCCGGCTCAAATTGTAGCGTAACCTGGGCCCAGTATGGGCTCCTACCCCTAGCTCCAGGCCCAACTCAGCAGCTCTAGGGTACACTGGACGCGTTCCTCAGGCTAGTTACTTTATATTATAGAGTATATGAGTACATAGATATGTTGCACAACCTCAGACCATATCCTCAATCACTGTATTACTATCGTGTACCATATAATTTCTTAGCTGAGAGTGTATGAGAGGAGCTAAGCCTGCCTCGCCCTTTGCACCAGCCGTCGGTTCAAGTATTTGGCCTTAAGGGACCAATGATCGGAGGCCAGGAAAGCACGAATCCAGAGAATCTGCTGAAGCAGCGTGAGCCTGTATTAGCCCAAGCAGACCATGCTCGGTGCCTTGTATGGTCACACAACGGGGGAATTGTCGGAATAATGTTCCTTGTGCCATGCTGCCGCCTCATTCCCTGCGATTCGTCCAAACACCACGCACTCCAGGAGGGACGACCCTCCCAGACGGTTCTGGCCGTGGATGCCGCCGGTCACCTCCCCTGCAGCCCAAAGCCCTTCTATCGGAGTTCCTTCTTCTCCGATCACTCTGCTATGCTCGTCGATCACCACTCCTCCCATCGTAAAATGAATGACAGGAGTCACCTGTCCGGCGTAAACCTCGTACTCCGGCATTACCTCGGTCAATTTCCAATGGCCAAAGGATTTACGGCCGAATGGATCCTTTTTCTGGCCGGACACAACATCTCCATACTCCTGGAGGGTCTTCACCGCCGTCAGTCCAAGCTCACCGACTGTCATCTTCTTCATGAGTCCCTTCCAAACGTAAAAGTCCATATGCGAGCCCGCCGCCGCGGCAGCGCTCTCATCAAGTACAAGCGTCACATCCCACTGGCGCGTGGACGTCTCCATCCGACAGGTCGACTTCACAATCGCGTCAACAACATGTTGGCGGGTCTCCAGCTCATTCACGAACCGGCTTCCATCGCCATTGAGCAGGATCCCACCCTCACCGCGGAGCATCTCCGCCGCCAGGATCTTGACCAAAGCAGCCGGATCCTTGGGGTCCACGAATCCAGTCGGATGAACCTGCACGCAGTCCATATCGACCACCTTGGCACCCACCGCCTCGAGAATCGGCTGCGTGCCTTCCCTGGCCTCATTTGTGGACGGGAAATTGGCCAGATCAGGCCGATATCGCGCCAGCATACCCTTTGAATCGCCCGCAAATCCACCAGTAGCAAAAATCACCGGTCCATTGAGCGTGTGCTTCTCCGTCTGCTCCTTGCCCTGCCGTCCACCGTCACCCTCAACAGTAACATACTCCACCCCCTTAACACAACCCCCCTCCTCTACTACCCGCGTAACTTTCGTCCCGCTCCGCAGGCTAAACAGCTCCTCCCCATTCAACTCCCGAAGCAACGCCCCCACAATCGAGAAACCAGGCGGGTCCCGCCCCGCCCCCCGATGCGTCCGTGGGAAGCTGTGGCCCCCCAACTGCGCGACTCGACTAAGCTCCACGCCCTTCTCCTCAACCAGCCAGTTCACCGCGTCCGCGGAGCGAGACGCAAGTGTGGAAATAAGCTTCTCCCGCCGGGCGCGCTCGTCACCAGTTGCCTGTGTAACTGAGTCGCCTGCGGACTTGAGCGTGTCCTGGAAGAAGATATCCGCGTTGTCGTCGGTGGATTGAAACCGTGTCCCGGCGCCGTTGATTCCCGACGAGGCTTTGATGGAGTTGCCGCCTGGTTTGGGGGCGCGGTCGAGCATCAGTACCGGGATGTGGTGTGAGATGAGGGTGCTGGCGGCGGAGAGGCCGGCTAGGCCGGAGCCGACGATTATTACTGGGGGTGGAGTTGCCATCTTTAGCATTTCTTTCAGTGAATTGAGTTTGAGTTTGTTTGGGGTGTATGCGAATATAAGGCGTCAGGGGGGAGCCGGCATGAGATCAGACGATGGTGGGCTGATCGGTATCCGATGCTTCCATGCCGCTGACATCACGCGGCATAACCTGTGTCTGTCAGCAGCCTACTTCACCACCTACCCTAAACACCCTAACATGAACAGGAGGAGAGCAGTATCGACTTGTGGGATTTTTCTTGCTCGTGTGGTTCTGCCAACTGGATTATGTGCCTTCTGAAGCTCGGAATGCTGAACAGGGAGACTGAATGCTATTGAGGATAGGCGAGACTGTGATGTTCTAATCTATAGTCCCATCAGTCCGACTACTTAAATTGGAAAATAAGACTTGATGGGCTATAGGCAGACATTGCGGTAGTTGCTAGGGAGGTAGGGATCTTTTTGCCATGAATTATAACCCAAGGTCTCGCCATACATGGCAAAAGCTGACTGCTAGGAGCAGTTGGAATTCCAGTATGCTCTCTTCAGACCTAGGATAGCAGAATGGAGTCTTAGATACCAGTAATGGCTTGAACGACGATTATATTGGACAGTCACGGTAGCTGACTGAACACATGTGTCGTTTCGATATCACTCGAGGGAAATATTCTTCGACCCTTTTCATGCCATGACAATACAGTCACCAGGTTCACAACAATTAGGCCTGATAGACCTGCGTGTGTGCAGACACCTGGTGTTCTTCGCCTCCCATATCACGCCGTCCTGGCAAGTTCGGCAGTCTTCTGTCAGGTTTAACTTCTTCTGTCAGGTTTAACTGGTCGACGCAACGCGCTGTGCGCCATGACTTGTCAGACAGGGAATAGACACAAGAGTGTCGCAGGCGTCAATAAACCAGGGCAGAATTGAATGGTAGGCCTCGTTTCCACTGTGTGCGGATGCGGCCACGAATGTATGCTTTGCCCCCCTGGAGACTAGGGGACGGAATGGGTGTGTTTTGCCTGGGCAGGCTGCTTCATTTGCTAGTTGATATGTTGTATCGTTTCCGGGAGGTCCCTCTACAATACAAGATGTACTATATATTCTGCATCGAATATGACAACAGTATTTCCGAAGCGAGCGGCGCAGCCCAAAACACCTTCGCAAGTGCGATGAATAAAAATCCCACATCTCAACAACAATACCTATTTTAAATAAAATATTATAATCTCAAGGCCTAAATAATAGTCCCAACATGGTCTGAAAGAATTATTGTGAATTCCGGCATGGTTATATTGTATATATTTGTCGCTCAAACATCTAAATTGCCATGTAGTTTACGGTGATGCACGAAAAGAATACCCCCGATAGTCTAAAATGGGATTGATATATTTCCGTGTACCTATAAAGGCCTCCATACCGATATATATGTAGTAACAAGCTACGGTGGATGAAATATAATAGAGCAGCAAAGTGGCATTTAGTATGGTATTTGGGCTCGTGCCACTCGCTTGGGTGCGCCGCTCGGTTGGGAATTATTGAATGACCAAACCATGGGCACTTAGTACCAGACCATATTGTGTATTCTGAGCCGAATATCACTCTATGTTGAAGGTATCTATACACCTCGGAAGAACTCAGGTTGCATCACTTATTGCGCTCCATGTCTGACCGTCCTCCCGCCCAACAGGCGGCCGCTCGTAGGCCCCAGCATGAGTAGTCCACCAGTCTAATGTGGCCCAATCTACTCGAAGCACGCCCCGCTCTTTGTCAGAATAGAAGTCTCTGTCAAGATCCTCAATGGTGTCTACGTACTTGCTGATTATCAACCTCTCCTTGGGGTTTCTATTGAGTCCATCCGCGATTATCTGACGCAGCTTCACGGGCAGCACAGAGCTTGCATCGTCGGCAGAATCCAAACCGGCTTGCTTGAGCACATGCTCCGGAGGCTGCTCCAGACAGAGCGTCTGCCGCATGTCGAGGATCTTGCAAGCCGCAACCGCGAAGGCGAAGACATCGGATGCGGGGCTCCAGGTCTGCGAGTATAAGATCTCCGGCGCATGGAAATCTCTGGCTTCCACGCTCGCATTGAAAATACTAGTGGCTGCGATATGCTGTCCTTCGCCGATATCCGCTATCTTGGCAGAAAACTCGGATGAGAGGCTTTGTGGCTGATCTGGAAAGATCTTTTCTGTAACAAGGATATTGTTGAGGTGAAGGTCTCTGCCCATTTATCAGCGCATCTCCTGGGCACTGAAGTTCACGAGCACCAAAGGCTCTCAATTTAACCTACCTATGAATGACACCATGTGCATGTAGCGTATGGATGCCGGTCGCAATGCCAAGGAGCATCTGCACGACGAGGATCCATGATTCTTGAAAGCTGCACTTGGGGAATTCGCCGCGAAGGAAGTCGCGTATATTTCCCGCGTTTGCATACTCGGATACGAGGACGAACTCCCTGGCTTGGTCCCTCGAAGCTCGGAAACTCTGCATAGGAGCATGCGGTTCTGAGATGATTGAGATGCCGAAGAAATCGACGCATCCAGCACTACTACCGCCGAGACTGGTGTAGGTTAGGTCCATCTGTTACCTGGTCAGTTGAGAGAGCATCCTAAAGGATACAAACTACGTACTTCTCGAGCAAATTTCCTGCTCAGGCCTGTCGCCTTGAGCTCCTTAAGCGCCACCTCAATTGTCTCTCCACGCAGTGACGTGGCCAAAACGCCGTCAGATCTTGTCCATTTCGCTCGATAGACCTTTCCATTTCGGCCCTCGCCGACAATTGAACCCGGATAGATCGTTATTTGATCGCTAGGGATGTATCGAAGGGAGTGAGCGAATATCTTGTTGTAATGCTCCGCTCCCAGCAAATCTTGCATGGTAGAGTCTTGGAGACGGCCCGCAGCATGGTCCTCGACTAGATTCCGGAAATATCTCTGTGCAACGTGCCTGTCTTGGAACTTCTGCCGGCTTCGAAATCGGAGACCCGGTATCGTCTCAAGAAGGTACAGCTGTTTGTTTTTGGCATCCCAGCTGAGGCAGCAATCGTTCTGGCGGCGTTCAACGGTCAGGCATGTATGATTGAGCAGGACTTCGCATCTCCAGGCTTACCCACGAGCTCCAAAATTCACTAATTTTGATGAAGAAGTCTGTATCGTCCACAGGACGCATGCCAAATACTACCTCTTCGTCGCAGAAATGGTCCGGGAAGTACCAGTTGTTAAGCAAACAGTACTGGTAGACCTCATCTTCTGTGTACAGAAGATGGGCTCCCATGGCGGTGTGGGAAACCGGCCTCCACACGACCCAGCGAAGTCTGCTGAAATTCTGCCTTTCCATGAATGGCACGGAATAATTAATAACAGTTTGTTCCATCCTTTCAGGGGAAATGCTATGCAAATCCGCAAATGGGAGCATGCAGACGTTCTCTAAGACGCCCCCTATCGGCTGCTCCGAAGAGGCGGTTCTGAGCGCATATCTCAGCCACTCATCTGTGTAATCTCCGTTTTCATCCGTGTAAGACTTCCCTAGTGGCCAGCCCTCTACCACTCTGTGCCTTGGATGCAGAGAAAATCCCTTGCTAATGCTCCGGGGAGGGAGACTTTCATTAAAATCGCCGTCGCCATCGGCATCATCGATCGTCGGAATGGGGCCTACCGTCCACTGTTCCAACAGTTTATTATGGGTAACAACATAATTCTCGATTTCTTGGAAATTCTCAGGTCTTGCCATGCGGTGCTGCAAAGTGTAGACCGACTTGAAAATGTCGTAGGTTCGTTCCTGATGCGTGAATGACAACGGATCCCAGTAAAGGTGCCCCCCTTGGAACATCCATGATACGATTATCCAAGACTCTCGGTCGTCTGGATGAATGCCTGTTTCAATGGAATCGATCGTGTGTTCTGTAAACACCCCTGGGAAGCTCGGGTTTGCTGCCCTGATAGCATCTGAACGAAACTGGCTGGAGGCCAAAAGGCCTTGGTGAGCTAGGAAATGCAAACAGTCTCGGTATGCAAGGTCATGGTCGCCATTATAGGTTTCAGCCAGCTGGTCGATGTTCAAATCTTCCTTGAGAGATCCGTACGCAAGGCTCGTCCAATTCCATGCCCGGAAGACTACGGTATCAGTATCCGACACTGGGTTGGAAGTTGTATCCAAGCCAGCGATGCGAGCGACCTGCGACAGTAAAATCTTTTCCAGCGGCATTAGCGGAATTGTGAACACTGGTTTAGCCATTGTTGGGCGCTATCGCTTAGACTCTCAGAGAAGGTCACTCACTGCCTCTGGGAAGAGTTAAGAGGCACCACTATGACCCGTGCGGGAACCTTCACCAGCCTTGCCTGCGCCTGTACTTCATCACATGGCCCTTACACAGTGTGTGTTACACAAGGTGGCGTGGAAGCCGACCAGTAGCACGAGTGCCTTCTCATGCCTCCTCACGTGCTTCGGGAAGCTGGTGGGGTAGAAAAGCTGCTGCCGGTCGCCCTGTCAAATATATTGTTTGTCTTCTTACATTCGCGTTTATTGGGGCCAGAGCCTGTATGCAAAACTTGTAAGCCGACGTCACTATCCCCGAACGATAGACTAAGCCATGCCAGCAGAGTTGGTACTAGCTGGATTGGAGACGGCGAAGTCAGGCGCCGAGATCTTGGTGTATATCATCAAAACAGTTCAGCATGTCCGGCGGCTTAAGAAAGAGTGTGGAAAGGTAGGAGAACTTGCACAACTTCTGCAGAGCATCCTGGACAGCAACCAGGAGGCACTGAAGAGCTTGAGTACGGAGGAGAAGCTCCGGGCCCACCTCCGGGATGTCGCCACATTTGTGACCAATTGCACGAAGGACTATTCGTTGTTAGGGAGAGCATGGGAAGTCATGTGGGATAAGAAGCTTCCAAAGCTGCTTGCGGGCATGAAAGATTGGATCCTCTATTTCTTAATGGACGCTATGGTAAGATTTGACCAGCATCATGATATCAGCCCAGAACTGACAGTGCACGGCTTAGTCTCGGGGAATCACTATGCAAGAGAAGGTTGTTGATGGCCAAGAGAGAATCCTCTCGAGACTCACTGTCGTAGATAACATCGATAGCCATCTCAGCTCACTCGACGATGGTCTCAAGGGCCAAGGAGAGGCATTCAGTGCTATTATGGACGAAAAACTGAAGATTTTATCCCAGACCACCGCAACCTGGAGGGTCGATTTTCAATCGAACGATGCCCGACTGAAGGTATCTCAAGACGTCAGTGGTGATCTCGCTGGAACGTTGAACGGCCAGAAGGTCGTCTGTTATCCGATCAGCAGCAATCAGAGAGATAGTCGCGTTGGGCCTCGTCACGTCACGCTTTACTCGAAGCTCTCTGCCAATACTTCGGTGCATCCCTTCTACGGACTTGCAGACAAGAACGGGCAACTCTACGCTGTAATGCAGGATCTGAGGACCGCAAAGTCCCTTGGGTCATGTCTTAAAGATGACCAGTTCAGTGGCATAAAGGACCGGCTGCGTATAGCATATGATATTGCGCAAACAGTGGCTTATCTGCACTCAGTGGAGATCCTGGTCAGGTCACTGTCGGACCAGAACGTCATCTTGACTCCAGAAAATAATGAGTGGAAGCCGGTCCTGATGAGGCTCGATCAAGCCAGGCTGGTAAGTTCTAGGACTTTATGGGAGACAATCTAACTGACCGGTGAAGTTCCTCGAGGACACATCATCTGCGGAGGTAGACATTCGGTACGAAGCTCCGGAATACAGGCTGTCCCGCAGGCACAGCCCGGAAACAGACACCTGGAGGTAGGTTTATGCGTGTTGCAGTACGAAGCTTGTTTCTGATGAAAGATCGGCAGCTTTGGTGTTCTTCTGTGGGAGTGGGTAAAGCAGGAATACCCATTCGGACTCTCAGATCCGGTCCTCATCGATGCAGCAGACCGACATGCCGAGCCAGCCGACGGCGGAGGTTCAACTAATCCGCAAGCTGACTTAATCCACCGCGCACTGAACAAACATGATGTCCCCTGGCTACGTGAAGATACCTCTAGGGCATCGCCAGTCTTATCCCTCATCAGGAGCTGCTGTCATCCCACGCCAGCTGTAAGGCTGTCCATGGCATTTGTAGCACGTTCACTCTGGCTTCTTCTCAGCGGTGACGGTGTCTTAATCACAATACCGGAACAGGACTGCGAGGAGACCAAGTCACGAGTCCACGACGTTCTAAATAGGGCGGAGAATAAGGACGGGGACGAACATCAGACTACACGAGTCCAAATGCAGGACGCAGAGATTATTCGAAGCCTTGCGGACGGTGGCGATCCTGTTGCGTCAGCTCTGTTAGGCGCTGCAATCTGGCGGGACTTGATAGACTGCAACGTTGACGAGGACGGTGACTTTATATCTTTGAAATCCACAGACATTTCTCTTGGTATGTCTGCCGCAGGGCCTATTGCGTGGTTATCGGGAGGCTAACCTGCAGCAGAGAGGAGGGCGGGGTTGGCCCTGCCTTACCTGGAATTCGCTGCGAAGGGCGGTGTCAGGTCAACATTGAAGGACATCGCCAACATCCACCTGGCGCTTGGGCGTATATATAAAGCATTGAGGGACAATACGAAAGAGTGGTACAAGGAGAGGTAGTACAGAGACGTGCAAAACCAGCTTCACCATCCTGCACTCTTTGATTAACTCTGAGACCCACCTCCAAGACGCTAGCCTCGAAATTGGGTGAAGTTTAGAGACGTGCTCCGCTGAATACAGTCCGATTCGGGCTGACAGTTGAGACGACAGTTACCGTGCCGTAATTACCGTATTTACACCTTCCGGCATTACACGGACAATCCTTGCTGAAACGCTCCGATCCCTGAACTGATATTTGATGTCGTTCTCTGTGCTGACACGGACCTATGCTCACTTTCTTCCCGCTGCCCTTTTACTACTTATGTAATCTGGCATTGGCCTGCTTCTACCAATAAGCATATTAACCTATCGTTCGCTTCTCTGACCTATTCATCACTTGTCCTTCCATCCCCTCTTTCCCTGACCATGGGTCGCACCGCCCTATTTGTGATCGATATTCAGGCCGATCTAGCCCAGGATCCTCGAACTGAAATTCCTCATGCTGCTCGAATCCGAGATGTCGGGACCGTTATTCTTTCAAAGGCACGAACAGCTATAGACAATGAAGTTAGTCGCGGCCTGGACGCCAATCTTAGTATAATCATCGTCCAACACCACGAGACCCCTGAAAATGGCTCTTTGGTGAAAGGCAGTAAGCCATGGGAGCTAGTTTTCAAACCGCGCAATGAAGCAGAGAGGGTTGTGGAGAAGACTACCAGTGAGTTAAAAACTTGACCGATTACTTTAATACAGAAGAATCTCTTGTTTTACAATAGAAGATGGTGTCCCGGCCACTTACTGTACTCATATAGGGAACACATTCGATTCCAACCAGCAACTCGCGGATCAGCTGAAAGCTGAAGGGATTGAAGAGATTGTGGCTTTTGGAATTCAGAGTGAATGTTGCGTTCAATCAACCTGTGAGGGGGCATTAGCTGCTGGCTTCAAAGTTGTGTTGCTGCAGGGAGCCCATTCGACTTATAACATAGGAAGTCGGAAGGCAGAGGAGATTGAGCGGGAGGTTGAAGAAAAGCTCCGCAAAGAAGGTGCGGAAATTACTCCATGGGATACATGGCATCCTTGACACAGGATGGTGAAGCTGGTTTTGCACATCTCTGTAAAACGAAGCACGCGGAGCGAATAGGTAGCTAACGTTCGCATGCTGTCGGGGACATTGGGGCCTTGGGCAGAGGCACCAGACGGGTTTGACAGTTATTTATTAAATACCTATACGGATTAGGGGTTGCGGGTACATCCGAGAAACAGTACGTGTGCCAGCATAAGACATGATTGTTTGAGGCGATATCATGCAGCAGAATTTCACTTCAAATAATTGCACGGAGCCGAAAAACGAGGGAAATGTCCACATGGGCGATGCGTTTAGTAGAGATTGGGACCAGCCACCGATTGGTGACTCCCACGTTTATAATGGAGTGGAGGTGGCCGAAAGGGGAAAGGCCCATATAGGGAGTAAATATGGTGGCGCTCATACAATAATGGCAGATATAAAGGCTGTCGGGGTATATACGGTTTTGTTTCATAACAGAAAGATGTAAAGGCCATAATGACTTTGAAATGGATACAGTATTACATTTATCTTTTTTCCTGGTGAGTAGGTTCACAAGCAATCTCCATATTCCACTTCTTCTTTAGGCACACGGAGTACCTCTCCTAGGCGTGCCCACAATGGCTAAACCGCCGGGACTAAACCCAGAGCACAGAAGCCTTTCAAGAAGTAAATTAAACTCTCCCATTCGGAGCTTATTACCCCGCGCGGAGACGCCCCACAGGAGCCAAAGGCAAGGGAATTAGCCTTCTGTCGGGGAACTCGGACGGACGCCGGCTCATCTCCACCGGACAACGGGGTATTTAGCCTACCCCTCGTCCGGACTGTAGGGCAAGCTGACTGACACCGAGACCAGCAACAGAATGGAAGCCGAGGTATCAGTGCAAGAGGATCGCCCTGCCTGTCGCGCTTGTCGCAAGCGGAAACTCCGCTGCTCGCGCGAAGTCCCGCTCTGCGCTCATTGTCGGAGGATTGGTAGTTCCCGTATCACTCTGCAGAAGCTCACGTGCTAAGAGGTATAGGGACGACGTGTGTGTATGATGGGGAGCGAGAGAAACCGGGTCTTAAGGCTGGAGCGGTGGAGGCGTTGAGGAGACGGGTTGGTAGGTAGTATGCATGATCTGCAGGTTCCATCTGACAGCGAGTAGAGGCGCTGGAGGATGCTGTGTTCCACCAGGAACGACCACAAGAGCATCGACCAGGATCTGATAGCAATGCGGTGGCTACTGCGCTTCGAGAAGGAATGGAGCTGCTGCTTGGACAACTGCAGCAACAGCAGCCTCATACCCGTAAACGACCATGCGAGGACCTGGTGTCTGATGTACCGCGCTCACCATCCAACAAACGGAGACGGGTGAACGATAGCCTGATTGAGCCCGACGACTACAGCTTCTCCGATCTTTCGGCTAGTCTACCCCCGCCAGCTGTTCTAGAGGCCGTGGTTGATTCGTACTTCGCACTCGTACAGCCGTGGATCCCGATCTTCCACGAAAAGAGATTCCGACGGCGGCTGAGAAGCCCGGACAGGTCTCGCCTGGAGGTTGTGCTGCATGCGATGGTGGTTGCGATGCTCAAGCATGTCGATCAGTCTGAGCTTCCGGCGGATCTCAAAGATATCGAGGCCGTCTGTGAACGGTCCCGGAAGATCGTCGTGTTGACGGCAATGGATGACCTCTATGTGGAGAATTTGCAGGCTTTGATTATCATATGCTTTGAGGATGTATGCTTGATTCCCTATACTACTTGCAGAAACTGACGGGTTAGATTGGATCCGGGAGGGTCTCTCGAGCGTGGCCGATTGTCGGTTCCTTGACGAGAACAGTCGAGTACCTCCAATTGAGCGTAGAGTCCGAGAACCACGATACTGGCCGAGTCTTGCAGCCTCGACCTTCCCTCCCAGTGGCTGCAGACTGGGTAGAGGAGGAAGAACGGCGGCGTGTGTTTTGGACTGTTTTCAACTTGGACAGGTATGTCCCATTCTTTTATTTACGGGTATCACTAACATTACAGATTCTGCTCGGTGACTACAGGGTATGTCTCCTCGACTGCAAAAGGACTACGCTGAGAAATACAGATGGAACACGAGCCTCACCTCCAATGACGTCCACCGCCGCCTCCCCGCAGACGGCGGTCTCTGGCACAACGAGGAACCCGTCACAACGCCCTTCTTCGGCATCTGGGACCGCTCGGCCGGCAAGATCGGCACCCTCATCGCCTTCCTACCTACAGACAAGCCGTCGCCCACCGCGCAAGTCGACATGTCCACCGTAGGCGCCTTCGCCTACCGCGTCGAAGCCACCGAGTCGCTCAGCCGCGTGACGACCTTCTTCCTGCAGCAGCGGATCAACCACCGCGACCGCCAGGAGATGGGAAGCTGGCTGATGCGGTTCAAGGAGCTGGATCTCCGCCTGGTCAGCTGGAAGATGTTCCTGCCGCAGAAGTGGAAGGACACGAATATCTCGCGGCAGCCGACGGTGGTGACGATGGATCCGAACCTGACGCTGGCGCATATCACTCACAACACGTCGATGATCCTGCTGCATCAGCGGATTGCGTATCCGCCGCCGGAGTGGCTGGAGGTGGTGAAGTTGCCGACCCTGTCCAGCGCGGAGACGTGCGAGGCGGCGGCGGCCGAGACGGCGAATATCACGGAGAAATATCTAGGGAATTGTCCGCGGGAGGGCGTCGTCGATAGCCAGTTTGCGTTTTGTGTGTTTGTCAGTGCGAGGGTTCTACTTGGTGGGTTGCCTTCCTCGGATATTCCGCTACTGCTAACGGCAGATAGTACATTGGAGATACTATGGCACGCCCCTGTCTCCAGATTACTGGACACTGATGAAATGCCTCGATGCCATGGCGACGCGCTGGTCTGGTCGTGTACAGGCGAGTCGTCAGAACTCAGCCGCCAGGTATTTTGGCCAGCTCAACGCCATCCACCGGGCATGTCAGAGCGACGAGAACTTTAAGCTGGATGTTCTGGGCTACTCCAACGAGATTGAGTGGACGGGAGATAGCCAGCAAACAGCACCAGCAGCAGTACCTGAAAGCACGACCGGATTGTCTCAGGGTGCCTTTCCTCCAGATCTAGCGCCAATGCTGCAGTCCAGTCCGGCAAGAATGAGCTACAATACAGGCAGCCCGGACGAGTTGACGACGGTAACATCGATCCTGTTGGATCAGCAGTACTCGGAGATGGACCGGATCATCAGTCTAAACAATGCATATTTCGCATCCGATGTAGCGTATAGTACTTGACTAGTCACTAGGAATTTGTCCGAGACTATCCCGAGCTCCGATAGCTATATCACCCCTCATCTTTGACAAAGACGTACTCCATAAATAAAGAAAGAAAAATGTAACCCTTAGACATACTAAATCTAAAGATTAAGATAACGATATGCCTCCCCTCCCCAATTTCAGCAACAACCCCCTCCTCACCCGCAACGACTTCCTCCACGCAGCCCTCGCCCTCGTCCGCCCTCTGCACGCCCGCTTCTCCCCCGCACACGCCTTAATCCGCCTCCCCATCTCAACAGGCGCCCACTTCGACGATGGCGCCGCCTTGCTGGAGGGATTCGCCCGCCCGCTCTGGGTCATCGCGACCCTCCTACATTCCTTATCCTTCACTTCCGACCCCGTCACCGTCGAAGCCATAAAAACCGTATCGCAACCCTGGGTCGAGGGCATCCGCGCCGGCACAGACCCAGAGCATGAAGAATACTGGGGCTCCATCGCCAACGGCGACCAGCGCATGGTCGAGGCGGAGGTACTAGCTTGCGCGCTGCTCTTCGCACCCGACGCCTTCTTCCACGCCCAGGATGAGGCCACACAGCGCAACATTGTTGCGTGGCTGCGCGGCATGCACAGGAAGGACATGCCGGTGAATAATTGGCGGTGGTTTCGGGTGTTTGCGAACCTGGCGCTTGTTCTTGTTGCGGGTGTTCCGTATGATGAGGTCAAGGAGGAAATGGATGCGGATTTTGCGGTCCTGGATGGGTTTTATCTCGTCGGTGGCTGGTCCGGCGATGGGCCGTGGTTGTCTGCTGAGGAGGAGATAAGGGAGCGGGAGCAGAGGATGCGGACGGGGCGATGGGATACCGTAGGGTGTGGGCGCCAGGCGGATTACTATTCTGGCAGTTTTGCGATTCAGTTTAGTCAGTTACTTTTTGTGAAATTTGCCAGCCATTTGGACCCCGAGCGGACGGAGAGATATCGGGTGCAGGCGAGGGAGTTTGGGGGGAGTTTTTGGCGGTATTTTGACAAAGACGGTACGTCTCCTTATCTCTAGATAGATGAGAAGAGGTGAACTGACGTGAGTAGGAGGCGCAATCCCCTTTGGACGGTCCCTGACCTATCGCTTTGCGTGTGGAGCGTTCTTCGCGGCGCTGGCTGTCGCTGATATCTCTGATATGCCCGAGCCGCTGGCTTCTCCGGGCGCAGTCAAAGGCTTCCTGCTGAGGCATCTACGCTGGTGGGCGGCTCACTCGGCGGACATGTTCTACGCCGATGGGACAATGAACATCGGCTACTTGTACCCGTACGTCTCCCCCATACTGCCAATCTAAATACTCGCCTAACAAAGACAGAAACATGTACATGGCGGAAGACTACAACTCCCCCCAGTCAGTCTACTGGAGCCTCAAGTCCCTCATCGTCCTTCTCCTCCCCGACTCGCACCCTTTCTGGACCACCCCAGAAGCAGCTTACCCATCCACACAAACACCAGTGGAGATAGTCTCCGCCCCGCAGCAGCTCCTCTGCAACCACCCAGCTGGAGGCCACCACTTCCTCCTCAACCCAGCGCAATTCGTCGCCTGGCCGATGAAAGCCTCGCAGGCGAAGTACTGCAAGTTCGCGTACTCGTCCGCCTTCGCGTTTAGCGTGCCCACGGGACCACTGATACAGCAGCTCGCGCCGGATAGTACCCTTGCGCTGAGCCGGGATGGGTGCGCGACCTGGGCTGTCAAGTGGAAGGCGTCGCCTGTTCGGTATGACACTGCTACTGTACAGGAGCAGAAAGAGAGGATCCCCGTGGCGGAGGTCGAGTGGTGGCCGTGGGTGGATGGACAGGTCTCGGTGCGGACTACGCTTGTTCCGCCGACGGATCGGTGGCCGGATTGGCATGTTAGGGTTCATCGAATTCGGGGTAGGAATCTGGAGAGGTTGTATGCAGTGGATGGTGGATTTGCGATTGCGCGGGTCCCGAGGGGGAATGTGAGGACGCCAGGTCGGGAGCGGATTCTTCCTGCTCTTGAGGGCGAGGATTGGTTGTGTCAGGATATTGGGGTATGCGAGGGTGTGCATGTGTCTCAGGATAGTGTGCTTGTTCTGTCTGCGGCTGGTGCGAGTGGTGTTCGTGGGATGGCTTCCATGGGCAGGACGGAGCATGAGGCGCTGAAGCCGGACTCGAATACGAATCTCATGGCGCAGAGGACGTTGATTCCGGTTGTAAGACATGAGATTGACTGCGACTCTCAGCAGGTGGTCCTGGTGACGGCCGTCTTTGCTGTTGCAACGACACAGGATCAGAGTCAGAGAAGTCTACGGGAAAGATGGATGGATTTTCCTCGTGTTGTTCTGGGGGCTGATGGTATCACGCTGCAGTAGCCATCTGGAGTATATAATCATTCAATATCATACGCATAGCCAATTCTATAAGGAGTCCTATCTATATCAAGCCCAGCTTCAACAACTGATTCCCGAACTCCAGCAGATAATAATCCGCATACACAAGCCCATGGTCACTGTACCGATCCAGGTCCTTCGCATTATGGTTCGCCGTCGCATTGCGCAGGATCGCATCGAACCGCTGCCCAGACACATCCTTCACCTGCTGTCCTCCCTCCACCAACATCGCCTCCTCCCTCGAATACGAAAACTCCACCGTCTCACTCACGATCCTCATCGCCGCGTCCCTAAACCGCCGCGCCAGCCCCTCGTCCTCACCAACCAACACCTGCGAGAGCAACAGCATCCCATTCGCGGCAATCACCCCGGCAGAGGAATCCCGTAATGGACTCGCCTCGTCGACAGGGGCATCAAAGTCCCACAGCGGCACGTACCTACCCACCATCCGACCATCGACCATCTTCTCCACACAAGCCGGGGCCCCCTCCAACCTCGCCAGAAAGTACTCTGCCAGCCCAACGGCGACATCGAGGAAATGCCGGTCCCGCGTCCAGGCGTACGTCTGCGCATACCCGGTAATTGCCCACGCCTGGCCGCGCGCCCACGTCGAGGTAGCAGAGTACCCCTGCGCGGTGCGGCGCTCCTTGACTCCACCAGTCGCAGGGTCGAAGTTGACGACGTGGATGGTGGAGTATCCCTCTTTGCCTGCTATTGATTCCCGGCGGAGATGGGAGCTGATGAGCGTTTTCGCGTGTGTGGTCGCGATAGCAGCAAGCTCCGGGCCGAGATGCGCCGCAGCGTAGAAGAGGAGATCGAGGTTCATCATGCTGTCGATGATGACCAGGCAGTCAGTCTCTAGGGAAGTGATTTCCACGTCGGACTGTCGGAGGACGTCCCAGCTGCGGATTGCGCCGGTGGAGGGGACGAAGCGCGAGGCGAGGCTTTGGGCGCCGGTTAGCAGGGCCTGGAGGCTGGCCGTGTTGGAGGTGAGCTCCCAGGAGCGGCGGAGGGAGGGGGCCAGGATGAAGCCTAGGTCGTGGGTGTCTGTTCGGAGGGACATGGGGTAGATGGTGGCGGTCCATTTGGTGCAGAGGGTGACGAGGTGGTCTCGCACCGCTGCGATGTCTGTAATCTTGGGGTGTTGGCTGTGTCTGAGGTATGGAAAGGTCGAGGGATATCGCATGGCTCGTTCGAGGAGGAGATACAACAGCCCCGGGAAGAAGCCGCAGGTCCAGAAGGAGGATTCGCGGAGGATGTAGCGCCCTGTTGAGTGGCCTTTTTGAGGGACAAATTCCGGATACTCAGTGGGAGGGTCCTACAGCCACCATCAGTATCAGTACTTGGATTATCTTGTGGTGTGGTGATGGCACATTATTGTTTAATGCCTCGACGGCCACGCGGAGAACCTTGGCCAGCACATTTTCCGAGAATATTTTCTCTAGAGGCTGGGGTCCATTGGACTGGATTTGGTAATAAGCTGTGTCTACAGTCATTTTGCAGAGTCGTCAAAGGTAAGAACCGTAGGATGATCGATAAGCTCTCTGACGATGCTTATGATGCTTATCACTGCCACGATATCGTCGCTCGGAGGAATCATGCCCGAGCACATTCGCCCGCCCCCGAAGCCATCAGAACCCCCAGAAAAGATCGACGGTCGTCGGACGATTGACTCCAGAAATGGCCCGATGTTCCCCAGATTTTCCCCGCGCGTGAGGTGGGTACATAAAGCAGGTCTGGCAGTTGCAGTACTCCGTCCAACAACAGTCAATCGGCCAGTACCGACAAGATGACTCCTCAAGATACGCAAGGCGATGACAACTTCGAAGGCCTCACTCTCAAGGATGTCACTCCAAAGCGTCCTCCCTTTTACAGGGATCGGACCCTCCTCAAACTCAACACCCTCCTGCTGTGTGCCCTCCTCACGCAAATCGCCTCCGGATACGACAGCAGCATGCTCAACGGCATGCAGGCCCTCCCCCAATGGAACAAATACTTCGGTAAACCGAAAGGCACGCGTCTCGGCGCCATGTCCTTTGGTCCAACCGGTGGCACGTTGATTTCCGTCCTGGTCTCCTCGCAGCTCTGCGAGCGCTTCGGCCGCCGGTACCCCATCTGCGGCGGCTCGATCATTATCATCCTGGGCTCGATCCTCCAGGCCGCCGCGGTCAACTACGCCATGTTCGTAGTCTCGCGCTTCTTCGTCGGCTTCGGCCTGGGCATCGTCGCCACGGCGGCCCCGCCGCTCCTTACCGAAGTCGCCTATCCTTCGCAGCGAGGCAAGCTCGTCTCGTTCTATTTAACCACCTGGTCGCTGGGCTCGCTCATCGCCGCCTGGATCACCTACGGCACATTCAAAATGACCGACTCCAGCTGGAGCTGGCGCATCCCCAGCGTCCTGCAATGCTTCTTCTCCCTCATCCAGGCCGTGCTGAGCCTCTTCGCCCCGGAATCCCCCCGTTGGCTCATCTACAACGGCCGCCGCGAAGAAGCCCTCGCAATGCTGGCCAAGTACCACGCCGACGGGGACGCCTCCTCCCGCCTCGTCCGCTTCGAAATGGCCGAAATCACCGCAACGCTGGAAATGGAGAAGATGCAGCGAGCGTCCCGCTGGATGGAGTGGGTGGCCACGCGGGGAAACAAACACCGCCTGTTTTTGGCATTATACATCCCCGCCATGCTGCAGTGGGCCGGCAACGGGCTCACCTCGTACTACCTCTCCAAGGTCCTCAACACCATCCACGTCACGAACCCGCACACCCAGCTGATCATCAATGCCTGCCTATCCGTCTGGTCGTTCCTAACGGCCGCCTTCTTCGCAACGCTGGTCGACCGCGCAGGCCGCCGCAGGCTGTTCCTCTGCGGCATGGGCGGGATGGGCGTCTCCTACGTGATCTGGACGGTGTGTTCGGCTCTCAACCAGGAACACAACTTCAAGGATAAGGGGTATGCGGCTGGTGTGCTGGTCATGATTTTCATGTTCAGCGCGGCGTACCATATGTGTTCGCCCGTCGCGCCGACGTACATCATGGAGGTGGTGCCGTACTCGCTGCGCGCCAAGGCGAGCATGATGTACCAGCTGACGGGAAATCTGGCGGGGATCTACAACTCGTTTGCAAACCCCGTTGCCATGGATGCCATTTCCTGGCGGTATTACATCGTCTGGTGCTGTGTAATTTGCGTGCACTTTGTGCTGATCTATTTCTTCTTCCCGGAGACCAAGGGGAAGGGGTTGGAGGAGGTGGCCGAGATTTTTGACGGGCCGGATGCACTGTCTGGAGTTAATGCCATGAGGCAGATGGGGTTGGATGTGCATGCTGACAAGGCGGTTGCTGTCAAGGGTGGGAGTGCAAGTGCGCATGTTGAGAGGGTTGGGGCTTAGCCAGATTATCCATTTTTGAAGAAATACCACACGCACTGGCCCAGCTACAGCCTAAACAGTATAAGTGTTCACAGTAATTCAAATAAAATAGCTATTCAGTCTTAAGAAAGGCTCCTTCGAGAGTGAGGTTGGTTGAGCTTACCCACAGCCTGGTTCCCCTGACCTCCTGTCACTTTAACACCTAACCTTGAACTTATTATGCTTATCCATGCAGAAGCCCGCTCCCCATTCTTAAATAACCCTTCCCTTGGACGCCACAGATTTGACCACAGGAGATATATGCGGTGACGGCATCATCATAGACAACCTGCAGTGGTTCCTGAGGAAGAAACGAGTCTTTATCTTGTTAACGGTCAGTATTAGGACTATAGCTGACTGGATCAAACAGACACTATTCAGCTGAACCAGGTCATTGTTATTGACCCTCAAGTTTCCAAACATTCAGCGGTCTGCGAGAAGACCGTGTCATATGATGGTCTGGCCCCAACTCCTGAAATTGTAACTGGTAGCACTTTTCCATAAGAGCCACTGCGTTTTCTCGCTTCCCTTGTAACTCGAGTACGGCTGCAAGGTTAGACAGGCTCATGAGTGTGTGTGGATGCTCTTTGCCCAGCACCTTTTCCCGCAACTTCACTGTTCGCCGACACAGGCCCTCGGCTTCCTTGTCCTTCCATGTCAACATACACTTGAGCATGTATGGATTCTGTTCTCTAAGCCTCTTCCTCATCTGATCCAGATCCTGCCGACAGAAGCCTTCAGCTTCCTCGTGTTTTCCCCTTTTGCTCAGCACCACTGCAAGATTGTTTATACTATAAGCAAGGTTATCAATACTAAGCAGCAGCATGAATCCGGAGACCGTCTATATTTTGATGCTGAACTAGTCCCGTGCTACAGCATTAAACACTGTCACTAGAGTACAACTAGACAAGAACCCAAATATCCGAGACATCAGTGATACGTAATCTTCGTCTCAGTCGACATGATAATCCCCTCCTGGCTGTCGCTCTTCCCATTCGGCCGCACATTGACACTCTCCACGTCGTCCTCTCGAGGATTTTGCGTCCCGACAGTCGTCAGGTAATCCCAGTTCCGGATGCCCTTCTTCTTCTGCTTGGACCCGGTGTCTCGCATGGTATAGCTCTCGTCGGTGTGCTTATCCCCGCTAGAATTCTTGGATCCAGCCAACCGAGGGAAGATCCGCAGCAGCAGCGGCCGCAGAACAGGCAGACAGGCGCAGATGATGCCCACGTTGATCTCGACCATTCTGTTATTGTTAGCATACTGCCCCAAAAAAAAATTGAAACGGGAGGAAACGTACGCCCACTTGGCCAGCGTGACCTTGTACCACGTGAAATCCATCGAATGCACAAACGGCATCATAGTCACAATCCGCACAATGGCAATCACACACGCGAAGGAACCCATCGCCAGCACCATGCACAACAAAACCTTTTGCTTCAGCGTCGTCTGCAGCGCCCAGCACAGCCTGATCGGCAGGATGAGCGTCATCAGATCAGACAGCAGATTGAACGCCGCGTTGGCGTACACGAACGCCAGCTGGTCGACGCACTTGGCTGTTGCCATTTGCGTCATGTCCCACATGGCTGTGACCGGGATGCAGCCGCAGGTGAAGACGAGGATGCTGATGAGCGAGTAGACGAAGACAAAGGCGATGATGGCGTAGGTCCATTGGCGGAAGCGGCGCTCTGGGTTCAGGCGGAGGTAGAAGAGGAGGATGGAAGTTTTGACGAACCAGATGCCGAGGGCGAAGATGTCTTCTGCGGCGAGGTCGTTCTATTCTTGTCAGTTGGGGTCTGTAGTGTTTGGAGTAATCGAGCAAGGTACCTGTTTGAACGGCTTGAGTTTGACGAGGTACAAGTCCCAGATGTGCACGCCGTAGCCGTTTTGGATGTCTATCTTGTTAGTTTTATACATTATGATGAAGGGGGGTAAACGTACTGGCAAAGCCGAGGATGGCAAAGATCCATGCGCAGACCTGTGCGGCAATACAGAACCCTACCCGGTCAGCATCATATTACCATCGGTCCAAGGCATGGACATACAGTCATCGATAGCCACTGTCCGCAGGATCACGGCCCGCGTGTACATCCGCAGCGCCAGCACAAATGTGGCTGTCAGACACATCGCAATGTTGACCGAGTAGATGTCATAGTCGGACCGCTGGGGGTTCTCGAAGTTGGGCGTCACGCCCGGTGGGGGAGGGAAGGCGGGCGTCTTGCTTGGATCCATAGCGGTTGCAGTCAACGAATGGACAAGACTGAATCGATAAAGCTGAAGTTGTGTAGGTTTGATCGAAGAGCTTGATTCGGGAGGCTTTTTCGGTTTATATGCTTGGAGTTGAGCCCCTTGGCTCCTGTGGTGCTCGACAAAGTACGATCGACCGGAAAGTGATATATCTCATGTTTAGCCATCTCTGCTTTGCTTTAATTATTGACTAGTACTATGGAGCTATGTACAGTCCATGTTGAGCGACATGTTAGACGCATCAACCGCTGTTAATATCTCCAATACACCCAACTAGTTCCTGCGAACCGATCCTACCTGTAACATATATTGCGAAGAGCTGTCAGAAAACGCCATCTTCGTATCCCGGGGCACCTTGTTTTTGCTTCTTCAAGCGCGTGGCAATCCCATTCCCGGTTTGACTCTAGCATATGAGGTATCTGGCGTTGGCGATCACTCTCAGTGCAGCGCCACTATTCATAGCCCTTGCAGACAAACCATACCAGAGTACCTATCCTGGCGAGGTAAATAGCTCGAGATGAAGCATCGATTATTCAGATGCCATCCGCAAGTCAGGGCTTGCTTCTCCGATCTTGCCTGCATTATCTACGTATCTACTTTAGGCAAGGTTGCACGGCGGATCCGGTCCGGCGGGTTGGGTGATACATATGCAGATAGAAACCCGGGAACACTCTAAGCTGCAATGACCTGTAGAATTGTCGGAGTGGGGAACATTATCGATCGACTTTTGCGTACGAAAGCAGTGGAAATTAACAGCGGATTAGGCATTCCACGTGAGCTCCTGGACCTGTTTTGCGGTATGGCGTAGACAAGTACTACGACTAGGCGCTGTGGCTATTTCGCAATAGCATTGCTTTTTAGTCATATCCTGTAATACTCCCATATTGTCGTTCAGTCGTTTCTCAGTCGCCAGTAAATGCCAGTTTCTCTGTAGAGCCCTCATCGACGGCCCTTTTACTTAAACGGGAATATTAGTCTATGTGACGGCTCACATCGCCCGTTCCGGCCATAAAGCAATAACCGTAAAGCAATATATGACAGGGCAAAAATCTCGCTTGGAGCAGCCGATCATTGACTATCCTCCTATCAGAACATGGGCATGTTTAACGAAACTCTCGGGGAGTCCCAAGCAAGTGTCCCAGCGGAGAATAAACTCATCTAAATATGCAGCCGAATGCGCCGCGCCATCCGCGGCCAATGAAGCCCACCGCAGAGACGAGCACAGACAGAACAGCGGGGAGAAGGAGGAGGCGATTGTGATGCATCACATTAGCGACGGCAACTTCCATGATGATTGGCCGAGGGAGAACTGAAGCCATTCCCCGCTTATACTCGTCAATATTATAAGAAGTACCGCTGCACCGGGTGGCTCAGATGATCTGTAACAGATATTTACCGGCAGGAAAAACAGACAGGGATTGACCTTGAAAATGGGCAGCATCGAGAAAAACATCGACGCCATCCAGAGGAATCTGGACGAGGTCGTCAATGCCACCAATGCCTACAAGACTGCAGACAATGATTACAATGCGCGCTACGACTTGATGGTCAAGGCCACGCGTCTGCTGCAGACCATCCGTGGTCCGGTCGATATGCTCTTTACCAATTTTGAGAACGTGCGTAGTTTGGTCCCTTGCACAACAGACCACTGACAGAAATAGATGGCCAGCATGGGCGCCCTCCGTACCCTCCTCGAAGCCGGCGTGTTCCATGCCATCCCCACAGGCGGACAAAGCATCTCGGCCAAAGAGATATCCGCCAAGACCGGAGTCGACAAGGAGATGATCGGTATTCCCCCTTTCGCCACAGAAAAAAGCAAGCTGACGAGAAAGTCCGCCTGATGCGCGCCCTCACGCCCCTCGGCCCCTTCCGCGAAACCGGTGAGGAGGAGTACGCCCACACCCCCTTTTCCGAGATCTACATGGTGCCGCAGATGAACGCCATCTTCAAGGTGATGTGCGTCATCAAGCCCCCTTATTGTGTATTCTACACTCAGAGCCGATACTAAGTGATTGACAGGATTGATGAGTACTGCCCGCCGATGCTCCGCAACCACGAATTCCTGGCCAAGCACAACTGGAAGAACACCATGACGCTGACCGACAACCCTTACACACAGGTGCACAACTGCACCGGGCAGACCATGTTTGATTACATCTCCCAGTTCCCCGAGCGGCTGAGCCGGCTCAACGACGCCATGATGGCGCAGGACTCGGCGCTTGTCGTGCACGGGCTGTACCCGTTCACGCAGGAGCTGGGTTCTCTGGCGCGCGACGACGGCGTGACGATTGTGGATGTCGGCGGTGGACGCGGCCATATCCTGCGGCAGATTCGGGAGACTGAGCCGGGCCTCAAGGGCCGGTTTATCCTGCAGGATCGGCCCATTGTGATTGAGGAGAATGGGCGCGAGCTAGAATCGCATGGTATCGAGCCCATGGCGCATGATTTCTTCCAGACACAGCCTGTCAAGGGTTCGTCACTCGTATTCCTGGCTTTTCTATACCAGAGAAAACTGACAGATTAGGTGCGTTGGTTTACTACGTCCGCCGAGTGTTCCACGACTGGCCCGACGACGAGGTCCGACAGATCCTGGTGAATCTGGCGGCGGCGATGGGGGAGCACTCGCGCGTCCTGATCGTTGAGTTTCTCATGCCCGAGGTTGGAGCGACCATGTCCAATGCTTACATGGACCATACGATGATGACCTTTGCGGGTGTCGAGCGGACGGAGAAGAACTTTGCGAACCTGTTGGACCAGGCTGGGCTGAACCTGGTCAAGACGTGGCGGGCACCTGGGGTTCCAGTGGGGGTTGTCGAGGCCAGATTGAAGTAACTGTGTCTACGAGTAGTTAATATAGTCTATAGCCTTTTCAGGATACTACGATGTCAACGACTGCATGCAGCTATGTACAGAGCACAGAACTACAGGGACTTAAATTGTTACACATGGCCCGGGGAATGTTACATGCAAGGGGTATCCTGCCCCGGTCAGCTATGCACATGGCTCGACGTTGTATTATCGTATGCAATGTCCGACTGAAGCAAAACTAAAGTAAGCGAGATGACTTGATTATTAGATAGATAACTATTTTGTCTGGTGTACGTAAGAGCGGTGCATATTATGTGGCGCATGATCGGTGCGGATGGTCAGGCACAGGGCACGCATGCCAGCATTAATCTCGGATGATAACAGCGTAAACTTCCATTGCTCCGATAAAGAGTATCTACTCTGTGCTAGTTTATTGCTAGTCTGCTGCTAATGTTTTGTGACTGCTACAGTAGCAGCACTACCGCGAGATTAAAGAGGGGAACAACATAACTTTATTCGATCGAGGTTAGATTGCAGGATCCGAGACAAACACGCTAGGCTATTCATCCTTTCATGCTTATCTTTCTGCAGGTACATTCATCAGTCTGAACCCCTGACAATATCACACTCCACACTCCTACTGTTGCAACTGATGCTATCAAGAGGTTGCTTACTCTGCCCATCCTCGATCCCATATCATGCGACATTAATATTCGTAAATCAAGCATTATAGCCTCGTGTCAGAATGGGGCTGGCACATTCCTGGGGATGGCTGACACGTCGGGGCCCCCAATATGCCACTGTCACATTCCTCTCACTCATGGCTTCATACCGTAGGATGCACGCAATCTTAGAGGCAATTGTCAAGATATAAGAATCAGAGCCAGGGGCGCTCTGGGTCTGCCTTGACATCATCCGATCATCCTCCCTGTTTTTACGCGATCAGGTATTCTGTAAACATGATCATGACTCTGTACAAACTCGGTCTCTGGACAAGCCTTTTGGCTACATTCCACACGGCCTCTGCCAAGTTGAACCTGAACAGTCAGTCCAACATTGCCATCTACTGGGGTACGCTATGTCCTTATCACCCTGCCCTCCATGTCTGATAGAATAGGCCAAAATTCCCATGGAGCATCCACCGGTCTCGCTGCACAGCAAAGACTGTCCTACTATTGCCAGAGTAAGTCACCACACCCTATGTGTGGCATACCACTCACTAACCATCTAGACGCCGATTTTGATGTTTGACTCCTAGTATCAACCTCAGCCCTACACCAGGCCTAACTGTCCACAGGTCTACCAACTCGCCTTTGTCACCAGAATCAGCGGCACCGGCGGTGTCCCAGAAGTCAACTTTGCCAATGCCGGCGACAACTGCACCACCTTTGCCGGCACCAACCTGCTCAGCTGTCCTCAGATAGAGTATTCCCCCATCACCCTGCAACAAGTGCGAGTGCAACAACTAACAACCAACAGAGAAGATATCCCCATCTGCCAATCCCTCGGCAAAACCATTCTGCTCTCGCTCGGCGGCGCAACCTACACCGAAGGCGGCTTCACCAGCGATTCGGCCGCCATCGCAGGAGCCAACACCATCTGGCAGACCTTCGGCCCTCCCACCAACGCCTCCACCCTGCGCCCCTTCGGCAAAGCCACCGTCGACGGCTTCGACTTTGACTTTGAGTCCACCGTCTCCAACATGCCCACCTTCGCCAACCAGCTCCGCTCGCTGTTCCAGTCCGACCCCTCAAGGCAATACTACCTCACTGCTGCCCCGCAGTGCCCTTACCCGGACGCCGCCGACGGCCCCATGCTCAACGGCGCCGTCTCCTTCGACGCCATCTGGATCCAGTTCTACAATAACTACTGCGGCCTGCAGGCCTACGTCCCCGGCTCAGCATCCCAGAATAACTTCAACTTCGCCACCTGGGATACCTGGGCCAAGACCGTCTCGCTCAATAAGAACGTCAAGGTCTTCCTCGGTGTGCCGGGTAGCTCTACCGCCGCGGGCAGCGGGTATGTCTCTGTCGATACGCTGGCGGGGATCATTTCGTACGTCAAGGGGTTCTCGTCCTTTGGCGGCGTCATGGCCTGGGACGCCAGTCAGGTTATGGCCAATAGTGGGTTCTTGCAGGGGGTGCGAGCGGCGCTGGGTTCGGGGTCGGGTTCAACGACAACTGTGAGTTCTACTTCTACGACTACGTCTACTTCCACTCCAACCACAACTACAACTACGTCCAGCACGACGAGTGTCCCGACGACCTTGACGACTGTGACCTCGACCACGACCACGACCTCGACTTCGACAAGCACGACGGCAACTCCGACCGGTAGCTGTCCCACGGCCGGCGCGCCGTGTTCGGCGGGATCGTCTGGGTGCAACGGGGCGAGCTTCGCGCTGTGTGATAACGGCAAGTGGGTGCTGCAGTCGTGTGCCGCTGGGCTGGTTTGCATCCAGGGTGGAGGGAGTGTGTATTGTGGGTATCCGGCGGATAAGGCTGCGGGGTCTTGTTGATTGCAAATGTTTATGCTTGTCTTGCCCTGCACATATTTGATTGGTTGTCTATACTTAACAATGCACTTTATTTCAGGGATAAAGCAGATGCTATCCATGTGATATGCTGCGGATGAGGGCGTATTATGTCGTTTCTGGTAAATATCCAGTGGTAGGATGTGATAGCCAAACTGGCACATTCCCTCGGTAGTAGTTGATGCGATCTGGATCATGTGCGTTTCATCCGACTGCTGACGCATTGGGCTGAGGCCAAGTAATCGAGGCTTGATGTCAGCAAATGTGAAATGCTATCTTACCAAAATCTATTTCTCTGTGTAAAATCTGAGAAGAGTAAGTGGCGTCAAGTGGAGCCAGTGTATTATATGTCTCTTTGGGCTGTGGAACATAGAATGTTATATATCTGTTGCTACATTGCCATCTCTACTAGCTTGAAAGGGCCGTCTGGACGCCGTTTTAGCTCAGTAGTATGAGTGCATATATGACAGAGTATATGCCAAGACTGCCTGCAGGATTCGCTAAGGTCTGGTAACTTTAGGAGAAACAGGTCAGCAGAAGAAATATATAGATTGTTGGGCTCCGTTCTTGGATGCTAGTAGTCATTTATAAGGTTAGTGCTTAGCCTATTGCCGAGTCCCGTGGAAACTCAGAAATCCTTCGATAGCTTATAAAGTGGACCTTACAGACTACTGCAATACAGGTCACTGCATACACACCCTTGGAAATACAAAGAGGTGATTCCAGCCTTGGACACACGGAGCCTTACTACCTCTGTTGGATCAGTAGCCGGACTTGTGATCCCGGATGGTCCAGCTGGTCAACAGGGCCGGCATGTTGTATGTCTGCTGTCTATGACAGAAGTAAGCACTGTAGGAACCCGCCCTCGCCCCATCTGGAGAGCTTGATTAAGCTTGATTGGAGGAGCCAGTTAGAATGCTGTGCCGCAGCGCTTGCTTGCGTACTTTTGATTTTGGCCTGTCCCAGTCGGGAATGGTGTGGTCAGGATCGCCTAGAATTACTTGCTGCCTAGATTCCAAGTCCAATAGACAGTCCTATCAGCTGCGGTGTTGATCTACTGTCCATGCTGAGAGGGGTAACCCCCAATGCAAGGATGATTCCTGAAACACCAACAATGCAGGAAGAAGTTCATAAGGGGAACAGCTATAGATAGGGCCATTGTTTCTACTACTTCTCTATTCAAACCAGACCCTTGTAACCAGCCTATTCTCATCCTTACCAACCATGAACTCGGTACAGGAGAAAGCGATACAGCAAGAGGCTGCGGATGCAGCTCGAAGTGGCAATGCATCCAGACTCCGGGATTGTCTAACCCGTGGCGCCAATTTGTGGTATGACTGTGTTTTCGGGTTCGGTCTGGAGAGTGGTGATGTCGCAATTTTCCAGACCACTCTTGATTTTGGCGCGGACATCAATGAAGACATGGGTCATAACGGCACCCCCTTAATCGCGGCCTTGCGATATAATCATCACGAACTCTTGGAATTCCTCTTTTCAAAAGGCGTTGACCCCAACAAGGGACACTGGGGACACTGGCTACCTCCCCTGTCAGTGGCTGTGCGGTTCACAAAAGATGTCAAATGGGTACAGCGTCTGTTGGAGGCCGGTGCTAAGGTTAAGGAATCTGGCGCCCTGCACTTTGCTGCGTTTCAGAGTGACCTGGCAAGGATGAAGCTCCTCCTGGATTATGGGGCAGATGTTAATGAGATTCCACCCTTTCCTCTTTATGGTGCTAAGCCTTCTATCATCCATACAAAGAAAGGAACACCTGTCCATTGGGCCATTGCAGGCGAACATCTTGGGGCTGTGCGACTCCTATGCCGGTATGAACCAGACCTCACCATCCAGGATGAAGATGGCGCTACTGTCATGGACTGTTTGGATTCTTTCATTGCGAAGCGGGCTGCAGCCTGAGCGAGCCGCGCTAGGTGCCATTGGGGATATAATTAGGAATGCATGTGTTTGGTATAAGTTTGGTGGCAATGTGCTAGCTATGAAGGTTGCCTTGTGCTAGTGATTGAAAACTATATCTACCTACCAAGATACACATGCTCAATAGCGTAGAGTAACTAACAGATTGACTAGTGGCCTTATACTCGAGTGAAGTATTTATACATTTGTTGAGCGCGAGGAACTACTAAGAGTTGGATGTGAGAGCATGATGATCTATAGCAGCTTCGTCGGGTTTACAGTATATTATAACTTTCCTAGGTTGTACGCTTGCTTTGGTAGAGATGCTAAGAGCAGGACAGGTCAATCTCCAGCGTTCTCTAGCTGGTATATATATGACGCCCAAAGGTCCTCAGAGAAAAGGTACGGGGTAAGGAACGATGGCATCTTAATTCCTTGACCTGCAGTGAAGCACTTTGGAGACCAGGAGAAGTAGAGGATCATGATAATAAGAAACGGACGAACATATAACCTTAATAGTAAAAACGTTCGGAGCGCCAGCCATTATATCTTAGAATCTTGAACCAATCAATTTGTAAAATGCCTGGTGGTTGAAAAAAGCAAGGCTGAGGCTATGCTGGGAGTCACCCCCACAGTCTAATATTCCCCTCTTTTGACTCCATCTCGTTTCCTCGTCTCCCCCTTCATCTCTAATGAAGCTAAATCTAAGTAATGACTATATATCAATAATATGCCTGAATTCCATGCGACTGCAAAACTACCCGTGGTTGACGTTTGGTAGCAAGGTCCCCTCCTGAGCCGCCATGTCGGATCCGCTGTCAGTGGTAGCAAGCGCCGCTGGGGTCATCTCTCTCGGTATCCAGGTCATCGACAACATCATCGCTTACTGCGACTCGTGGAAGGGCTATGACAAGGATATTAGAGATCTTACCCACAAAGCCAGTGGGCTCTCGAAAACCCTGAAACATCTCGAGAATGTCCTTCAACATCGGCAGAAGTTTGACTCGCTGTCTCAGAAACAGATTGAAGACTTGATGATTGGCAGTAAAGTCACGATTGATAAACTCAAAGAGATGACCGACAAGATACCTTTTCCATCTGGTGGTTCGAAATCAGCCTTTGCAAAACGTGCACTCTATCCACTGCGGAAGCGCACGTTGGTCGATGCTGCGGGGATGCTGGATGGCTTGCAGGCCAACATCAATACAGCACTGAGTGTGTACGTCGCAGTATCACTTGTATCCTGTCCATACCAGTCTAATGGAATATGAAGACTGCTATTACACCAAGGGTCGGTGGCACAAAACGCTTTGACCCAAGACCTTCATATACGGCATTCCATTCTTCAACATAATCTTGCGGAGCAAAACGCTCGGCTCGAGAGAATGGTAGTCACTTTGCCTTTCGTGCTGTACTGAGCTAATATCAGGTGCAGGAATCTATGATCAGGCATTTGGTTGATAATAGACTGCAAGTGGCGCCAAGTCTGCTACGAGCGGTGCAAGATGAGAATTGCTATGCAGAGGCAGCACTACAAGGAGACCGCACAATATGCCAGTCCACCTGTGCCCAGAATGTCCAAAGGTCATCTGCAACAGCTTCGAGCGGTTTGCCAGTTGCTGTCTGCCAGAATCTGAAGAGCCAGTCCCAGGTTCTTAAAAAGAGGTTTCACCTATATAGCAGATTTTTAAGATTTTCACTGACACTGACGTTGTCAGTAACCAAGGGAGCTGGCGGTTGCTCAATCAGTCCTACGCTGACCTACCAAGCAATCACACCGTATGGATTCAAGCAATTAATGTATGCATTCTTTCGCGAAAGAAAAGGTGAAGCAACATACTCCGAGTGTTGCCACTACCTTATTCAAAACAAACTGGTTCGGCCGTCAGACATCGAAGCGGATGGGACCACGATTTTGGATGTAAGGTTTTCCACAGTACATAGATGAGGTCCTTGCTGATAAGAAATGACAAAGAGTACCTTTTTGCAGATCCTTACTGACTTGACCCTTGCCGGTTGGGACTCGAAACTCGATGTTTTTCAAGAACCCATGAGATACTTGATCAGTGCAGGAGTGTCCGTGAGCATGGGAAGATATGGTACCTTCCTTGACTTCTTCGTAGGAAAAGCGGGAACGACTCAATCCTCATACCGTCTGATATCAGAGCTCATTGATGCCGGAGGCTACATCACAGACAACGCTGTGACCCCTATCAATCAAGGCGCCATCCGTTTTATGCTATCCCACCACCCTGAAGGTAAGCATCGTCACCTTCCAAGTACGTCAGGCCCTCGCTGATGTCAAAAGCTGTCTTTCTTTCTCCTCTGGCGCGTGTCCTTGTTCAGGGAGACGAAGATGGACTTGCAAACCTGGTAGCGCGCAGACAGCTGACTGGGACTCACCTCATTGGAGACTGGTCCGCATTGGAGATTGCTATCGACTGGCCCGCAGGGGTAAAGATCCTTCTTGGGATAACAGATGTCATCCCCAAAGATGTGATCTATTCGGCCATTGGAGCCAACTGCCTCGGCTCGTTAGGTCTTTTACTTGAGGCAGGTGTACCTTTTCACGCGGACCATATTGCATATAGTGTTCGTTATGCGAGTGCCAAAGTGACAGACCTCCTGGTTGACGAGTTGATCGTTAGACGAAAGCGGCTACGTGACGTTGCGATGAGTACTCTTCCCAAACACGTATGCCGTGATCTGGGGTTGACAAACCACTCTCTACCCGACCTGAATGCGTTCAAAGTCTACAAAACACTTCAAAGAAAAGGCATAACCAGAGAAAGAAGACTGGATCTGTGGAGGGCCCGACCCTATATTCGAGGACCCGACAGTCAGCCAGAACTCGAGGACCATTATGACTCCGTCTTCCATCAAGTTGGGCTGCCCTGCCAGGTTATGCAAAAGCTGTATGATGCTGGATTGACCGATATCGACATGCCTGACACGGATGGACGGACACCGTTGATGCGCACAACCGAAGCATTGTCGCTAGGTCCATTTCTGGATAGAGCCAGGTGGCTGATTTCGAAAGGTGCGAATCCTAACCGGCTTCTGCCGGGCACAGCTACTCCCGCAATGCACAAAATCGTCAGCACCAGCATGGTTCTGATTCAGGACCTCGCTTTTGTCGCCTCGAAAGGAGTGATACCCCAGTATGTGGATATCCAGCTCGCATGCATAGATCGGGAAAATCGAGCATTTCTGATAAACGCAACTACGGAGAACAAGCACGATGGCTGCAGGTGCGCTTGCTCAAAGCATGGATGCACACCGCTCTTAGTCACTTTGCGCAACCTAGCGAGAACCTCCTTGGAGAATTCCGGGGAACTGGCACTTCACATTGCATTGAATCTGCTCCAGCTCATACCTCCATCCTCTGCTGTAGCCGAAAAATTTATCCGCCTCATGACCTTTGAGGATCTGGACCTCACACATACTTGCTGTGATTGTGATGATGAAGCCCAATTTGTCCAATTCCGTCAAGACCCAGATGTCATACAAAAAGAGGAAGAAGAGGCGATTCGTGCATTCGAGGAACTAGTCCAAGGATTTATTGACCAATACAATACGCTCGGTCTGCCCCTAGTGGAATTTCTGCGACAACACTGGTGCGTACAGCTGCAAGAGCATCTCCAAGGGCAGGCTCCCTCCGAAGAAGAGTTACACCAGATAAAAGAGCTCGGTGTCGAAATTCTCCCCAGTTTACCATTCACAGCGAATTCGTGGTGCGTCTTGATGCAGCCGAAGATCATGGAGATTATCAATATCTAGACTCTAGTCGTCTGCAAGAGGACCGCGAATACCCTATGGCTTTTTAAGACGCCAACGCGTCCCAGTCATGGAGTGACCTACATAAGACCTGCAATGCTCTTTATCATAAGTCGTAAGACGATGGCATTCGTAGCTAGCTAACTACATCGCAATTCAATTGCCCCAATCGTCACCATCACATCACCGTCACCATCCCCATTCATAACCAACCCCATTGTGCAAAGCACCTCAGCAAGGACGCAGCCAATCCAGAGCCAACAGCCAATGTATCAGCTCGATGACCGCTTCGCTGATTAGGATTGTATTTTACATCTGGCGAGGAGGCTGGCAGTCCTGCATCTGCGAAAGCTATCAGCATTCAACTGCGACTCAATTGCCAAAGGGAGCCATACGTGGTAAGGGAGGCAGTAGCACCAGCCGTTTCTGCAGCCGAAGTAGCGAGGACAGTCGCCATTGGCATCGCAGCGAGGATGTTTGGTGAGGGAGCCGTCGTTGTCGAGGTCGATGTCTAGAGTGAGTCAGCAGTTAGAGGTGTTCTTGTGGTGAGTCGGTGGAGGGACGTACTGTCGCCACGAGCAGTGAGGTTTCCATCGACGGTGACGGGAGTAGCGAGGCCGAGGCTGATGAGGGAGAAGAGGAGGATAGCGTTGAGCTTCATTTTGAGATGGTTGTTGTTGATTGTGGTTGTAGTGTGTTTTGTATGAGAGTGAGGCTGAATGTAGATGGAGATTGGAGATAGAAGGATGATGAGAGAAGAGGAAGAGATGGACCGATGGGGGAGAAGGGCGTTTATATAGACAGTGCAGGACAGTCATAGTGAATATACAAATGGGAGGAGAAGTGGTTGGAAACGGTATATTCCGTCTACAGCTGTTGTTGAGAAGTTCGGAGAGAGATATAGAGGAGTAAGGAAGGAATATTAGATTTCACCTGCTCAGTGATACTTTGCTGTCTTTAGTGAGTAATAAGGGATTGTAATACTGCAAAGGTGACTACACACCCAGTGAAAAATTTCGCAACGTAAATGGCTGGTCCCGTTAATCCTAGATATCATTCACTCTCTACCCATTACTCCAATAGTCTTGAGAGGTGTGCCTGAAGAACAGTATGAGAAGCATGTAGTACTACTATGGTTTTGTTAGGCATTGCCATGCCCTTATGGCCATGAATATGGCTGTAAACATCTCAGTAGTGGTGTTTTCAGTGAAATTTAGCAGGTCTTCATATTCCACGAAGCGCATGTAACCAGTTACTCTGCTTGCCAAGAATCAATTACTAGCACAGTGCTTTGTCTTCTGATTTTTACAACTTTTTACAACATGTCCAATCAGGCCATATAAGAAGTCCATTGAATAAATTAGCGGACGTGAGACGAGAAATCCAATCTGATCAAACAAACCCTAATGAAAAGCAGCATCCATCTCCTTCATCAAGCACACACTCAACACGACTACCTAGTTGCAGGTGCAAACTTTCTTATCGGAGCACTGTCCACCAGGCTTTCCGATGTAGCTGCAGTGGTCCTCACAGCAGAGTCCTCCCCAAGGATCGGGGAAGCTGCAGCAGATACTGCGCTTATCCAAGGTGGCGTCTCTGGTATCCACCTTCTTCACAGCATCCTCGATACCCATGTTGTTCAGGACCTCACGCAGGGGCTCATCTCCGTCAATCACCTCATCGCTGCGCTTGTTGTTTGGGTAGCATGCGCAGATGTCGTAGCCGGGGCAGCCGTCGCGGGGGAGGCAGCGGCCGCCGTGGGGGTTACCCTGGCGCACGCAGACGTTGTTGCAAGTGGAGTCGCCGCCGAGAGAACAGGAGATGGAGTTGTGGCAGAGGGCGGAGGCCAGGGTGGCGCTCGCCAGGAGGGGAGTAACGATGCTGGTGAAACGCATTGTGTTCTTTGTGGTGTTAGTTTGGTAGGAGATATGGACTTGAAGATGCCCGCACCTTGATTGCTTTCGAGAGTGTACAGTAGATTTGATAGAGTAGGTTTGTTGCTTGTCTTGAAGGCGAGAATGCCTCGTCGAGGAGCTGCCTTTATACCTCTCTGCCAGCAATCATTACTCCATCGAGTATGTGTAGACTCTCGTATTCACCCTCATGAATTGCCTTGATTCAGTATCCGAGTCTCCTAGATTCCTTGCCGAATGCGTGATGCCTTGACTAAGATTTTCATCGCTGTGACGTTGGGTACCGCACACCTCGTATTTATCCAAAACCAGTATATCGAAGCCGTTCACCTCCTTGCAGAATGCAGCTGAACTGACTTTGGCTCCAAGTATAGAAACATGAGTCTGGGGCATGATGCCTGATTTTCTTCCAATGGTCCACGACCGATCAGCGAACGACGAAGGGATACGAGGTGCGAGACGATGATAATCATAGATGGCCCCATTCATGTGTTGGGTATTGGCCATATCATTGCAGCGTTCTCCACAGTATCTCCAGATCCGAGACGTTGATTCAAGGGGAAATACGAGGATGTGGCTCCACGAGGTGGCGATCATCCGTGAGGCGTTAACCCTATTGTAACAATGGCCTGTTTGTTCATCGAATCATTTGCAAAGCTGGATGCATCAGAGAATTCCTCTGACTCCTGCATTTATTGTTCAATTCTCGGCACTGGTTGAGGTCCAAAAATAGCTCGTTCTCATCGATGCAGTATCGCTCGTTGAGGATGCCTAAAGGGTCAGCACGAGAAGATAGATGGCCGTGTAGATACAGTCTTGACGATCGTCTCGTATTTGAGGAACAGGAAGGCAGCCGTCACCGTGATGTCCTGGTGAATGTGTTGTTGTGAGGCATCCTCTGGCAGGGGTCTGTTGCCTCCTCGCTGCACGGGTGACAAGGCCCACAATCAGTTTGGCAGTCATCTCCAGCATCGAAATTCTCTTTATCATATTTTATAAGAGAGCTTACGCGTATAAAGGGTAAGGGTAGATTCCTGCAAACCTTGAAGAACATCCTTACATTAACTGATCCCTGACTAAAAACAAAACTACAAGACGTCCTCTCTGACTTCCTCGCTCGCAAGATCAACCCTCGTCTTCGGAAACTTTCTCGCAGGAACCTTGTTTTTGAACAAGATATCCATCTCTGCAAATGTCCGGTTCTTCGTCTCCGGGACCCGGAAATACGCCCAGACAAGACTGAGCCCCATGATCCCACCGAAGAAAAACCCGCACTTGGCTCCCCAGTCCCATGCCGCCTGTTGCATCATACGCGGCGCCAGCTGGCCATACACCAAGACACCGACGTTATAAAGCGCTCGCGCGAGACCGACGCTCTTTGTCCGTAGAGCATTCGACGGGATTTCGGTGACGATGGTGTAGATGATGGGACCAATAGTAATGAAAAAGACGAAGTACTCAATCAGCAAGATGGTACCAATCCCGTATCCGATCTTGGGATGGGCCTTGCGGCTGACAATCCCCAGAAAGCCTATAAGGATAGTTGTCGCCGTCATGAAGAAGGTTCCGGACAGGAGGAGCGTGCGGCGTCCCACCCGGGGGACCAGACACCAGGCAACACAGACCCCTACGATGGCTAGTGCATACTCGCCGATACCAAAGTCGAAAGATGAGGTGGGAGGCAGGCCGGACTGCTCAAGGAAATAGACAATGTACGCCACCAGCGGGGCGCACAGTTCCTGGATGAGATAAGTGAAGACGGTGATTTCCGTGCGGCGGCGGTCGACCCCCTTGAACAAATCCCAGTAGGAGCTGGACGCGTTCATCTCGTCCTCGATCTTGACCGTGTGCAGCATCATGGCTAGTGTGTCGGCTATCTCCTCTTCACTTGCGTCTTTGGTACGCAGCCGCCGGAGTGACTTGGTAGCATCCTCGGTGCGGCCCTTGCGGATCAGCCACCATGGCGATTCTGGGGCGAGGTAAATACCGATCGCGAGGGGGATGGGAAGAGCCCACTGCAGCGCAAAGGGGATGCGGTACGCCCATTCGCCGGACATGCTCAGGAACCCACGTAGGACACCAGTTCCCATGAGGTAACCGATACTCCAGGCCAGCGAGACCAGCATGGTTAGGTAGGGACGCAGCACGTTGGGGCATACCTCGGCTGCATAGGTGGTGGTGATCGTCTGGAAGACACCCCAAGGTAGGCCCAGGAGGACTTCGGCGCCGATGTACATGTAGATGTCGGTTGCAAAGAATTGCAAGAAAATAAAGCACGCCATGAGGAAGAGCGAGCCCATCATCAACCAGCGGTAGCCGAACCAATCGCATAGCAGACCATTAAGCAGGAGGCCAACAATCTCGCCAGCGTTGACTCCATTGCTGACGGCGGCTTGGAGGTTTGCTGGGACCTGGTAGGACCCGTTCTTGGTGAGAACACCGTATCTCCTCTGGAAGGCTGGGAAAGCCATGAACCCGCTGATGAAGGAATGGTCGAAGCCTTCCATGATGAGCGCAGAGGAGAACCAGATGGACCAGAAGACCGCCTTGGGGTACTTGCGCAGACCCTCCATCAGGCCCATGGCGTGCTCATCGTCCGTGGCTTTTTGCGCGCCCTTGACAACGTCTTCGGCTACAACATAGTGTTCCTCGTCTTTCTCCCGGATCACCGTAACGGTGGTGGGATCTGTCACGTCTTCTTGGTGAGCGACCATTTTGTACGCGCGAAGATGTCAATCAAGCTTGACCTTTGTCCAAGAAGCCAAGGGAGACCTATCTTTATAAGCCTTGCCAAGTAGAAGCTTGTGACCCTTCTCGTGCCCATCCCTTGTGGCTTTTGCCCCTTCTCTATGGTGGAAATCCGGGGAAGTGGAGCCACTCGCTGATTGACTTTGCGGGGAAACGCCCTTCGGTATAGTAAAACACCGAAAAGAATGAGCCACAGAAGCTAATATGGCATCATCCCATACGAACAAGAGGGGCCGCGGGGATTTGTTCCTTTGCCGGGAGGAAATAGGCCGATCGGGACGACTACAAGTGAGTGGCTGTCTCGCCCAGATGACCACCTCATACTAACAGAGTCAAAGTATCAATCATCCACCGACGGTTAAACAACCATGACGAGCAATCTGCGGTGGCTGACTGACTATGGTCCTGATTCGCTGTCAGGTGGGATCTCCTTTGGTATGCCCTGGCCAAAAGGTCTGTATCAGCCTGGTCAGTCTTTTGTCATTGAAGGGAACGGTCAGGAATATGCTATAGATTCGAGAGAAATAGCCTACTGGGCAGACGGGTCGCTCAAATGGACGGTACACTCGGTCAGTGGGCATGTGGGGTATAGCGAGGAGTACATTGTCAAAGGCTCCTCCAAATCTAAGGACAACGATGCTGGTGTTGTCATCGAGGAAGCCGATAGTATCACAGTCGCTACGCGCCTTGGGCTGCAGCTCAAATTTGCACGCTCAGGAAATTCGTCCTTGTTCGAAAGTCTTTCGCTGTATGGCCGCCCTCTGTGCTCTGGCGCCACTCTTGTTGCGTCCATCAATGGCAAAGAGTATTCGACCATTGTCAGCAAGGCTGGAGTGGAGAACGCTACGAACTCCAGAGCAGTCATCAAAGTCTCCGGGACGCTGGCCTCCCCTGGCGTTGAGCACCTCCCGTTCGATGTGCGTGTCTATGTATACTCAGACGCGTTGCCCATCAAGATCCTGCATTCTTTCGTCCACGACCTAGATGCAGATGAACCTCTAACATCACTGGGAATTCGTTTCTCCGTCCCTTTAGAGAATACGGAGCTTTATAACCGGCACATACGTTTTGCTGGTTCCAATGGAGGCATCCTCAAGGAAGAAGTCCAAGGACTGTCTGGATTACGACATGGTCCAACAGTCACCAACAGGATAGATCAAACAGCAGGACGAGCTGTCACTCTCAAACAAGAAGAGTGGTCCAAGACTGATCTCCATCAAGGTCTCTCATACATTCCGTCATTTGACTCCTACACCCTCTCACAGCTATCCTCCGACGGCTTCACTATCAAGAAACGAACAAAAAGGGGCTCCTGGGTCAAGGTAACCGGTGGTTGTCGCACAGATGGGACCGTGTATCTAGGCTCAGCCAGACACGGCGGCATAGCCGTTGGCATGTCCGACTTCTGGGAACGATACCCGACTCAGCTTGACCTGGCCGAGCTCACTCAGCGCGAGGGTGCCATCACCGTGTGGCTCTATTCCCCCCTTGCGGAACCGCTGGATACTTCCCCATACCACGATGGGCTCGGGCTGGACTCGTACGAGAAACAGCTGCATGCACTCGACGTTACATACGAAGACTACGAACCGGGCTTTGCCACTGCCAACGGTATCGGCAGGACGAACCAATTCTTCCTCAGGCCGTACACATCCACCCCTTCCAACCAGGAACTCAGCTCTTTCTCGAGTCTTGTGAGGAACCCTCCCCGTCTCGTCCCAACAGCCGAGTACATGCACTCCACTGGCGTCTTCCACGGCTGCTGGTCACCCGCCCACAAACAGCCCGCTTCGACGCAGGAAAGGGCCATCGAGCACAACCTCAACCTTATATTCAACCACTACCAACGACAGATAGAGCAACACCGCTGGTACGGCTTCTGGGACCACGGAGACGTGCAGCACACGTACGACCCCTACCGGCACGCCTGGCGCTACGACGTAGGCGGCTTCGCCTGGGACAACTCAGAACTCTCTACCGATCTCTGGCTGTGGCTGTACTTCCTGCATACTGGTCGCGCGGACGTGTTCAAGATGGCCGAGGCAATGACCCGACACACTAGCGAGGTAGACACCTACCATGCAGGCCGGTTCAAGGGTTTCGGCACGCGGCATGGCGTCCAGCATTTCAGCGACAGTTCGAAGCAGCTGCGGATCTCGAACGTGCTCTACAAACGGATGTACTATTACTTGACTGGTGATGAGCGCACAGGCGATTTGATTTCCGAGCTGCAGAATTGCCAATTTGCCCTGCCGACTCTCGACTCGCACCGTAAGGTGCAATCGCACGCTGATGTCCCCGAGGGCTTCGCCATGACGAACATCGGTCTTGATTGTGGCGCACTCGCAGCAGCATGGTTGACGGCGTGGGAACGACGGACGGACGGCTGGGAGCATTGCCGCGATCTCTTGATCAAGTTGCTGGACGGCATCGCTGGCTTCAGACACGGCATCGGCAATAATGCTATCCTACTGAATCCAACCACGGGAGAGATTCGAGAATGCCCCCCGCCAACGCCCGAGTACGCCATCTCCCACCTCTCCATGCTCTTCGGGTTTCCCGAGATATTTGCAGAGCTTCTTGACTACGCGCGTGACGCGCACCCCGCCACAGTAGACAAGTTTATGGTCGTGTGGCTCTCCTATTGCAAAGCGTATAATGGGGGCGCTGAAGTCCAGCGTAGAGAATTCGGGTTCGAGTTTCCGGATCATGCAACCTGGAGACAGAGTCATTCGACGCTTACGGCATTTGCGGCCGTCAAGCTGAAGAGTGAAGAGCTGGCTCGCGCGGCTTGGGACCAATTCTTCCACACTGATGGGTATACAGAAAGCCATCAGTGGAAGGTCGTCGAGACCGCGCCGCCGGAGTACTTTACGCATGGGGAGGAGGCTGCTTGGATTACGACGAATGAGGCAGCTAGGTACGGTGTGTCTGCTATTTTCAATCTGGCGAATATCAGGGAGTGTTTGTCGTAACCTCCTTTCTTAGAGGTGGCCTCAAGCCTTGAAACAAAAGGTAACCCAACATTAGAACTTCATCAGTAAAACTACATCCTCAGGTCCAACAAGCCCTAAACTATGCCTCTAATTCAACGTGAAAGCAAAGATCAAATCCTCCTCCTCTTCCGATCCCTCGCTTCCTCCTCATGCCAACCGACCTTACACTCTTCCTCCCCATAGTGCCTCCCACAACACCCATACACAAACCCCTCGGGATGATCCTCCCGACTCTCCTCCGTGTCAATCTCCTCATCTTCCCAGAGATCAATATTCTGCCAGTACTTATCATCCGCTACAGCCTCCTCTGTAGCAACATTAGCATCGCAGCCCACAGGAAAAAAGACTACATACCAGGATGAAAACAACAGCTCTCCCTAGAGTTCTTCGTAACGTCATACTCCACCCCGCAGTTCGCACACACCGCGTACCGCGGCCGGACCTTCGTCCTCTTCTTCGACTTGAGGCGAGGGGGCATACTGTCGTCTGGAGCAGGTTGAGCTGTGTCTGTGTCTACCTTGGCGTTTGCTTCAGAGTCAGACCCAGCGTTAGAGTTAGAGTCAGTGTCACCCTGCTTGGGAACCTGCTCCTCGCTGACGAGAAGGCAATCAGAGACGATTGGGAGAGCGGCCGGGAGAAGCCGGCATACGTTGCGGATGATATGCCGTAGTCGCGACGAGGGCGCGGCGTTGAGGGCTTGGTTGAATTGCTCGAGGAATTCTTCGGAGTTTGGGGTGTCGAGGGTGGACATTTTGCCGGATTCTGGCAATTTCTATCCTGGATATGGTTGTGGTTCTCGTATTGTATAGATGGTTTAGGTTTAGGTTTACTTGAGACGCGTATATTGGTGTTGTGGTACGTGAGACAGTCTGGTCTTGGCGCTATGCACTTGTATGGAGTCCGTGAACTACGGATGGGAGGTCCTACAGTATTGGGTGATGGTGATAGAGTTCTATGGTGTGGTCTGAAGATGATTGCCAACGCGCTCATGACGCGAAGGGCGGTGTATCATTTTTGTAGCTATTATACTACTAGCTGGGCCCATTCCAGCATGCAGGCATAGTTCTATCTCGTTCCCATACATATGATCCACGTTACTCTTTATTCTGCCAAACGCCAGAAACAAACATTGAAATAACCAACCCAACAACTAGCTGATGCCTTTTACCGGCATCAGCTCCCCCAGCCCAATCTAATGGAGGGGGATTTTCATCTCTCGGTGGCTCAGGTCGTGGCGATCCTTGAACACCTCGGTGATCTCCTCAAGGCAGCCGGCGGAGGCAGCGAAGAAGCCCAAGAAGGTCTTGCTGGGCGCAAGGACTCGGCTGAGATACTCCGGGTGGAATTGCACACCGACGAACCACTTGTGGTCCTTGAGTTCGACGATCTCCATACGCTTGCCGCTGTCGTCCTTGCCGACAAAGGTCAGACCAGCCTGTTCGAGCTGGTCGACGAGGTCGGGGTTAACCTCGTAACGGTGACGGTGTCTCTCCCAGATCTCCTGCTTGTCTCCATACAGCTTCCGCAGACGAGACCACTCGGTGCCGGGCTGGAAGTGGGTGGCCCGTTTGCCGAGTCGCATGGTGCCTCCCATCTTGGTCTTGTCGATCTCAGGCATGTAGACGATCGCAGAAGGCTCGCAGTTCTCGTGGAACTCCTCACTACCAGCGTCATTCAACCCGCACACATTGCGAGCATACTCAATCACGGCCACTTGCATACCCAGGCAAACACCCAGGTAAGGAACATTGTTCGTACGGGCCCATTGGGCACTCTTGATCATACCCTCGGTACCACGCTCGCCAAAACCGCCCTGAACACAATATTAGAGTCATTCATAAGAGTACATACGGAAAAAACCTACAGGAACCAGAATTCCGTTGGCTGTTGAAACCGAGTGCCACGCCTTGTAGTACTCGGCCGGGTTCGTGTCCTTGTGCTCGTCCTCCAGGTGAGAGGACTCGACCCAGATCAGATCCAGCTTCTTCTTGCAATGCATGGCAGAGTGCTCGAGCGCCTTGCTCACGCTCATATAAGAATCATGCAAACTGGTGTACTTGCCGACAAGGGCGATCGAGACAGTCTCAAAGACACGGTCCTGGCTAATGGCAAGACCCTGCCATTCCTGCCAAATCACCTTGCCATGCTCGATGAGCTTGGGGTCCTTCGGGACCGAGTCAATGTGCAGCAGTTCTTTGATGGTATTGAGGAAGCCCTGCTTCTCCAGGAGAATGGGCACCTGATAAGTGGTCGACACGTTGTGAACTCCGACAACCTGATCCCGCTCCACCTGGCAGGCATTGGCGATTTTCTGAATAGTTCCCTCTTCAAGAGGAGTTTCGCAGCGGCAGGCGATCAGATCCGGCCTGAGACCAGCACTGCGAACATCGCTAATGGCTCTCTGGGTAGGCTTGGTCTTTTGCTCCGAGCCGATCAGAGGGACGTAGCTGACGTGAATCTCCAAGAAGTTGTTCTTGCCGGCCCGTCGTTGAAGCTGACTCATGGCCTCAACGAAAGGTGCACTCTCAATATCTCCAACAGTACCGCCCAACTCGATGATGCAAACGTCGGGTTCCCGCCCTGACTCGTCCACGGGAACCTTGGCAACCCGTTCCACCCAGTTCTGAATCTCATTGGTAAGGTGCGGCACGATCTGAACTGTCTTTCCCAGGTAATCGCCGCGACGCTCCTTCTCAATGACGTGTTGGTAGATCTTTCCCGTGGTGATATTGTTATCTCGCCCGAGAGTGACTCCGAGGTAGCGCTCGTAGTTTCCGAGGTCGAGGTCGGCCTCACCTCCGTCGTCGAGAACGAAACATTCTCCGTGTCTTTGATGCGTCAACGTCAATTCCAATGAGATCAGGTGAGCATAGTAGGTAAGACCAACTCTAGAGGGTTCATAAGACCGGCATCCGGATTGAGATAAGGATCAATCTTGATACTCGAAACGGCCAGACCAGCAGTCTTGAGCAGCAACCCGCAACTGCTGGCGATAATGCCTTTGCCGACACCAGAAATGACACCTGCAGGAATCAGCGAAAGCGTCATGGCAGAAAGACACGGAAAGATCATTACCTCCAGAGACCAGAACGTACTTCATCTTGGCTAATTGAGATCGGAAAGTGTTATTCAATGGTAGCCCTCCTGGTAAAAACCAGGGAAGGGGGGGAAGAGAAAAAGAGAGAAAGAAAGGTTGCGGCGGGTCCAATGCAGTCTATGAAAAAAAAAAAAAGTGGATATCATCACGTGCTCAGCTCTCAGCAGCTTATCTTATCGCCAATCTGGGGAACTCAACAGGCAACCATCCAGGGTCTTGCAGGCAACAAGACGAATTATGACTCATGATAGAACCCTAAAATTCCAGAGAGAGTACCTCTCCATCGTCAAATTTGCCAATAGCGATATGGATATGGTCTTATTCGGATAATTTTTGTGATTTATATCTCACGTGACCGAGATATCTCTAGGTAGAAAAGAAGGCAAGATCTCATGCTTTGATGTCGAACACAGTTGCATGCTAGGAATGATACGACCTTCTTTTAAGTCTATCTGCTTTTGGTACATGTGCAATGTAATCTGGTTCCTGTATGAACAAAAGAGAAGGAAAATTATGCGTGATCTTCGCCCGGCCAAACCAAACCAAACCCACGTGAATCAAGAAAGACGGTGGTGAAAATACAGAAACATAATATATTTTCAAGTCAACGCAGGAGACAGAAGAAAGCCAAATGATCGCTATGAAAACAAGTCTATGCAAATCATTGCTTCGACGGCTGGAGGAATTTGGGCCATTTATCGGCCTGAGGGATATAGACGCGACCAATGTTTTCGTCGAGGTCGAGGAGGAGCTTCAGAGCGTTTCTTGACCTCAGATAAGGGAGAGGCGCTTTGGCACTCTGTAACCCAACGCCGGGCTCAACATGTCCCGAGGGAGAGACTTCTTCAACCTGAGTGCCGGGCATGGGAAGCCATTTCTGCAGCAGTTCATAGGCAGCCAGTGTGAAACCGAACTGCGGTGACGAACGGACGATACGAGCAGGACCACCCTTGAAGAAGGCCCTGAAACCTTCCTCCTTCCAGATCCTAGCCGCACAGTGGCGCAAGCCATTGTAACCAACGTCTCCTTTGCGAGCTTCAACTTGCAGACGGGTCTTGATTACATCGCAGGGTGTGGTAAGATAAGCGGCCGGCATACCGGCAATGGCACCGGCAGTGAGCAGCTGCACAATGCCAAGTTTGTGTGTTTGAGACTCGCCGAAAAGGTCGCTCTTCAGGTGGGCATAGGTGGGGAAGTAGATGGCAGAGAAGGGAACTAGAGTCCGAAAATGTCAGAAAGCATTTTCACAAAAGTAGAAGGCGCGCGTCGGTTCGTTCTTACCATCACGGAGCAAGCAAGCGCTAGCACCCTTGTACAATCCCACCAGACCCAGATTCTTCACAATCCACATGGCTGAGCGACGGGGAGCTCCCTCGACAGACTTGGCAATCTCACCCTGAACCTGCAGGCGGATCTTGACAATCTCGAGGGGATTTGTGAAGATCTAGCAGAAAGGTGAATTAGAATAGGCTTCCAAAGTAGGTGGAAGTCTCAGTAAAACTTACAACTTGGCAACCACCAGCAGTACCACCCGCGAGAATCTCATACGGATACCAGATCTTGCCGTTTTCCTTGTTGGTGAAGTGGCCACGGACGAGATCGTTCACAGTCAGCTTGATGGCCTTCTCCGGAGCAACACCGATCAATTGAGGCAGGACACCGGAATACAGGCCGAGGAAGCCCTCATTGCGAATGACTTTTCTGAAACAATCAAGCGAGTTGTTGTACAGTCTTTCGCCAACACGCGTCGAACGTTGGTTCTGCATGCGCGTCTTGACAAGATCGATGGGGTAAACCATAAAGGCGCCGAAAGCGCCTGCAAGACTGCCAAGCGCGAAATGGTGGACCGATTCCAAGATGCTGTGCAACACCGACCGAGTCTTTTCAGCAGCGACTTGAGCAGTGGTTGTTGCAGTGGAGACGGCCTGTCCTGCCAGAGCCAAAGGCATACGCCAGGAGGCATCAACGACCTTGGCGAAATCCTTCTGAGAGAGTCGGCCGGAAGGCGCATCGAGGCCAGCAAAATGGAACAGGATATCCGCTTCCATTGGTGTGAAAAGCGAGAATCGCGTAATGCGAGCAGCTTCGTTGAGGAAGTCGGCGCGCGTGATCTTGCCGTCTTCGCTCTTCTGGGTGGCTTCGCGGACAATAACGTCGATCATATCCATTTCACGCATGATATTCTGGAAAGCACGAACGGTAGCGTATGAGATCTTGGTGCCCGCTGAGATGTTGCACAGACTGGGAAGGTTTTCCAGGACATAATCTGACAGCTTGTGTTTCGAGGTCTCGAGGATGATGCGCTGGAAATCTTCGGGGTCGATATAACCGTCACCATCCTTATCGAAGATGTGGAAAGCTTGCCGAATGCGCTCGCCCTGCAATCCTCGGAGCATCTGAGCGAACTGGGGGTATGTCATGTCGTGCCGGGCCTTGCTCCGTCCGGAGTACAGAGAAGCCCATTCCGAATTCCAATCGAAAGGTATACTGTCACTGCTCTTGTTCATATTGTACAGGTCCTTGAAGGTGTCCCACTTCACTGTGCCCGTTCCATCCAGATCGAAGAGTCGGAAAGCAATCTCATATTCGGCATCGGGTTTGGTCAGGAGGTTTTCGAAGGTCGCCCAGTCACTGAGGCTGAGTTTACCGGCTCT